ACCTCGAACACAACATCCACACGTACCTCAGGCCAAAAAAATGTGACAATGACTTTGTCAAATTACTCCTGCAATAGTGGAGGTAGGAGGTCCTGGAAAAGGACACTCTAGACCAATGGAAGAGGGGGGATTAGTACAGGTGGCAGGTGTCCTATGAGCAGCCCCCAGAGTCCCATGAGAGTATTAAAACAGCAGACCAAAGCTACTTACATGGCTTAAGGGTTGAACTATGATCAAAATTACCCTGTAAAGGGCTGGAGTTGTGGCTCAGCGGTAGAGCACTTGCTTGGGCATGTGTGAGGCCCTGGATTCGTCCTCCAACAACGCATATAAACAAACAAACAAATAAAAGATCCATCGACAACTAAAAAATATTTTTTAAAAAATCACCCAGTAAAGCTGGGCACAGTGGCACATGCCTGCGATCCCAGCAACTCAGGAGGTTGAAGCAGGAGAGGGCAAGTTCAAAGCCAGCCTCAGCAAAATTGAGGTGCTAAGCAACTCAGTGAGACCTTGTCTCTAACTAAAATACAAAATAGGGCTGGGGATGTGGCTCAGTGGTTGAGTGCCCTGAGTTCAACCCCTGGTATCCCCCCCCCAAAAAAAATTACCCAGTAAAAACATGGGAAAGATAAGACACTTCACTCAGGAGAGGGGTTATATTTGAGGAACCAGGACAGATATAGGGGAGAAGGGTAATGGAGTGGGGTTTAGCTTGGAAATCAGCGGTGGGTGAGTAGGAGTTCCCTGAGTAAATGGATGTTTGAAATATTTCACAATATGTTTTCAAATGGAGAGACCAAGGCTAGGAGTAGAACTCCCACCTTCCCCTCCTGCAGCCCATGCTTCAAAGCAGGAGGGAGGGGGAGTGCTGTGGCATAAGCCTATGATCCCAGCTCCTCTGGAGGCTGAGACAGGAGGATCACAAGTTGAAGGCCAGCCTCAGCAATTTAGTGAGATCCTCAGCAAATTAAGGAAGATACTGTCTCAAAATAAAAAATGAAAAGTTCTGGGGATATAGCTCAGTGGTAAAGCACACCCGGGTTCAATCCCCAATGCCCCCCCCCAAAAAAAATACACACACACATATGTAGGGGTGAGGGGAGTGGGAGGAAAGAAGAAAGGAGGTTCAGGAAACAGCTGGACTCCTGGCCAGTTGGCCCTGTGCTTGCCTTCTCTGGCCACTCCCACTGTCACCACCCTGCCCAGTTGCTCCAGTTTCTTGTGTTAACTATGAGAACATGTATCAACTGCTGAAGGACTCATCTGGGCTAATGTGCACCCTATTATCTTTTTTTTTTTTTTCAAACAGGAGGGTTATTAGTTAATTGGCATCAGATATAAATTAACTCAGAAATTGCTTCTGCAGGCCCAAAGCTCCCCAGGTTGGGTTTAGGGACAGAGGAGCTGCTGATGACACAAAGCCAGACATTTGGAGTCTGGAGCAAATGGGTGGGAAGTGACCTCAAGTCCAGCATGCTATGATTTGAGGAGAGGGCCCTGGGGCCCAGGGAAAGAGGAAGCAAGAGGGAGGACAGATGAAGTCAAAGGTGCCAGTGGCCCCCAGCCCTGAGGCCATGGAGGGACTGTGCCTGCCCGGAGCCACGTAGGTAGCTCTGCTTTTGGAAGAAAATTGGTGCCTGGGTTGAAGATGTCTTCTGTTCTCTTTTAAAATATTTTCCTTGGCTCCCAGGAAGGATTTGTTAGACTCTTCCTGAGGTTTTGACAAACTCTCTGTATTTTTCAAATACTTAAATATCTATTCAGCTGACATCTTAATCAGTACGACTGTCAGAACATCACTTGAATTTCTGACAGGTGACACCCAAAAAAGCAAAAGCAGGTTTATTTGTAGGTAACCAGCTCAGCGCCTGCTGGGCTACATTGTAATTTCTCCTTGTATTAAATTCTGATCAAATTCCTGAGTCAGAAGCAGAGACAGGAAGGAAGCTCAGCGCGGAGCACAGTTCTGGTTCAGGAGCAGCGTCTGCAGGGGTGACTCGCTGAGTGAGGGCTTACTTGTGGCTGATGGGGACATGCAGGGTTTGTTCCTGGCTGCGGGGACAGTCCTGGGCCTTTATTGAAACATTAAGACCAGATCTCGCACAGCTGTGCCTGGAGCCCAGGCCTCTCTTGTCCTTCCCTGGCCCTGCTCTTGCTCCTGATGTGGGGACTGGGTGTGCCATGGGCACCTGTCATTCCAGGTACTTGACACCAGATGTCCCTGTGCAACCTGCCTCAGTCCCATCCCCAGGGCCTGCATTCACTGGTTTCGAGGTCCTTCTTCAGGAACAATGACAGTAGCACCAAGTGATCCCCCCAAGCCAGAGGAACATCTGTCTGTGGGGGACATGGATGGAATGTGAGGCTGGGGTGACCACAGGGCTGGAGGAGTTGGTGATAGAGTGGGATGGAGCTAGGGGTGGGCAGAGAAGAAGACAGATCGTGGCTTGGGCTAAAAGCCAGCTCCCTACGCCACCACATCCTAGCTGCTCCTCTGAGAAACCCTTGTAACAATAGCCCACTTTGTGCTTTGAATGTAGCCCTTGCTGCTCTGCCACTGCATCTCATCTTTAAAATGGACATGTTTCTTTCTCTTCCTCTCTCCCTGCTCCTCCCTAATCTCAGGGGAAACAAGATTATCTTTCTTCCCCACGTAAGTAGAGTTTTCTTTCCCTGAGTACACAACCCCATAGGAAGGAAGTAATCCAGACTTTGGGGATGGCACCAGAAGATCTCAGAAATGACTATCTGTTCTCCAACAGAGAACACGTGGGATGTAGCTTTTGACTCTCTCTTTAAAAGCCCCCTGTTTCTGCTGATGGGCAGAATCACAGCCTCTGTGACAGGAGTCCCCTGTGTTTCTCCTTTGCTAGCAATAAATCTTCTTTTTTTCCTTTTTGTCAAAATGTGTCCTTGTTATTGGATTGGCACTGGAGACAAGTACCAAACTTTTGGTAACATCTTGACCTTTCAGGTTGTAAGGAAGGTATGTCAAAGTAAGGGGATACAAACTATTTTATTTAATAATACTTAGCTTGATGGATAGCTTTTTTTTTTTTAGCCAGGGATTGAACCCAGGGATGCTTAACAACTAAGCCACATCCCCAGCCCCCCCTTTTTTAAGTATTTTTTTAATCTATTTTTTTTAGGTGTAGATGGACACAACACAATACCTTTATTTTTTATGTGGTGCTGAGGATGGAACCCAGGCCCTGTCCATGCTAGGCAAGCGCTCTACCGCTGAGCCACAATCCCAGCCCCGCCCCCAGCCCTTTTTATATTCTAATTTGACACAGGGTCTTGCTAGGTTGCTTAGGTCCTCTCTAAATTGTTGAGGCTAGCCTTGAGTTTGCCATTCTCCTGCCTCAGCCTCCAAAGCTGCTGGGATTACAGGTGTGCGACTCTGTGCCCGGCTTGACTGATAGCTTTTCCTAGACATAGAATATGTGGTCCCCATCCTTTTGTTCCAGGCCCCACAAATGTTAGGGGTAGGGGGTTGGGGTTATAGCTCAGTGATGCAGCATTTTACCGGCATGCTGGAGCCCCTGGATTCTATCCCCTGCACTGCACAAAAAAAAAAAAAAAAAAAAAAAAAAAGGAGGGGTGGGCGGGGCAGACCGTGGCATGGCACCTAGAGTAACAGAATTGAAGAAAAGGAAATTGTCAGCGGAAGGGCCTGTATGCATTTTTTTGCATGTGGAGTTCTGCCTCGCAATCTGTGGTGGTGACCTTTAGGGTAGAAGATATCCTTAAAGCCACCCCTGAATTTATGTCCTGTTCAGGAGGTAACCATTGCTGCCCTGGCTGGTAGGGGTCATTTCCCCACAGGGGCTGGCCCCAAAGGAACTCAGAGAGCAGAGCTGGTCAATGCTGTGGTTGAAGAACTGGTAGGAAAAGTGGGCTCCGTCGGCTTGGCCGGGCAGTCCAGGTGCCCATGGCTTCCTGCCCCTTCAGTGCAAATCCTTTGGGTCTTAGCTGCTGGGTGCTGGGTCAGAGATTTCTGTTTCTGAGAGCGGGGCCACCTCAGTCCTCCTCTGGGCACCCAGACTGACAGAAATGTGGGGCAGGGTCAAGCAGAGGTGGGACCAGCTTCCCTTTTTTCTTCCAATGTAGCCTCCTGCTACAAATCCCGCCTACTCTCTCCACTCAAAGGCCATTTACCAAGTAAACATTTCTCTGTTAAAATGAGAGAGGAAGGCCCCTTGGCCGATGTCTGTTCCTTCCATTTCATTCCCAGATCTTACAGTTGCCTGCATGATTTGAGCATAAACCTGATGTTCCCACAAAAGTCACCTGTCATCTGTCACTTTATTGCCATTGAGATTCTTGACCTGACAGCCGCGTGAACAAAGGAGACACCTGGAGAGTTCCTGGTACGTAGGAGCACATTTCTGCAGTGGAGTCTTGATTTTGGAAAAAGCAAAATCAGCCCAAGTCTCACATAAGAACCTCATTTTCCTCTAGGAGCATGCCTTAGGGCCAGAAGTGATCTCAGAGGCTCCAGGCCCACAGATCTGCTCCCCACCACCCTCTGACACCCAGAAATAGAGTCCTGCTGCTACATTCTCACTCTGCTTGTTCCAAGCTCCTGAAGCAGCAAAGAAAGGTCCAGTTCCTCCCCTCCCACCGACAGAGGTGGTGCCGGTCACTCACCGAGGCATCCTGGGGAGAGGCCTCTTTCCACAGCCCTGTCTCCTCTGTGGCCTTCTCAGCCATGGGGCCCTCGAGGTCTGTGCCCCTTCAGTGCAACTCCTTTGGGTCTTGGCCGCTGCCTGCTGGGCCAGAGCTTTCTGTCTTTGTTTCCTAGAGCAGGGCCACTCCGTCCTCCTCTGGGCCAGTCTCTCTCCCAGCGTTCCTCTGGAAAACCCTCCCACCAACACGGTGTGTTCTGCCCACTGTCAAGATAAGGACGCTGTGGCTAAAGGTACATCAGATAATGGCATCCGTCGCCAAGTTCCCGTCCTGCTGCTTCATGAGGGACTCTAGGACCGGGCAAAGAGCAGGCAGGGCACTCTGCCACTGGCTCCTCAGCTGAAGCCACTTCAGGAAGGGTCAGGCCACCAGAAAATTCAACTGTTTTTGCTGCCGGTTGGCCATGAATGAGTTTCCCTTTCTGACCCCAGAGGGGGACTCAGGACCCCAAGTAAACAGAGGTTCCCAGGGCTCCCTCGAGGAGGGTGCTGCTGCTGCCTCGGAGCCTCGGAACAGCCTGGGCGTCCTCCACGTCTCCTATAGCATCAGGTAAGGCAGCACCTGCAGGCAGGTGGCCTGGTCTTTCACCTGCTCTGTTGCCTGTCCTGACTAACAGGCTGGGGGTGTACCTGGGGGCTATGGGCTGCCTCTTCAGTAGATCGGGTTGGAAGAGAGCTGGTAGCAGTGCCACTGGAAGATGAGGAACAAAAGTGAATGGTCCCTTCTCCTGTCCAGGGCAAGGCCTAGACATAAAAAAAAAAAAAAAGTGCTTTGTCTCTTGCCACTGCCCTTTACCCATTCTCATCGCCCACACCCCTTCCCCATCCTGTCTACCGCCTGCCCTGTGTGGACAGAGAGGGTGTGAGGAGTCGGGGTGCCGGGAGGACCAGGCGGAATGAAGCCTGGAGAAGGAAGACAGGGTCAGCTTAAGGAATGAACACTGTCCTGTTCACCACCTTGCAAGCAGCCAGAGAGAACTGTCACTCGGAGCAGCTGCTGGGCGGGTGCTTTCCAGGGTGGTAGCCAGCTTGCAGTCAGGATCCCTCCAGGGTTCGCAGAGGATAAAACAGGAGCCTGCTAAACTGGGGTGGGGCAGAGCTGGGATCAGTGCCCGGGGATCTGGTCTGGCTCCTTCTAGGACCCATGCTGCCTTTGCCCCTGTGGGGTTTTCTTTAAAGCAATCGAGTGGGGCCCTGGTGGAACTTCACATCTGGCTGGCAGCGGTGGAACAGGCAGATCCTCAAAGATGTCTCCTTGTACATTGAGAGTGGGCAGATCATGTGCATCCTAGGGGCCTCAGGTAAGCACGGGAAAGAGTGTCCTGATCCTCAAGGGGGACTCTGCCAAGGCTTTGGTTTGATTTAAGTACCACACTGAAGAAGTGAGTAAGTTACAGCAAGAAGGTCACAAGTTTGCTATCAGAATGAAACCTAATGACATGTCTCACTGTGAATGGAACTTGGTACCAATGTCAAATTTTGAAAAAACTCTTGAAAGAGTTATAAAGTCCTGCCTAACATGTAAGTGAATCTGAATCTAGTTTTTTTTTTCTTCTCTTTTATTTTTTTTGGGAGGCCAGGGCAGGGCTAGGGATCAAACCCAGGGCCTCATGCCAGCCAGGCAAGTGCTCTACCACTGATTCACATCCCTAGCCCTTTAAGTGAATTCATATTTCCAAGTATACAAAGTCCCCATCACAGCGGCTGGCATATAGGGATGCTCAGTAAACACAATTTCCTCTTTCTAGATCCTGCCTGGAGATAGGAAAAGGAATTAAATAGGCACAAAAATGCCCATTTAACCTCCATCCTCAATCTCACAAGCCCTATTTCATTATGATGTACTTTAGACATGCAGTCAGGAATAGAGAAGAATAAAAATGTTCAGGAATTGAAACCAGGCCTCGTTAAATCTTACCATAATACATATTTGCTTCTGATCTTTTTTATAAGGAATTAAACATGAGAGATTGCATGCCCATCCCCCATGGGGCAACTACACTGGAGCCTGAATTCTAGGTTTGCTTTTTGAGTCCTGCAGTGACTGTCCTGGGAGGGTATAACCTTTGATAGGCAGCTCCTTGTGGCTCAGGCAATTCCCTATGAGGGTCACAGCTGTGAATCCTCAGGGTCATCTTCCCACAGCTGGGATGGGAGTATTGGTCCTACAGACAGCACAGTGTCCCCTGGGCTGGGCTGGGCTGTTATCTATCTTTTTTTTGGTGGGGGGTAATAGGGGATTGAACTCAGGGGCACTCACCCACTAAGCCACATCCCCAGCCCTATTGTGTATTTTATTTAGAGATAGGGTCTCACTGGCCTTGAACTCGTGATCCTCCTGCCTCAGCCTTCAGAACAGCTGGATTACAGGAATGTGCCACTGCACCCTGTGCTTGTCACATATCTTAAGGTTTAGGATCTGACAAATTGACTTCATAGAAGCAACTGCTTGCAAATCATTGCCATTTATTACACTTCTCCATTTGCATAACACTATAATAGAGAAAGGAAATGTAAGTCTATGGTGAAAAGCAGGCGTAGTACTGTTGATTTTGGTTTGAGTGTGTCCTCCTGAAGGTTCATACTGCTGGGAGGTACCGGAACCCCTAAGCAGTGGGGCCTAGTGGAAGATGGAGGCATGGCCCTCAGAAGCGAGGAATATAGTTCTTGTAAGACTTCGCCAGTTCCTGAGCCTCTTTTTGTAAGGGCATAAGTCCCAATCATTAGAACTTCTTCTCCTAACCTACTCTCCAAATACCTCCTCCTAATACAACTCACTTTCTAATACCATCACTTTGGGGTAAAGACTTCAACACTTGAAACAATTAGACCATAGCCCTAACTAAAGCTATTATGCTTTTCTGAGATTTCCTAGCAACTCTAATTTCCATTTCTTAAACCATTTCAAGCTCATTCTAAAATTCCTTTTGATAAATGTAATGTGCTATTTTAAAAATAAAAAAATGGGTTATCTTTATAATAATTTGTGACTTGTTGCATTCCTTGTGTGGAATTATTAAGAACAGTACACAGTGCCCTTCTCAGAAACATGTCCCACAGGCCAGTGTCAAGCTCTGGACACACTTCAACAGGATAAAGGATGGGGCTCTTGATAGGTGATGGGAACTGATTTCTGATGTTGTACCTAATCATGGTTTTATGACTACCTATCCCTAATCCTGAACATGAATGCAAAGTAGAATGCAAATTCCACTAATGCAGGGACTTTGTGTCTTTTTCCTGCTGTGTCCTTAAGGCCTGGAACAGGGTCAGTCACATAATAGGGGCTTAATAAATATTTGTTAGACAAACAAATATATAAATTAAGTCTATAAAGTACTTATAGTGTTTAATAAAATGACATGATTTCATCGCTATCTTATCCCAAGCAATACTATCAAATTTTTATTTATTTATTCTATTTTAAATTTTTAAAAATTTATTCTAATTTGTTATATATGACAGCACAATGCATTTCAATTCATAATACTCTATATAGCACAATTTTTCATATCTCTGGTTGTATACAACATAGTCACACCATTTGTGTCTTCATACATGTACTTAGAGTAATGATGTCCATCTCATTCCACTGCCTTTTCTAGCCCCATTCCCCCTCCCTTGTTCTCCCTCCCCTTTGCCCTATCTAGAGTTCATCTATTCCTCCCATGCTCCCCCTAATTCCCATTATGAGTCAGCCTCCTTATATCAGAGAAAACATTAAGCATTTGGTTTTTGGGAATTGGCTAACTTCACTTAGCATGATATTCTCCAACTCCATCCACAGACCTGCAAATGCCATGATTTTATTCTCTTTTAATGTTGAGTAATGTTCCACTGTGTATATGTACCACAGTTTCTTTATCCATTCATCTACTGAAGGGCATCTAGGTTGGTTCCACAGTTCAGCTATTGTGAATTGTCTGCTATAAACATTGATGTGGCTGGTGGGATGGAAGAGGTCTTGAAGGAAAGGCAAGCAACAGTAGCAAATGCCAAATAACACACAGAGCGAAGTATCTGTAGGATTCAGCAATAAGAAAGTAGCCCTCTTGTCCTGGGGGAGGTCAGTCTTAATAGAGTGGTTCTGTGAGAGTTGAGATTAAATCCTAGAAATGTAGGGCCATGGAGGTTCTGGTTAGAAGAGGTCAAGGATCAGTCCAGACAATGCAGGGGCTCTTCTCCTAAGCTGGGGCTGCAGCTCAAACTGTTTTGGGTTGAAAAGGAAAATACAGGAAATCTTTGGCTCCTAAGACATCTGGATTTCTTTTTGTGGTTCCCTGGGATCTTCCGGTTATGCCTGAATGTAGGTGGCATTGCCTAGAGCCTTGCTAGCAAGGTGTGGTCTGAGGACCAGCATCGTTCATGGGGCTGATTCTGAGCCTTGTCAGTCATGAGTTAGGAAAGAAGAGGGCTCTGCAGGAGCTTGTGGAGCTTTGAACATCCTCAGGAGGATTCTCTTCTGTCTTCTCACAGTTCAGAACCTCCTGCCTATGTGCTCCATAATTAAGTTTAACTTCTTTGCAGCCTTGGGTCGGCAAGGCCTGGTGAAACCTGTTCTGACTCTAGGAACTCTGTGTGCGCATGCTAAGCTAGTGTCTAGAATGACTGCGAGGGGCCAGCAGGTTTCTTATCCTAAGGTGTCTCCTAATCTCTAACCTAGAAAAAAACCAATCAACCAACCAGATAAACGTCCTCCTTCAGGTGCCTCTAACCCAGGCAGTTAGTTCCTAACAACTCTGCAAGAACGTTCTTATTGGCAATAGCTAGCTATGCTCAAGGCTTTGGGTGCAGCCTGAGGTCAACTGGGTTTCACCAAAGCACTTGCTAACCTGGTGTTTCTCAAACTCTAATTCATCCAGGGATCTTGTTACAAAGCAGAATTAAGTTCAGCAAGTCTAGGGCCTGAAATTCTGCCTTTCTATCAAGCTCCCAGGGGATGTGCAGGGTGCTGGTCCTCAGACCACACTTTGTCAGCAAGGCTCTAGACAATGCCACCTACACTCAGGTGTAACCAGAAGATCCCAGGGGACCTCAAAAAGAAATCCAGATGGCCTAGGAGCCAAACATTTCCTGTATTTTCCCTTTCAACCAAAACAGCTTGAAAAGCAAATTTGTAGACAAAGCACCTCCAGATCTGAACCGGGTGAGAGTCCCCTGGGGGAAAACCCAGACTCATTTGGACGGTGAGAGTGTGACCCAGGTCCCTATAGAGGGGCCACGCCTCCACTGGGGGGTCTCAGGAAGTTCCTCTCCTGCGGTTACCGTCACGGAGGGTCTTCTCTTGTCGCCTCCAGGCTCGGGGAAAACCACGCTGCTGGATGCCATATCCGGGAGGCTGCGGCTCACGGGGACCCTCCTTGGGGACGTGTGTGTGAACGGCCGCTCGCTGCGTCAGGACCAGTTCCAGGACTGCTTCTCCTACGTGCAGCAGGTGGGCGCGCCCCAACCCCGCCCGGTGCCGCGGGCTCGCGCATCGCTGACGTCCCTCTCTCCTGCAGAGCGACACTTTTCTGAGCAGCCTCACGGTGCGAGAGACGCTGCACTACACGGCGATGCTGGCCATCCGGAGCGGCTCTGGAGACTTCTTCCACAGGAAGGTGCGTGGAGCCGTGTGGCGCTGGCTGCAGCTGCTCCGGGGCCACACTCCGGAAAGACCATCAAGCCCCCGGGGCTGGGCAACCTTCTTCCCTCCGCCTCTTTGCGTGTCCCTTCCTTCCCTTTGCTTTCGCCCCTGAGTTCTGTGCCTCACCTGCGCCATCAAGGTGACAGGCACGTGTACCTTTTGAACACCTGAAATTCGATCGATCCAAACCTAGACCTGCTCTAAGTGTAAAATAAACTGCTGGATTTCAGACCCTCCGTCTGTAAAAACAGAATGTGAATGCTCTCATTCAGAATTTTAAGAAATAATTATGAGAGAGTGAATTACTGTTTTGGCTGTAAAGAATATTATTATTAAAATTCATTTCACCTGGTGATTTTTTTTTTAATTTGGCTTTTAAAATATTCCCACTCTGTATGTGGTTTGCTTTAGCTTTTCTGTTGGACCATGCTGTTCTGCTAGGTCTGTGTTTGAATGGATGTGTTATTTCCCCACCAAGATTTTTCAACTTGCTTTTTAAGGGACCTTGCTTGAATAAGCTTCATCCAAACTGGATTAAGTAAATGAAGAATGAAACTATTGAATTGCTAACTCTTTTAGATTCCAATCTGGTTCTTAAATGCACCTGTTTTGGAAGTAGCTGCAGGTAAGTCCACCAGGACCTTACCTGGAAGCATTGTTGAGTTCTGTCTGGACTGTAAAGCCTGGGAGAATGCAGGGAACAATGACAGGTTGATGTGCCACCTTCAAAGAGGCACAGCTCCTTGGAAATGGACTTTTTGTTACCAGGCCTTTGGTGAGTAAACAGCATACTTCCATTTGAAACTCCTAGAGAACTCTGGGGCATAGCTTTCACTCTAGAGGAGCCTTAGAGAGAGGCTTGGCCTGCAAGAAGGACCTCGCAGAGCAATGCCTGACCCTGTCTCCTGCCTGGACTTTAGGTTGCCTTAGTGTGCTCTGAAGCATTGCAAGGCTCTTGCTGTTTTACCAGATTATACTTGACTCTCATTTCTGGTAAGCATTCAGCAGGGCTTGTATGTTCACATACAATATCTCTTTTCCTTCTGATATCAACCTCTGTGGGAGGCATTATCTCCCTCTTGCAGAACCACAAAGTGACACCAACAAGTTAAGATCAGACAACAGGGGATGGCAGATTTGGGACTGGAACCCAGGCCCTCTAGCTCCAGCATGTTCCCTGAGTCCCTTTGTGGTCTCAGAAGATGACACCAAATTTAGCCCATGCAGGTCTGGTGCAAATTCCTCTGGAATTTTATTCCATAAATCATCTTTTCACTTCAATCTAGTATATTTTGGTTGTTTTTCAACTCCATGTGTTTGTTTCTTTTTGCATCATATAAATGACACAATCTCATTAAGGACCAAAGACAACAAACTCATAAACATATATATATTCTCAGCCTCTTATATGGTTTCTCAGGGCCTCATGCAAAAGGGGGCAATCAGTAAAGGGAGGAATAGAAGTAGCAATTTTCCAACAGGTCTCTGGAACAGGATAAGCTGAGGAAAGAAAGAGGGAGAGGAAGGGAAGAGGCCAGCCTTCTTGATTCCAAAGTCAGTAAGGAATTGGGTTTCATAGTTATTGTTGTGGGGGAGTTGAAAATGTGGAGAAAGGCGAGGGGGTTCAGGGAGCTGCTGAGTTTAAGCAGATTGAAGAGAGGGAGTTTTTAAGAAGTATGGCTGTAGATTATAAATTGGTTCCCCTTTAAAGTCCTTAAAGAGATTCAAGTAAAGATTGGAATTATTTTTAATTACTTTTGGTAGCTAGATTATATTCTTTTGATGCAAAATCACACTGAGATTGGACCACTCGAGACTCTAGGATTTATTTGGGTTACACAGGGGAAACTGGGTTCAGTTCAAATCAAATTTGATTGTTTAAAATATATGAAACATTTATTATGATAAAGTTTCAAAATTCAAACACAAAAACAAACTATATTTTAACTATACCGTGGAGAGATTTTTCTGAAAGGGCTAAACTGACTGACATTTGAAGAGGAGTTTGGTGAAATATCTGTTGTTTCATGGTGAATTTCCCTAAAGCAATATAAACATATTTCATTGCTTTAGGGACTTTAAAATATATTCAGATTATTTATTTAAATCTGACACATGTATAATATTGTGATTTAAGCCAAATTGGATTTTACTATAACTGGTTTGATTTCCCCAGTGGTGAATTAGAAAGTAGCCCATGTAATCTAGAGGGCTGTTGCCTCTCTTGAGCCTTTTCTAGCCCATGAACTGAAGTCGAAGTCACAGGCAACACCCTGGGCTTTCTGTCTCCTGCAGGTGGAGGCAGTCATGGCAGAGTTGAGCCTGAGTCATGTCGCAGACCGACTGATCGGCAACTATAATTTGGGGGGCATTTCCAGTGGCGAGCGCCGTCGGGTCTCCATTGCAGCCCAGCTTCTCCAGGACCCCAGTAAGTGCAACGTGGGCCAGCAGTGCCTGGGCCTCCCATGTGTCTGCAGACACATGAGACCCCTTCTTCCCATTCCTCATTTAGGGAGGGGTTTGTGTAGAACTGAAATCACTGACAGTTTCCAAACGTTTTTGGAATTACTATATGTAGTTCATTTCCAGATGCTATTCCACAATCCAACTATAGACAGTTCCCAACTTATGAAGGTTTAATTTATGATTTTCAACTTTGGGATGGTGTGGAAGCAATACACAGTGGAAACCACACTTCAGTTTTTGAATCTTGATCTTTTCCTGGGCTTGTGATACATGGTACCATATTCTCTCATGATGCTGGACTGAGGCAGTGAGCCATGACTCCCATTCAGCCACGCGGTCACAAGAAGAAATGACTGACACTCTACAGTGGCGCTAAGTGTGCTGTTTTGTTCTGTAGGTTAGGTGTATTCGATGCACTTTTTTGACTTATGATTTTCACTTTACCATGGGTTTTGGAATGTAACCCATTATAAATCGAGGAACATCTAAACAAAACATCTCTTAGACTCAGAAGCATTGCATGTGCGTTTTAGTGTTCCGTTAGTACCTTCCATGAGTAGAGCCCTCCTGGTCCATCCTTATTTCTTTCTAACACAGTGTCTACGGGGGAAGGCCAATGAGTTCTGGTAGTAGAAGTGGAGTTTATGAAATGTCAGGAACCAAAGCAGGAATTTAAGTGGTGTGCTGAAAACTGTGCATGCCACAGGGAAGTGCTTCCCCCTGCCTGGTTTGGTCCCTTTCCCCACTTGGGCAAACTTTCCCACTCATGTGTACCTGCAAGTGGACACATGGCATCTAGGTACTTTACACTGTGGTAGATCAAGTCTGCCTGTTCTTCTGGTGGTATTTGGTCACTAGAAGGCAAAGAAGAGAGATGCTCTTAAGAGCCCTTGTCACTTTGGGGGCAGAAATAACCTATGGTTAAACCCTCTTCAGAAACCAAATATCTGGCCCACCTCAGACCTTGTTCCATAAGTCAGATTTCTTTGCTGTGCAAAGACCCTGTTACTGTTGGAAGAAGCTTCAGACATGAAGTGGGATTGTGTCTTTTTGGCCAGTCTCCTCTCAACTTTTTCAAAACATCTTGACACTTGCCTGCCAGCCTTGTTTCTTGTCAGAGTCCCCTGGATGGAGCCCAAAGAGAACATGGCACCAAGTAAGAGGCCTGATGTGGTTCTCTTAACCCCAAATATGCTCCAGAGCTGGGAGTTGGGCCCTCCTAGGTCAGGTCTTTCTCCTGGGCTTGGGCTAAAAGCCGGTTTGCATGCAGCCACTTCTCAGTGGGCACTGTTTAGATGGGGTACAACGTTTCAGTAAAGGACTGGTCCAAATTCTGAGATTTAAGCCCAGAACCTGGCCTAGGCAGAGGCTCAGATGTCTGTCCTTCTGTGCCGGCAGAGATCATGATGTTTGATGAGCCAACCACAGGCCTGGACTGCCTGACTGCAAATCAGATTGTCATCCTCCTAGCAGAGCTGGCCCGCAGGGACCGCATCGTGATCCTCACCATCCACCAGCCCCGCTCTGAGCTCTTCCAGGTAAAGGGTCATGTCTCTTGTTCTCTCAACTCGAGGGTGGGTGCATGGTGTGTTGAGTTGGGAATGGAGGGGCAGGTTATGATGTGTATTTGAGCAACTGGAGCCAAATCCTGATTTGGGAAGAGCAAAGGATGGGAACTTGCTTTTTTTGGCATCTGCCACATTCCAAATACTTTCTGCACACTGGCTTGTTTATTTAGTAAAATAATCCTCTGAGGTCCGCATCAGGATATCCACCCACCATACAGAGGAAAAGAGCAAAACTTAGCAATGACTCAAAATTGAGCAATATTACACAGTAAAAAGCTGGGATTGGCGTTCATGGTTGAGATGGTTTCAAAGGCTGTGTTTTTTCCATTGAATCTCACAGATTTCCTTTAAAGAAAAGTTTCACTCGATCCTCCCAGTATCGATTTAGTTAGCTATTATTTGCTTTGTATAGATGAGGATCCAATATTTCAAACACAAACAACAAACAAATAAAACATCCCAGGTTGCCCAAGGTCACTCTCAGTGGCATGGCTGGAACTTAAACCCAGGCCTGGTAGCTCTTCTCCACCCCAGATGTGATGCTGGGGCTCAGGATGGGATACAGCATGATCCACAGAGGTAACCCAGCTGGCAAGTTTAGGGATGCACTCCAAGTGTCTCCAATGGACCCATTAAGGATACTGATTAAGGTAATCAAAGGACTGACTAACTGCTTGGAAATGTATTTCCCATAAGGACATGGACCTGACCACACACTAACATCATCTGTTGTCTGATCAGCACTTCGACAAAATCGCCATCCTGACCTACGGAGAGTTGGTTTTCTGTGGTACACCGGTGGAAATGCTTGATTTCTTCAATGGCTGTGGTTACCCTTGTCCTGAACATTCTAACCCCTTTGACTTCTATAGTAAGTTTTTCTTTCACATTCCCCATAGTGAATTATTTTCTGAACTTTCTCATCTCAGATTTCTGCCAGGATGACACAAGCTCTAGAGGGGTTTGGTTTTACCTTTTTTGTTGGTTATTTTCACTTTTCAAAGAATTAATTCAGAGAGTCCATTAATCATCATTGACCTATCAGAAGGAGATGGGGAAATCTTTCCCAAATAAGTTGCGATACTCTTACTTTGTCAAGAGAAAAATGAATCTCTATTCTTCTGAATTCTCCTAGGAAGTCTCAGTGGGATTTTTATGAGCTTTAAAATATTCTGATTTTATAAGTGGTCATTAGTGACAGGTTTGATTCTGATGGGATGAATAATATCCAAATCAATGAGGAGATATTATTATCATCCATTGTATATGCATTTAAAAAGACATGAGTTATATCTTTGGGGGGAAAATGTAGTGGACCTGACATCAGTGGATACCCAAAGCAAGGAACGGGAAATAGAAACCTACAAGAGAGTCCAGATGCTTGAATCTGCCTACAAAGAATCGGACATCTACCGCAAAACTTTGGAGAATATTGAAAGAACAAAACACCTGAAAGCTTTGCCAATGATTCCTTTCAAAACCAAAGATCCTCCTGGAGCTCTCTCTAAACTGTGGGTTCTCTTGAGGTAAGGAATTTTGGGAATGTGAGCAAGACCCATTTTAGGTGTTTGGACATTCACCAATAATGAAAGAAAAGGTATTAAAATGGGGTTGTTTGGTTTTCAGGAGAGTGACGAGAAACTTACTGAGAAATAAGCAAGCAGTGATTATGCGTCTCGTTCAGAATCTGATCATGGGCTTGTTCCTCATTTTCTTCCTTCTGCGGGTTCAGAATGAAATGCTCAAGGGTGCTGTCCAGGACCGCGTGGGTCTCCTTTACCAGTTTCTGGGCGCCACCCCATACACCGGCATGCTCAATGCTGTGACTCTGTGTAAGTGCTAGTGACCAGGAGGTAAACGTCTAAATGTCTAAACGTCTCCCTGCTCCATCAGTCACCTTGCCCAAGTTCACCATTATAAGGGGACTTCTTTGAGCTAAACCTGGCTCTTTCCAGGATTTCTCTCTGAGGAAAGATCGCTATTGAGTTACTAACACCTCAGTGTGTATTAACTCACCAGGTTGATCTCTGTGAGTTTCAAAGGATCCAGGGAAACATGAAGTTATGAGGTGTTGGTGGTGTAGAGTTTGGAATCATTCCTGGTATCTCATCTTGGTCTTTTAGGATGCGCAGCTCATTTTAGCTAATTTGAGTCCTAATTTGGAATAGCCCTCACCTAATTTTCAAGCTCAGTGGGAATCCAGAAGCAACTTCTAGCTGCCTGATGTTATAGTTTATGCAGGAAAATGGATGTTAGAGGGAGTTCCAGAACATAACTCTATGTTCAGAGAATAAGAAGGAAGGATATTGCTTTTGCAGAGTGGGTCCTAGAGATGGGCATGAGGGGCAATGAGAAGTTTCTGCATTTACCAGGGTTTTCAGGTCCTCTGAGAGTTAGTGTAGGATGTAGGCTGCTATGGGGACCAACATCCTACACAAGAAAAGGACAATGTGCCTCAAATCACTCATTCATGCCCCTTTTACATGTGCTTTTCTGAATTGGTGACAACCTTCTGCTTTAAAGAAAAATAATTATGTTTTCTTGTGCAACCATATCGCAGTTTAGGTTGAGTGTGGACTTTTGGGGTGGGGAGTATTTATTGTTCTGTGGATGGCAGGTCCCTTCCTTCCATGACTGGGGAATGTTCCCAGCTGGTCCTCACCAACCAGCCTTGACAGACCTCAAGCTGGGCTTGGGCTAGCCCTCCCTCCCTCAGCTCTGTGTGTCTGATTGTTCTGGACCCTGCCTTGCATGCCAGTTCCCGTGCTGCGAACCGTCAGTGACCAGGAGAGCCAAGACGGCCTATACCAGAAATGGCAGATGCTACTGGCCTATGTGCTGCATGTCCTTCCCTTCAGCATCATGGCCACCTTGCTGTTCTCCAGCGTGAGCTACTGGTAAGAAGGTTTTTGGGAGGCATTCAATTTACCTGGGCCAGACCTGCCAAGGAGTCACAGAGGGCCAGTGGGTGAGAGAGCTCCGGGTGCCTGACCCCATGTTCTCAGCTGCAGGAGAGCGGCACTTTGCCCCTCAGTGCCTAGAGCAAGGCCCTGTCCTTCAGGATATTTATTTCATTGTAAATGAAATCACAGAGCCACAGGCTGCATGGGACCGGAAAGCAAATCACGAAGACCACATGTTCCAGAAGAGTATGCCCCATGTGCCCTGCAGGACTTAAGCTAGGAAGAGGGCTCTCAAGGAGCTGGGACCCAGATGAGGCTCAGGAATAGCCATGGTGGCTACTGTTCACCAGCAACTAAGTCTGGGCAGCTCTGCCTGAGACTTCGCTCATGGCCCTGGTGTCACACTCTGGGTGGGCTGAGGGCTGGAGGAGTAGGAGTGATAGCATCGGAAACCATGAGGCATCAATGCTGTTGGGTTTCGATGGATGGCTCTTAGAAGTTGGTTTTACTCTGGAGAATGACAGAGGCAAGGCCACTTGCCCTCTGTCAAGACGAGAGTGGACAATCCACCCAGAGCAATGGCAGGAATCACGTGGCTTCCTTGCTGGCCCTGATGAAACCTCCACATTCCGACACACAGAACACACTGAATCTCTGGCTTATGATGCAAACCACAGTCCCATCTGTTCAGGGTCCATGAATTCAGAGAAGTGCATGTTCCATGTTCTCTAAAGGCAAAGTTTCTATTTTATTTATTTATGTATTTATTTATATGTGGTGCTGAGTATTGAACCAGAGCCTCACACATGCTAGGCAACTGCTCCACCAGTGAGCCACAACCCCAGCCCACGACTAGGGTTTTGTTTTGTTTCGTACCAGGGATTGAACTTGGGGGCACTCAACCACTGAGCCTCCTCCCCAGCCCTACTTTGTATTTTATTTAGAGACAGCATCTCACTGAGTTGCTAAGAGCCTCACCAATGCTGAGGCTGGCTTTGAACTCGAGATCCTCCTACCTCAGCCTCCCAAGCCTCTGGGATTACAAGTACACACTACCATGCCCAGGTCTAAGTCAAAGTTTTTCTTTTTTTTTAAATATATTTTTTTAGTTGTTGATGTACCTTTATTATATTCATTTATATGTGGTACTGAGAATTGAACCCAGTGCCTAACACATGTTTAGGCAAGCTCTCTACCACTGAGCTACAACCCCAGCCCCTCCAAGGCAAAGAATTTAAAGTTGACATTTTTTTAGTAAAACAAGGCCAAGTGATAACTGAAGATTTGTTAATTTAGAATTTTATTACTCATAATGGGTTATGGACCAGTGTCACTGTTATGTGATTGTTTCAAATGCTTAATCACAGGCCCAGAATTACTGAATTGGATTCTGTATTTATGAGAAGTTCCAAGTAATTCATGTGAACTTTAAAATTTACCAAGCATTGATTTTGAAAACCGTACAGTATTTGTGATCCTGACCCTGAGAAATAATTTATACTGTAGGACTTGAGAAAACAGGATAATTTTAAACCAGGTTCTGTGCAATCATCTAGTTCACGACTAGTTCAGACATTAAAAAGCAGAATCATTTCTAATATAGGTAGCCATGTAGCAAATACTTCATTTAAATGACAGGAATATTTATTGAATGCCTATCAATTTCAGGCACAGGGTTGGTGCTAGAGGAGATTCAAAGAGAATTAAACATCAAGGTTGCAAAGATTTTATAATCAAAACATCTCTGAGAGCCAAGAGTGTTTTTGTAACTCTTTAGCACCATGATCTGACCTGAACTCACTGAATAGAACCAGCAAGGGGCTCTTGAGACTTGTTCAAATTCTGCTTAGTAGAAATATTCATGGGCTTTATTACAGATGTGTTTTCAGATTCCATTGCAGCAAGTATGGTCTACCTTTCTAGAATTGGTAAATTTCCACATTCAAAAACACATCTGGTCATATGTAGTGGTACATAAGTGCATTTCCAGCCATTCAGGAGGCTGAGGCAGGAGGATTGAAAGTTTGAGGCCAGCCTCAGCAATTTAGCAAAACCAGTCTCCAAATAAATAATAAAAGAAGTGGTATGTAACTCAGTGACAAAATGCCCCTGGGTTCAATTCTCAGTGCTGAAAGAAAAAAAAAATCCCACAATCTGGCCTTAAAGCATTTCAGATAATGAACTGTGGACATGAACAAATCTCCAGATGACTTTGATTCAAGGAAAAGAAAATTAGTCTAATAAAGGACCACAAATGCTTCACTGAGATATACAACAATGACAGCAGCTAATACATATTGAGCACTTACTTTATGTGAGCCGCTGTGAGCTTTAAATGCATTAATTCACGTAATCCTTGCAGCTGTCCTGTGAGGTGGTCCTGGACTTGTCCCTGTTTGTAGATGAGGAAATTGAGACACTGATGGGATGTGTTCCCCATCTCACTCCACAGTTAGTATTAGAGGACAATAGGAGTCCATCTTCTGGGTAGGAAGAAGGGTTCCAGGGGAGAGGAGTTTTGGAGAAGAACTCTCAGAGGGTTTGGGGGAAGAACCTGAGAGGGAGCAAGGGCGTTCCAGGTGGAGAAAGCAAGGACACAGGTTCAGAAGCAACACAGATAAGATCTTTTCAGAGAAATGGTTCAAAGTGGGAAATGAAGAATCGGAGGAGTAGAAGAAACTGAGACAAAACTCTGGTGGCTGCTAAGAGAGGCACTGACTGCGAGACTAAGGGCTGGCACATAGTTGATAATGGGACATGGGAGAGGATTTTGCATCAGGAAGTGTCCCCTCTGTGTTGGGTTCTGGACAGTGAGTCACTTTGACAGCAGACTGGAGTTAGGACAGAGTTGTTGGATAGCCCAATAAGGAGCCTTTGCAAATGTCTATGGGAAAGACAGAAGCCCACAAATGAAGAGTAACTGTGGCAAGAGAAAGGGAAAACCTTTTTTGGGGTGAGGGGATTGGGGATTGAACCCAGGGGCGCTTAACCACTGAGCAATATCCCCAGCCCTTATTTTTTATTTAGAGATAGGGTCTCACTAAGTTGCTTAGGGCCTTGCTAAGTTGCTGAGGCTGGCTTTGAACTCCCGATCCTCCTGCCTCAGCCTCCTGAGCTGCTGGGATCACAGGTGTGCGTCACCATGCCCTGCAAGGGGAAATCACTTTGAGATTCTGGGAAAGTACAATCAAATGGATTCAGATATGGAATGAATTTGTTGGAATAAAGAAAAATCATAGATGATGCTTGGGTCAGGAGAGGAGGGAGGATGAAGCATCCTTACCAAAGTTTCCAGGAGAGAGAATGGTTTTGGTTTTTTGAACACTTTGGTCTGGGTTAAGGTGAAGTACTGAGAAAAAGTAGGAGAAACAAGAGTAAAGACCCGTGACAGTACAGAGAGAAGGGAGGAAGCAGTCTGAGTGTAAAACCTTAAAACAGGGACAGAGACTGGGAAGAGAAGAGCAAGCCGACGAAGGAGGCAAAGGGTGGTCAGGGAGGCAGAGGGAGAAGCAGCACTGGGGAGCAGAGGGGGGAGAGGACTTCTAGGGGGTGTGGCCAACCCTTTTGGTGTGACAGAGGTTATGTGAGGTGAAGCACTGCAATCTTCCAGAAGAGAGCCTCAGTAGAGCAGGGGGATGCAAGTCAGGTTTACAAGGGAAGAAGGGGCAAGACGGAGGAGGCAGATGTTGTCTGGGGGAGCTTGGTGAATGGGAACAGGGAGCTGCTAAATGATTATCAGACTCAAAGAATGGTTGCTTAGGATGTGGCAAATAGGATCATAGAAAACAAGGGGGCTGGAGGTGAAGTTCAGTGCTAGAGCATTTCCCTGCATGCCCAAGGCCCTAAGCTCGGCCCCCAACACTGCAAAACAAACACACAACAAAAATCAGATTGTAAGTGGATTTAAATACAGATAAAATTTGCTAAGCTATAGATCAAGTTTTCAGAGTAGACCAAGGTAGGGATAGGAGAACCAAATAACATGGAATCATGATACCAGGAGATAGGGCCACACTTGAAAGAGATGGAGATGGATGGGGGGAGGGAGAGAGAGAGAGAGAGAGAGAGAGAGAGAGAGAGAGAGAATAAGAAATTCATAAAATGGGAGGTGAGCACTGGAAAAGAAATAGAGGAGGGGGCTAAAGTAGGGGTTCATGTCAGCATGATGTGACATGCCATTGGAATCCAAGATGCTAGGAGGAACTTATGGGTTCAGAAGCCCGTTGAAGCAAAAGGGCAGAATGGCTTCAATTAGTACAGCAATATACTGTGTTCCACACACTTTAGTAGCTTAAATGACAAGCAGGGTTCCCAGAGGTGAGGATTAATCCTGCAAAGGATGACAGAAGGCAGCAAGGCCCCGAGGGAGTGAGGGCTGGGGAAATGGGAGGCAGAGGCCATGATAAGAGAGGGAGTTTTGGAATCTGAAATCTTGGAAGTGAGACAGTTTTGAGTAGTAGCTAAGTCTAAGACATGCCAAATGACCCAGTTCCGTCTGAAAGGAGATCAGCTAATTAGGAGACAACCTGGTTATGCTGATGACTCATCGAGGAGATTAAAGACCTTGAGGAAAATTAAAGCAATAGGAAGGGAAAGAACGACCCTTGTCCAGATGCGACAAATCACCAAAGGTGAATGTTTTAAAAGTCACAAGACAAGCCAGGTGTAGTGGCACATGACCCTAATCCCAGCTACTCTGGAGGCTAAGGCAGGAGGATTCAAAGATCGAGCCAGCCTGGGTGACTACTTAGTGAGACACTATGGCAAAATTATAAAAGAAAAAACAGATGCAAGAAAGACTACACCGGGGAAGGGAATCGATAGCATAGACAATGATTTGTACAAGAGGCAGAATGGATGGTCTTGAGGGTGGGTGGGGATCAGAAATGCCAGTTTCTTTCTCCACTGTACAAATGCAATAAAGAGCAGCTAAGTCTATGGTCATTAAAACATGCTGTCTCCCTGTAAGATATAATTTGGTAAAAGGAACATAAGAGAAAAGGGTATGGATATAGGGTCGCTTGTAGTATAGGTAGTAACACAGTTAATTATGAATAGACCTGGGAGTTCACCAGCCCCACTTATGACAGCTAACGGGTCTAAGTAGTTTAATATTTTCCCATGAGAGCTGAGGGCGACTGACTTTGAGTTGAACAGAACCCACTGTGGTAATAAACGAACTCAAATATTGGTTCTTCCCAAAGGCCTTAGAGAGGGGAGCTGGGCTTGCCCTGCTGACTCCTCCCACCCAGGATTATTCATAGAAGGCAAACATGGTATTTTTTCTTAAATGAGAGTGCTTGGGGAGGAAACTAAAGAACTTGTGTTTTTCTAGGACGCTGGGCTTATACCCTGAGGTTGCCAGATTTGGATATTTCTCTGCTGCTCTCTTGGCTCCCCATTTAATTGGTGAATTTCTGACTCTGGTTGTACTTGGTATGATCCAAAACCCCAATATCGCCAACAGTGTAGTAGCTCTGCTCAGCATTGCCGGGGTGCTAGTTGGATCTGGATTCCTCAGGTAAGATATAATGATTCAAAGGACTTAGCTTGGTATGTTACTAATGAACACTTGATATGATTGTTGTATAGGAACCTCAGAGAAGAGCTATGGATACTTGCTAAAGATATTACTTTATAGTGTGGTGTTATTTATATTGCTTGCTTATCGTTATTGCCTTAGACCTTGAGCTTTTCACCAGGTGTTCAGTGAAATGTCTTTTTATTGGGAATCAGGAAATGACAAGATAAGTGTTCTATTGATATGATTCATATATAATAAGCCATTAAAATGAGAGAAGAAAACCCACCTGGATGTTCCAGAAAAACTCACAGCCCATACAATAGGCTAAATGATGTGTGTATTAGTTTACTTCTGACCTGGTACTGCTGGGTCTCTAGTCCAGTTTCCAAATCCTAGTTTTTTGGGGGGAATTAAGAATAGTCAGATAAGAAAAGAGCCTACAGGATGAAAGAGAGCCCCCCAAAGAATTAAGACTTAAAAGATGTACACCAAATGTTTATAGTTATTATGTCTGGGTGGTATTTAAATTCTTCTTCATATTTTTAAAATATTCTATAATGGACAAGCATCATTTTATAACCAAGACTACATGTGTGTGTGCACACACACACAGACACACACAGACACACACACACACCCACCGAGAGAGAGAGAGAGAGAGAGAGAGAGAGAGAGAGAGAGAGAGAGAGAGAGTTTTAAAGTAGCAGAGGAAAGGATAGAACATTTTAAAAGGGTAAAAATGATTCCAAGCAGGTGATGAGTGGGATCTAGGAAGTAAACTGTGGGCTCCCAGGAAATGTAAAGAGGGCTTTGTTTCTTTTGGCTTAAAAATCAAATAACAAGGGCTTAAAAATCAAATAGTAGTGCACTTGCCTCCCATGTGTGAGGCATTGGGTTCATTTCTCAGCATCACATATAAATAAATGAATAAATAACAGTCCATCAACAACCAAAAAAAATTTTTAAAAAATCAAATAACAAAAAACCTACTGAGCATCTATTATACATGATTTCCTTTCTTTATGTAGTTGTTTAATTCTCAAGAGAAATTTGGGTAAGGAAACTAAGTTCAAGCTTGACTTAGCTCACGTCCTACCACCTTGAAGACACCCATGATGCCCGTGGCCCCTGGAGAGAGTGCTGCCCTAGGACTCTGAAACCTCCTCTAATGCCTTAGCTGTCCCATGACTATGAACAAGTCACTTTCCTATCTAAATTAGTTTCCTCATTTATAAAATGGAGGTACTTATCTGGGCCCTGCCCACCTTAAGAGATCACAAGGAGTAAATAAGTTTATTAACACGAGAACACATTGTGAGCTATTCCAAGTTATAGAAAAAGAGAGATACTATAAAGCAAAATGAGGCTGGGTGCAGTGATGCACACCTATAATCCCAGTGGCCCAAGAGGCGGAAGCAGGAAGATCACGAGTTCAAAGACAGCCTCAGCAAGGGCGAGGCACTAAGCAACTCAGTGAGGCCCTGTCTCTAAATAAAATACAAAATAGGGCTGGGGATGTGACTCAGTGGTTGAGTGCCCCTGAATTCAATCAGAAAGGATTTTTAAAAAAAATTTTACAATTCTTTGTATTTGTCTCTGTTGTTTAAATGGATTGATAGCTTCTGTGAAAAATGCACAAATCAAATCACCACAAGGTTATAGAATCAAGCTGGCAAGGTGCAGACCTAAGCTCTTTTATATTATGTGGATCATTAGAGTGCCCATCTAGCAGTGTTTCATTTGTGTGGTTTTAGGAAAAAGGGATTAATTGCTCCTGAGAGGAAGGCAGTGACCAACATTACTAGATGCTTTGGGGTTCTTTCCAAAATCTTCACATCCCAAGGGTTCAAGCAGATTCCACTTCCATCACAGAATTAAAACTCCATTCCTAGAGGCCACTTTAAGCTCCAGTCACTACATTTCTGTCTGTCCCTCAGGTGTGCATCTTTCCTGACTAAACTGCCTGTAGCATTTGTACTTCTGGTTCCCTCTTCCCTCAAACACGAATAGAAATAGCTTTGTTCTTCCTTCTACTTATATAGTGCGAATTCTTTAGGGCAAAAAACACACTCTAGAACTGCATGAGGAAGGAATAAGAACCCCGAAGTACTACCACCAGAGTTCAATTTTGTTGCATATCTTGCTAGACTATAATAACATCTTTTAATAAAAACGAGATGAGATTTTTTGTAACATGGGAAATATGCACACTTCCTTCCTATGAGCTACATATCGTGGCTAGTCTCATGTCAATCAATTTGGACCTGTGCTTCCTCCCTCTTGAAAGCATAAGGCTTTCTGTAACGGCCTGCTTCTCCTCTGTGCCTCTCACCCGCCCATCTGTCTCCTCTGCCACATGCACAAAGCCAGTCCCACCTTCCCATGACTAGAGGAGCGCTCTGACAGCTCCTGAATTTTCTCCCAGTGCCCCTTGCGTGCCACCTAGCGCCTCAGCCTTTCTTTTAATAGATTGTCAACCACTTAAGGGCAGCAGCTGTGTCTCATTCTTTCTCAGGTGCCAGCCTATGGCCTTGAACCAAAAATTATTTGTTGAGCTGAAAGATTGCATGCATGACTCTCAAACTGTCCGCACACTGGATCAGTCACCAACTCAGGTAGTTTTCTTTTCTGATGTCAAGTCACAGGCATGTGGAGCATTCGTGTTTCATCCCGCGTAGTACAGGAGGAGGAGGCGGCACACGGTTCTTACCTTGAATGGGCAGCCAGCCAGGCAGCCAACTTCTCGTGGCCATCATCCTGTTCAGGATGTCTATCATCTGATACTTGAACTTCTGCTATAGCCTGTTCCCTATCTTGCTGTCCTCAATCTGCTTTTTTTCTGGTCCATCTTATTTGCTGGTGCCACGTTAACTTTCCTTAAAATAATGATTTCAATATGACCTTTCTTAAGGTCATGCAATGTCAACTCGTTTCAGGTCTCCCACACTTGTTTCCAGCTGTCTTTCTAACTCACCTCTCACTGCTCCCACTTGAAATCCTCTGTGTAGCCTTTCAGTTCCATTCAGTCCCAAATGCAACTTTGACAGGCCTGTGCCCAGCCATTTCTGTCTTCTGTGAATGTCCCTTTTCTTCCTCTAAGTCCTTCCCAAATTCCCACCTATCCTTTTCAATGAAAAGCCTCTCAATGTGGTTCATTCATTTTGTGCCTAAGAAAACTGCCAATAACTCAAAGTCATAGAATTTGGGGGTCATGTGAGATTAGGTGAAACCATAAACACCAAATATAAGAATACTATGGACCTGTAGTGCCTGGTTTTTAGACTTTCTTGACACAAGTTGTTCACTACGGAGCACTTTTTGTCTGAAGGATGCATGGTCTGTATCTCTTGTGAATTCTTTAAGATAGGACATTTTTTTTTTTTAATTCCTAAAGCACTTGGAACCAGTTCCTTATAAGAAACTACATAGTGGACCAAGAAAGCCAGTATCAGCATGAAGTTCTTCCTGAAATAGACTGGAGAGGAGACAGAATTCCTTCTCGAAATGAATGTCTGCTTGCTCTCTTCATCCTTTCTCCCTTGGGGTCTCGTTTTAGTGTGTGTTTCTATCAATGCTGCTTACCCCAGAAATGAGACATTGATCCTAAGAGGAATACTGTACCACACAGCTTGATTGAAAATGACTAAGTGCTCCATTGACTGACTTGGAAGGATGTCTGAGACACATGTTTGGGAGGAAAAGTCAAAAAAGAGCATGAGGCATCTAATTCCATTTGTGTAAAATTTTATAAAATAGTATAAAATTTTATATATACATAGATATGTATACATATGTAAGTATGTTTATATATGCATATATATATATATATATATATATATAAATAATATTTTTTCACCAAAATGTTAACAATGGTCATTTCTGGGTAATATTTCTTTATATTTTCAGCAGTATTTGAAGATTTTTGTAGTGAGCATAATTTTTATAATAGAGATGGAAAATTAAGTAAGAAAGCATAAAATAAGGATTGCCTTTCTTTTTGTTTAGTAAAACTATTTACCAGAGCCTACTGAATATGTCTCTTTTGCTTTTCTTAAGAAACACAGAAGAAATGCCTATTCCTTTTAAAATCTTCAGTTATTTTACATTTCAAAAATTTTGCTCTGAGATTCTTGTAGTAAATGAGTTCTATGGACTGAATTTCACTTGTGGTAAGTAATCTATTTTGGAATATTATTTTTACATATTACTCTGAGGAAGCAATTTTCTGAGGGAAACATTTTCTAATAAATGTTATATTTTATAGTAAATTGATTTAAAAGCTGGTTTTGAAATAAAGTCCAAAATTTTCTTTAAAATTTAAAATAAAATAGGCCGCCCATGGTAGCTCATGCCTGTAATCCCAGTGACTTGGGAGGCTGAGGCAGGAGGTGCACAAGTTCAAGGCCAGCTACAGCAACTTAGTGAGGCCCTGAGCAACTTAGCAAGACCCCACCCCAAAACAAAAAAATAAAAAGGGTTGGGGATGTGGCTTAGTGGTTAAGCATCCCTGGGTTCCATCTCCAGTAGCCCTCCCACACCAAAAAATAGACAGTGGTCAAGTTAGTCTATCAATCACCTGATGCTTTTAGAAAGCAACAGATCTTACGTACATTGAAGTAAACACTAGTATATTTTAGATAGGCTCTGAAGTGGCTTTTTGTTCCCCAAAATATACACAGTATATAACTGAGTAAATTAAAAAATGGCAAAAGTTGATTCCCCAGTCCCACAAGAGAGCAATGGGAACATAACAAGGTCCTTATGACCACTGGAAATCCGAGGGTCACTCTGAAGACAACTAAAGAGCATAGTAGAACTTAGTGGTTTGTTTCAAATTAGGTGACAAGGTCAGTAACTTTAGGATATTTGGTGTAGGGTGATCATAGTTTTTATGTGGAATATGGTAATGAATCTATACCCCCAATGGAAACAAATCCATCTCCATCTTAAAATGAAGCCGAGGCCCAGAACTTTCACATTTGCTGCATCTAATTGTGCATTCCAGGCTCTCTAAGATGAATCTTTTATGAAGAAGGGTACTCAGCAGAGTGCTAAGCTCTTTGTGAGTAGTAGGTAAACACTTGCTGATTAAATAACCTGAGATATTCCATACCTGACATTGTCAATCTTTTTCTTGGCAGGCAGCTTAAATGCTTCTATGATGTATCATCCACTATGTACCATCACTCAAGGAATTCAATTCATTGAGAGAACATGCCCAGGTGCAACAGCCCGATTCACAAAAAACTTTGTCATTTTATATTCATTTATCCCAGTTCTTGTCATCTTAGGAATAATTGTCTTTAAAATACGGGACTATTTCATTAGCAGATAGTAAAGAACATTGCTGGGAAGATGGGACTTCAGTCTAGATGTGACAGCTGCTTTGACTGGAATAAGAATGCCATGTATTTCTTTTTCACTAGAACATTTTCAATCTTTTAACCATGAAGACTCCATTTGTGCCTCTTGGATCCACACAGGACTTGAGTGCAATGGAAATGGTTCAAAGTCCTTTGCTATTCCAACTTGTGGGGATGTGGTATTTGGAAATAGTGACTGAGCTGGTCCAAGAATGTAAATACAATTCATAAACTTATGGGAGACTAGTGTGACTATTTGCTTCCTTTGTTTTAGACACACAAAAAAAGCCAATTAAAAATGATGTGTATATGATAAAGAATTAAGTAAGAACAAAACATTTGAATTATCACTGACTAGAATAGTAGGTAAAAAAGACTTATGGGTTTAATTGGAACAAAAGATCCTGCAGAATTGGGTAAGAAGCTTTAGCTGTCATTTGCTCTTGTCCACATGAGAGGTCTGGGTTGCCCAGATCACATTGAGAGGATGTTGGACAGATAGACAGTGAACACCACTATTCAGAGCACCCAGTGATTTTTTTTTCACATTTAAAATTGCAGGAAGGGGCTGAATAGTGAATGCCACATACCAGACAAACCTCTGGTGATGTTTTAAAATATGAGTTTGCTATTTTTTGCTTTCAGTCTATTTTACTTATAAAATTAAAAGTTACTAGATAGGTGTAGGCACTGACAAATGACCTCTTTAAGGTTGGAGATGAGCTATTATTTAAAATCCATGTAGAAAAATGCTCATCTGACATTTTCAGCAAGAAGAACAGGATTATACATTAGGGATTCATGTTCTTGAATGATAAAGAGAAAGAATGTTGATGAATACAAACACAGACACCTATATTACATGTGTACAGGGATGAAGTTATGAATACAATTAAATATGGATTCTTTAAAATTTTTTTTTAGTTATAGATGTACACAATATCTTTATTTTTATGTGATGCTGAGAATCAAACCCAGTGCCTCACACATGCAAGGCAGGTGCTCTATCACTGAGCTACAGCACCAGCCCTAAATATGGATTCTTTACTAAATGATTTTTCATCTTTCTGATCGATCTTCAAGTAATTGACATACAAGTCTGAAATGAAACTATCTCAATGTTGCCATGGAAACTTGGAGCAAGAATATCCTAGAAAGCACATGAACTTGTTCAGTTACTGTGACCTAACTTATAAAAAGAATGATAAATTATAGCACTTGAAATGGCTCATGTTATAGTAGGAAAGATCATTTCATTAAGGAAACCACAGTAAAATTCTCCTGCTTAGAATGGTATTTAAGGATCTGGAGACACCGGTAAATTACCAGAATAGTATTGTCAATTTTTATAAAAGGTCTTTGACACCAATGATTATGGTATAATAGTTACATAATGCCTTACAGATTATATATGTCACATCAGTTATAGACAATTCTGGAGATGATAATCTATTAAAGTAGTTCAAAGAGAGTCCCACAGGAATCTCTTTTGAAATCACTGATTTCAACTTACTAAAGATATGGGTGTACAAGGTAAGTGGAAACATTTTCTGCTATTCATATGCAGATGAATTTCATTCTGCTCAGAAACATTAGGAAAATTGACATCACACGTGACTTCAAGCTATTAAATGTTAGTGATAGCATCGTAGGAAAACACAATGGCTTTCAACATATGACAGTTTGTGTCTAAAGTAAAAAATGGACAGTAATATGTAAGAAAATCAAATTATATAATAAAAATTCCTATTACTATTGGGGAATAGGATTTTTCTTCCCACCAAGTCAGTGATATTTCTGAGATCATATTGTTTACTGTGAATTTAAAGGGAGCTCTTTCTCAACTGCAAACAGGCAGGGAATCTAACTGTTCTTAAGACTGAGATTCTTTGGGCTGGGATTGTGGCTCAGTGGTAGAGTGCTTGCCTCAAGCGTGTGAGGCGCTGGGTTCCGATTCTCAGCACCGCATATTAATAAACAAAGTAAAGTCCATTGACAACTAAAAAACTATTTTAAAAAGACTGAGATTCCTTGAATAGGACATTACTTTCCTATGTTCATATATGATTACATGACCAATGTAATTCTGCATCATGTACAACCAGAAGAATGGGAAGTTGTACTCCATATATGTATAATATATGTCAAAATATATTCTACTGTTATGTATTAACTAAAACAAAAACCAAAAAACTGAGATTCTTTAGAAACATGCTAAAAATCCTGTTCTTAAGAGTGTCAGAACTATGTGTGCTGCAAATAGTTTGTGAAGTCCTATTGGTTGGCAGTAATCAGATATCTACTCAGATGCCACTGGTCAATCTGAGTGTTCTTGGAGCTGGTAAATGTGCTCTTTTGAAGGTGGATGCAGGGCACATTAGAGTCAATGTGTTTTGTATGTGGAAATAGAACAATAAGAATAACTTCCTGATTAATGATAGCAAATATTCTTAAAATTAAAGTTGACTAGCAAGCACACAAATTCACAGAACTGAGAAGGCTTCTTAAAGGTTATACTACCTTGGACATGATCCTGGTTATCCCCAACAAATGAAGTTTTGGTTTACTTATTGATAGGTTATCGCCCCTAGATTTGCCTGTTCTGCAAAAAGTGATATTTAAATAAATGAGTCAGTCTCACAGAGGAATGCTGATTTAAAATGTTCCATTCCAGACAATTGATTCAGGATCTCTTGATGTGAGGACCCAGGAGTGTCCATTTTAAATAGTTCTTCACTCTTGAGGGTAAAACCAGCTACAGCTGAATATACCACGTATCCAACATGGGCACTTGAACTTATTTTTAAGACCAAATACTTTTGCTTTCCTAAAAACATAAGCAGATATGTATACATGCTTACTTAGGTCTATACTACTTACACATTAGAGGTAGATAATAAAAGATTCTTTTATTTTTCAAAAATATATTATATGTAGTCACACAATTTTTTCCCCTTTGAAAATATTTTAGAATATCCAGAGAGTTGCAAGAGAACAAGAAATTCAGCTTTTCTTCTAACAAATTACACATCTTAACTTTTGTCACATATTGACACAATATTTAATAATCTTACTTGGATTTGGGAAAGAAGAAATAAATACACAATAGTTGAATTAAGTCAAGAATCAAGATCAATTTGTTTCCAAGACTTTGAAGAGCTTCTCTTGTATTGTTCCAGTTCCTAAAACAAAAATGTATTATTTTTAAGAAAAATCAATTTTATAAATTCAAGTAGACATATTAAAGCTGCCTTAGCATTTTTAGATATAACAATGTGTTCTTTCTAGCATTATCATTCTCAAAGCTTGTTGATAATTATTTTATAAGTGATTGTACTAAAGATTAATTTTCTAGAAATAGTCTTCAGAGCTTCTGTCTAATCTAAACAGAAATGAATTTATTAAAGTTTCATACAAAATTATATATTTCATATATAATACAAATTGTCTTTTAACTAATAAAATGTAGCATCTGTCATATTTTAAATATTGATATCATTTTAATTTGCTGTTCAAAGCTGAAGTTGAAGTTAGCAAAATATTAATATTTAAGATGTATATAATCTTTGAACCAGTGATTCTACTTTTAGAAATTTACCATACAGAATTATAGAGAGGTATACAAGGATATAAATGGAAGAATGCTCATTGATTATTTTTTTTTAATTTAAATTTAAATTTTTTTGGTACTGGGGGTTGAACCCAGGAGCACTCAACCACTGAGCCATATCCCCAGCCCTTTTTATATTTTATTTAGGGGCAGGGTCTCACTAAGTTTCTTAGAGCCTTGCTATGCTTCTGAGGCTGGCTTTGAACTCACAATCCTCCTACCTCAGCCTGTCAAGATGCTGGGAGCGTGTGTCTCATTGCTTATATATCTCAGCACACCACTAGAAACAATTTAGATATCTCCCAATAAAGAAGGATTAAATACCTCAAGTGTTCATTCACACATGGCTTCCTAAGCAGCCAGCAAAAACAATGGTGGACATATGTCACCTGATAACAGCAAATAGCTAGGGAGAAGGCAGGATACTTCCATGTGCTATCTTGTATGTATGTATGTATGTATGTATTTAGTTTGTTTGTTTTTGTATTGAGAATTGAACCAGAGGTGATATACCATAAACTAAGCTTCATCCTTAGCACTTTTTATTTTTTATTTTGAGATAGGGTCTCACTAAGTTGCTGAAGGCCTCACTTAGCTGCTGAGGCTGGTCTCAAATTTGCAATCCTCCTGCCTCAGCCTCCTGAGTTGCTGGGATTACAGACTGCACCACTGTGCCTGCCCCCCCACACTCTTTTTTAATTTAAACAAAAATATAGAAAAGGGATAGAAAGGTTCAGCAAATGCTTTCCATATTCATATCCCCTAAAATCACGAATGCTTTGAAACTAGAGGGATTTTAAAAACTAAAAAATACTGAAGTGTTTTCTTGTGCCCATGTGAAATGTGGCAAAAGACAGACCTCAGAGACAGAATCAAGAGAGACCCTTGGTCTGCAGAAAAAATAAAAGGGGTTTTCCTACAATCTGACCTGTGAGGACTGGTTTCACAGGTCAGGGGGATCTCCATGCATCTGTAGGGACAAGGGCAAGACAGATTCTGGACAGCAATCATAAAAGAAATACTTTATTTTAGAGACTTACAATAATGAGATATTAAGGAACACCACCTCGGGACATTTCCTCTCCACTGGCAGATTATTTGGGGGTAGAATATGGATACATCTTTTTTGCCTAATGATTCAACAGGACTTGGGGCTTTTTTGGAGGCTTGAGTGTTGGAGAAACTGAATGGAAGTCATGAGTGTGCCTCTTCATCCTAGAAATGGTACAGTCTAATTTCACTGCAAAAACTTAGAGGCCATGAAAATAATTTTGATTATATTTCTGATAATTATTTAGACCATTAAAAATAGGGCATAGGTATGGGGGAGTATCAAGAGGAGGATAATATCTGGTCTCCTGCAGGCTAGGGCCAGTCCTCACTCATGGGTCATTTCATTATATTTTAATGAAATACGGCGCCATCCTCATCCCAAGAAGAAAAAGAATCAGAAGCAACTGTTTGGATTAAAGGTACGCAGGCACAAAACACACAGACTAGACTGATTTACAGGTATCTTCAAAGCCGGGATACACTTTTATGTAATTCTGGAACACGATGGGTATTTAAAATTTAAAAGTAGGTAAATCATTTTTTTCCTTTTAAATGAATATCATTGCTCTGAATGTCAAATCAAATAAAATCTAAAGAGTATAATACTACTTTCACTGAAAAATTTTATGTAGCAATAATCATGTTAAAAGACCAAAGGAAATATGAAGAAAGAGCAATAGACAATTGGCTAGACTTTCACCAAATGTGGACAATTTCTTCTATAGGCTGTATCAATAAAACTAGCAGTGACTCCATACTTCCTACATAAAAATGAAAGTGTATATTTAAATGTTTAGAGGGAAATCGATAGGAATCTTCCAAAATTAATCTTTAGAGAATTGTCTTAAGTCAGCTGTGTATATCAGCACACAATTGGAAACAACTTATGGTCCTGTAAGTCCTTTGAAAGCACATGAAATAGTATTAAAATTTAAAATTCTGGACATCAGAATGTCAAATCTTAGATATCAATTAAATAATGAAAGCATTAAATAGTAATCACTATAGTATTTTTAAAACAAATGCATAAATTTATTAAGGAATGTAAATCCTATGTGCAAGATGAAATCAATTCATCTGCCAAAACAAGAATGAAATTAGCTAAGAGGCAAAAAATTATTATTACTTTTCAGGTTAGCTTAAAAAATCTAGCTAATGTATATTTTTTAAGTAGATTATAGCAATTATTGATCTAATAGCAGTGAGGTACCAGAGTCAGGTGAAGAATGATACCCGCACCGCCGGTTGCCTCTCAGTTCCCTTAGGGAAGATAGCTTTCAACGTGAACACACAATGCTCAGAAGTAACCTCGTCCTTGAATAATACCTACGCAGGTTAACAAAATAAATGTGGTCACTATGCAATATAAAGAGATACTCATCAATAATGGAAGTTAATCATTGACTCCTAAATATTAATCCAGGGTTGACTTCCAACAGATCTCTACAGCCAGGGTACATATATAAGGGTAATAACAAGGGTTATAACAGGGTACATAACAAGGGTTATGTGAGGTCATTTTGCGGTTTCTCCAAATGCTTCTCATCTTGCTATAGCTACAAAACCTTCTAAATAGTCATGACATCATTTTCAAAAGTCTTCCAGACTACTTTTAAATTAAGTTTTTGCTTACTTTTCTATGACTTCTTATGGTGAAAATAGAGTGCTATGAAAAATACCCAGGTCACAGCTCCAGCAGACAGCTGCCTTCAAGTTACCTTTGCAACAGTGTCACTGCCTGAGTCACACAGGCTGTCAGGGCTTTCAATTTACAGTGCTTGCTGACTCTGCAGTGTCTGATTTTATCAAACTAAGGGGAGATCTGAGAAAAGTCTAAATGTATTATTTAGTCTTGGTAACTTACCAACTCTTGTTTTCTTACATCAGACTTGTATATTACAATGGGACTATGTAAATGGATGGCGTTGGAGGAGATGATGCTCAGTGAAGTTAACCAATCCCCCAAAAACAAATGCTGAATGTTTTCTCTGATATAAGGAGGCTGACTCTTAGTGGGGTAGGGATGGGGAGCATGGGAGGATTAGATGAATTCTAGATAGGGCAGAGGGGTGGGAGGAAAAGGGAAGGGGCAGGGGATTAGCAAGGGCGGTGAATGTGATGGACATCATTATCCAAAGTACATGTATGAAGACTCAAATTGGTGTCAACATACTTTATATATATATAAACAGAGACATGAAAAATTGTGGTATATATGTGTAATAAGAATTGTAATGCAAAAATACCCCCAAAGTACATGTATAAAGGCAAAAATAAAATTTAAAAAAATGGGACTATGAAGGGCTGGGGCTGGGGCTCAGTGGTAGAGCGCGTGTCTAGCATGTGTGAGGCACTAGGTTCAATTCTCAACACCACATATAAATAAATGAATAAAATAAAGGTCCATCACCAAGTAAAAAAAAATTTTTTTAAAAATGGACTATGTAGGCATATATGGAATGGCAGCCTCTAAATTTAAGCATAGATACTATGTTCTGTCAGGAATGTTTATGTGCTTTCAGACTAAAGTCCTTAACTGGACAAGATAATTTTTCTAGTACTAGCAAAGTATAGGTATGTCTGAATGTCCTAATGAAAAACAAAACCTTTCAGATAATCACATGATAAAGAATATTATGAAAGTTTCTCAGCAACCAGGTAAGAATCACTACCCATCTTTAACATTAAAAAAAACAGAAAACTGAAAAAAGATACATGAACATTAAGTCATCTCTGGGTGGTGGAATGACAGGTGATTTTTAAACTACTTCTTTATGCATATCAGGATTTTTTTCCTACAGTGCAGATGTAATATTTAAATAATATTGAAAGTAAAAAAAGATGACAGGTAAATTACACTGAAAAAAAAAATAAGGAATTCCCAAGGCATTCCAGATTCTGTAATAAAATGAAAGGAAATTAAGTAAATCTTTAGATAATAAATACCTGATCCTTCTGGATTCTCATCTCATCAACTTCACTTTCAGCATACTGAGGATCTCGTGCTGGGTCCTTGATATCTTTTAGTGTGTAGATACTCTGAAATTACAATTCTCCAAATCGTTTCACACCCATGACTCCTTAATGGCTACCATCTAACAAACCAAGCTCCAACCCTCATCCTGACATTGAAGCCATTCTAAGTCAAGTTTTCATCATCATTTGAGGCCCATTTGAAAGTCCTCCAGGTTGTCTTGTCTCTTTCCCCTTTCAGATGCTGTTGTTCTCTGCTCTAACAGCTAAAGATCTCTGTTTGAAAACAGAGAAGATCCCATGTCTGACTCATATTTCAACCTCCACAGAGCCTTATTTACAATAGATTTTTTAAAATAAATGTTCACTCAATTTTTGAGCATGAGAGATAAAAACAAAGTTACCATAGTAAGTTATAGGAAATAGTAATATTTCCTGTAACTGTTTAATAGTGCTAAAAATTCTTGCTTTAAAAAAATTATAAATAAATACCTTTGGTGGAAAGAGCTTTTCATACACCTTTTCCCACAATTCCATTGGTGAGTGGGCATGAAGCTTTCCAATGTCATTATCAGAAACAGGAGGAGACCCTGAAATTGAAAACTTTACTCCAAATGACTGCATCTCATAAAAATATAAATTTTAGATCACTCATTTCCCAACTCCATAATATAGTCATCAATAAAATTTACTCCTACCCAGTCCAACAAGCCACTGGAAGATTCTACTATAAGAAGAGGAGGCGAGAAGTGATGAGTAAGCTGCAGTTTTCATTTTCTATACTCCCTATACCTATACCCAAATACATCAAATCCTTCTTCTCTTTCTTTCTTTCCTTCCTTCCTTCCTTTCTTCCTCCTTCCTTTCTTCCCCATCTCTCTTTCTTTCTTTCTTGTAAAACAGTTTTTTCCATGTCATATCCACATATATGTGAATGCATAGAAACCCTGGAAATATATAACAAACTTGATCCTTATGAATTATATATACTATTTTAGCTTTATTATGAGGAGAATGCATTTATATATTGCTTGTATAATTTAATTTGAAAAATTATAAAATTTGCTGCTATGTCCTAGCAATTTTCTATTTATAACCTGAGTTTTTAAAATTCTATGTCTTCATCATTATGTTTACCAAAACTGTTGATCTTCCAAGACCTCCTTACCACTTTGGTAGGATATATTGATCTTATTCAGCTTTTCCAGATTTTACTTGTACTCTTCTCTCTCTGTGTGTATGTGTGTGTTTATTAAGTTCTACACTATTTTATCATCAGGTCCACAGTTCAGACACTGAATATTTCTACTACCTCAAGGAACCCTGTGTCATAATTTTATAGGCATGCTCAACTCTTTCCCAAGCCCTCCCCTGACTTCTCCACCTACAGTCTTTTTTCTACCCTAGGACAACTACCAATCTAACCACTAAAACTTTTTCATTTCAAAAAGTTTGTAGAATTGTAACATTGTATATAAGCCTCCCTGATAGGCTTTTTCTAATTTAGTATGATTCCCTGGAGATTCATCCAGGTTGTATGTATCAACAGTTTGTTCTTTTTTTTTTTTTTTAATAGTGGAGTACTATTCTATGATACAAGTGTGTTTAGCCAGTCACTTACTGAAGAACTTCTGGGTTAATTCTAGTTTGGGGTTAGTTTTACAGATAGAGCTGCTAGGAACACATACATTTTTTTCATGAACATAACTCTGGGAAAAATGTCCACTAGTGCAATTTCTGAACCTTATGGTATATATTTGCTTAATTTTTGAAGTTTTCAGAGGGGCTACTATTTTATATTTCTACCTGCTTTGTGTGAGCGATCAGTTTTTGGTATTCTCACCAGTATTTGGTAGTATCACTATTTTTAATTTTAGCAGTTTTAGTAAGTGGTTTCAATTTGCATTTTCCCAACTAGTGATATTAAACACCTTTTTATGTCCTCTTCAGTGAAATGTCTGCTCATGTCTTTTGCCCCTCACCTCCTCTTTTGTTCTTTTTTGGTACTGGGGATTGAACCCAGAAGTGCTTTACCACTGAGCCCCATCCCTATCCCTTTCTAATTTTTTAAATTTTGAGACAGTTGCTGAGGCTGGTCTCAAACTTGTGATCCTCCTGTGTGCCACCATGCCTGGATTTCTACTTGGATTTTTAAAAACTGAGTTCTTTTTATCAAAAATAGTCAAAATAGTAGTCCTTTGGCAGATAAGTGGTTCAAAAATATTTTCTCCAAGATTGTAGCATGTCTTTCCATCTCTTCCATGGCCTTTCATTGAGTAAGAGTTTTTAGTCTGATGAGGTCTAAGCTCCTTGGTTAAAAACTTCAATAATTATCAACCCTTTTCAGATCTCCAATGTTTACATGGGCAAAAATATTTCATCAGCTGTCTAGATAGCAGCATTATCTACTGTCAATACACACAGTGATCCTCAGTACTACTAAAATTGGCATTAATTATAATTATAAAAATCAGTCTCCATGGCTGCTTGTAGGGCAAAACCACCTTTATTCCTTTCATTCCAATTCAGTCTATAATCTCATTACAAAGAATTCTACATTTGAAGTCAAGTCATCTTCACTTGTACAGGTCATGGAAGACGGGAATTACAAGAGAGAACTAGTGTCCATTAGTATGTTAAAATCAAACCCTGCCACCTCCAAAGTATAAAGAATTGCAAGGCTCAAAGATTTTCGGAGAAAACAGCTTTTGTTTAAAGATAAGAGGCTTGATATATAAACTCTTCAAGTTCCTTTTTTTTGTAAAAGACTATGGAATCTCTGAGTTTAGGAAATATGGCTTTTAGATAAGGCAACCTATTTTTATGATGAAAAATTAAGACACAACTAATTGGTACAATCCCTTCAATCTCTTATTTGCTCATTACTTAGAACATGTAGCTTTGAATTTCCTGACCATCCTATACTTATGGTTTTTTCTAAACTCAAGAAGCTAAAATGTAAAAGATCAGGATTTCACTTAGGGAAAAAAAATGTGTGTGTGTGTGTGTGTGTGTGTGTGTGTGTGTGTGTGTTTCTTTGTTTCTTTTTCTTTTCTTTTCTTTTTTTGAATGGAATAAAGATTAGAAATCAGCCTCTTATATGGTGACATTCCTTCTACCACAAATATGTCAATGTGCTACATGGTGCATCAACATTGTATTTACAGAATAAACACATACAAAATAACCATAATGATAATGAAACCAGACATGGCGGTACATTAGAGATGAAGTACACATGGTATAGGATAAAATCAATAAGTAATTAAAAAAAGATTGAATAATCTTAATAAGTTCACCAACCTATTTGACATAAAGAATCCAATCCTGCTGTGATAAACAGTGGTTTATTCTGATCCACACATATTGATTTACTACAGAGAGAAGAAAAGATTCTAATTTAGTTTAGCAATCAAATATACTGCTATACTCTACTGTAAACATCAGAGTCAAGTTTTATATCTAGTCACTGATGAGAGACAGCATTGCCCAAATGAACAAGTAAGTATCAAATTAATAAATTTCAAAAATTAAAGTATAGCATGAATAAAACTTTTAAAGGGAAAGAAATGACAGACCCATTACCACCTAAATCAAAACCAAGAGAAATGGCAAAGCTAAGAAAGAAACACACTAAAAGTTTCAATTCTATTTCAAGTTAATGTAAGAGTAATAACAAAGGGAGAGCTACTAAATTAGGGGGAAAAAGAACAAAAAGTGTAATAGTATCAACTTATTCTAGTTTCAAACAAATATTTAGTTGTACAATTTGAGAAACAGTTAAGCAATGTAAGAAGCAGGAAATGATATGAAATTGTCCCTTTAAGAGCTGTTATTCAGGGAACTTTGCCAGTCAAGGAAAAAAAGAGAGAATAATAATGATATGGCAATAATACCAAATAAAATAAGAAATATAAGAAACACCTTAACAGTACCTTTTATCAATGCCAAATGCCAACTGGTTGATAACTCCACGTATTTTTAGTAACAGAGCTTCTGATTTACTGGTAAACTTAAAAAAAAATCCAGAAGAATAAATTATAGGCTCTGCCTTTCAATCACAAAAACAGATAAAATAAATAAACCTTTGAAGAAGTACAGAAATAATTATTGGCCCAACAAACATATATGACTGGGCAAAACAAAATTTGAATAAAGAAATTTTGATCACTTTAACTCATTCTTCAAACTTCATGAGTACATGGTGTGGAAAGGACTTGTGTTAATTCACTAATCATTTTAGCTACTCAAATGAATCACTATTATTGTCAAAGACTTTTTAAAATGTACATCTGTGTGTGTGCACATACTCTTATTATGGTCTAGAAGAAAAATTACCAACATGCATTTGTGTTGGTTTGAAAACAAGAGGTATATATAAAAAATAACTTTCACATAGAAGGGCATATTGCCACCTTCAAAACAGTCACCTTGGGAGCTGCAGACCGGTCCAATGACACTGAAGCTCACTAAAATGATTTTTAAACTTCTCTTCTGAATTGCCTTTGGAGCCTGAAAAATAAACTACTAAATATTCTCATTGCTGTCAAGTTTTATATCTAGTCACTGATAAGAGAGAGCATTGCCCAAATGAACAAGTAAGTATATAACCTGGTATATAACCAGGATAACTACACCAAAATATTTTTGGAGGATTAAAGGGGATAGATACTATTAATAATTAAACTCTCACATGAGTGAAAATCAGGACATATGTTTACCTTACAAATCTTTTCATTTTAAAAGATACCAAGTCATTCAGAATGTCATTCTGGCCAAACCAGAATGACTAAGATGCAGAGAAGTAGAAAACAACCTTAAAGGGGAAACAACCTTAAACTGCAATGAAATATAATTATGAAACAAAGACATGAATTTTCTAGTTTTTACTAGTAATTCTATAAGATAACCTTCATTCTGGAATAAGTATAAGGCTCCCAAGGAAAGTATTACAAATGTATAAGATTTGATATATTTATTTAAAAAAAAGCTCTGGAATAATTTTAATGCTTCTAATAAGTGTTTAAAACTATTGGGGCTGGGGTTGCAGCTCAGTGGTGGAGTGCTTGCCTAGTACATGTGAGGCACTGGGTTCAATCCTCACCACCACATAAAAATAAATAAAATAAATGTATTGTGTCCATCTACAACTAAAAATATTAATATATATATATATAAAGAGAAAACTTTAATTGAATCATTAACTTTAATTGGAATATATTTATTTTTATTATGTTATAATCAATACAATACTAATTACATTATTTATTCTATGGGAGAGGAATAAACTCAACCACAAATATGTTTCATAGAGATTAGGATTTGGAGAACATTAAAAGTTTAACTCAACTCCTTCAGCTGCTAAATCAATCACCTTATCTAAAACAGCCTCATTATTTCCCAAAGCAATTCATTTCATTTTTAGATAATGGAAGAATTAGAAAGTTCTATCATATTTTGAGTAAACTGTCTATACTGATTTTTTTTCTAAATAGTAATAAACATTTCCAAATTAATCTGTCAATTAAGATATAAGCAAATACTGTTCAACTTAATAAATAAGCAAATACAATTCAAATAAATACTGTTCAAACATTAGGTGATTTTAAGAAAACATCTAATAAAACATATTTGGAATGTTCTGAAAAATTAAAATTTAAAGTCTATTGTACATATATATAAAAAATATAATAAAATATATATTCTCAGTCATAACAGTCTAAGTTGCTCTGAAAACTTTGATTTGAAGGGAAGAGAGATGTGTTAGGCAAGTGCTCTGCCATCAAGCCACATCCTCAACTAGACCTTTTCTTTAAAAGATTTCCAGCAAAATTTGATTGTGCCATGGAAGATAATGATAACAGTAATTACAACAACCAATACTTATTGAGTAATACTTTGTTCCAGGCCTGTGCTAGATATTGCATGTGTATTCCCTCTGTTAATACAAGAATTCTATGAAAAAGGTATATTTTTATCCATTTTACCCCAGAGGAAAGTGAGGCTTAAGTGAAATTAAGTGACTTACCTAAAAGCACATGACTAGTAAATGGTCACCCTGAGATTTGAACCCAGGTAACATTAGATGATGTCAGAGTTCATGTTTTTAACTTCTACAACAAACAGCACCTTTTTTTTAACTCAAAAAATAACACTGCTAATTTTTTTTTTAAAGGGCATAGAGACTCTAATTCTTAATGGAGACTAAAAATGAATAAACACACAGCCAATTTATCTCTTAAAACTTATTGAGATTTGTGGCTATAAGCAATTTAGAACTTTTGCTTCATACAGAGGGGAGGCCATACAGCAGAGTGTGTTCACACACAACCCAACACTCTGTATGTAGAGGTCTATGGCAATAGAAACAGGAAGGGAGGGGACGAAGTATCTTAGGCAACGTGTTTATTGTTCATAGCTGTGCATCAAGGTGCTAATTTTTCCAAATTGGGTACACACCATTCAAGCCCAAAGGGTAGGAAATATACAAACCATTAATGATGCTCCATAATAATGTGCAACAAATCGAAGTGTCTTGCATATTACTTTTCTCTTCTCAGAGTCAAAATCCTATAAAAATCATTTATTAAAAAGGAAAAAAAATAAGTTGAGAGAACTAAATATCTGTAACAGGAAGAGTAAATTATTAAATCAGAGGTAGATTCTTTCTTTCTTTTTTTTTTTTTTAAATCCACCCTGAGGGGTAGGATTCCTCACCTTGATATTTGTTTCTATCAGCTGCAGCTTTCTAGAGCTAAGTTATCAGATATTTTCTTTGTTTAAACAGTTAGCTCAATAGAATTCAGATATAAGCACACATTTTATAGTGTAGAATACCCTAAGGATTCTCTGACAAGCACAGATAAGAAGAAACTAATTTTCTACTTCCTTTAATTTAAAAGTTGGAAAGTAGTCCTATCCCTCAGTGGGTTGAAGACTCATTTTTTAAAATCTTTCATGTCCCCATTCTAGCCACTATATTTATTTTCTCTGTTCTAACTACATTTTCTTCTCCAAAATCTTTAAGATGTATGACTCCTTAAACTACCCCTCCCAGAGCTATTTTTTTTTAATTTCATCATTATTTTTCCCTCTCCCCCATTAAGCAAGCACAGCTCTGAGTGTACAACAAACAGTTGGAATTGGGAGAGATTACCTGAAAAATATCATATTTACTTCCAATTATGACCAGAGGTATTGGAAATGGGTCAATTAATTCACGATCCTGTTAATAAATGCATTTGATTAATTCATTATAAATATTACTTGCTATGTGCTCAGAAATTTCTATTGACTTCCAAAAGAATACCATTTTCTGTTTCTTCATAGATGTTCATTTTGCTTGCTATAGAATCTGTTCCAATATTATCTTCACTTACTAAGCTGTATTTCTTAAGAATTAAATGAGAAACAGCAATTCCCTTAAGTACTATGATATTTATTCTTTTGCATGTTCTGCACTTTTAAAATTATTTATTTATTTATTTATTTTAGTTGTAGTTGAACACAATACCTTTATTTTATTTATTCATTTTTATGTGGTGCTGAGGATCGAACCCAGGGCTTTGCACATGCTAGGCGAGCACTCTACTGCTGAGCAACAACCTCAGCCCCTGTATGTTCTGCCCTTTTGTTTTCTTATGCAACACATCACCTTTAGGAATTTTTTTCTATTTTTGTATTGACTGTTGCAATAGCGTTTATACTGCACGGATTTGTTTTGTTCTAATACTGTCTGTGTAAGACACAGGCATATAAACTCTGAGCAATAGAAAATGCTGCTTCTAGTTTTCTAGATGATGATACTTAGAATTGTATTTGGAGAATCCGTATTACCATCATAGCAACTTTGTGATTAAATTAGTTGTCAGATGATCAAAAGATACTGAATATGTGACAGACACTAAATAAATGTAAAGAGTGATGATGAAAACTGTTGTAACTCTACTTTTTGCTTAAATTGAAAGCTTCACCTAGTCTTTGCCAGGTGACTTTTGCACAGTCTGTTTTTTATCTTCACTTCACAGAGATTATAAAATCAATATCAAACTACTACTTTAAAACTCTATTTCTTTTGACTGGTGTAATATGCCATAACAATCACAGCAGATGTCTAACAAGAAGACATAAGAAATCTTCTTCCTTGTTTTGCTCTAACTGAGGTTTTATTAAATTGCTATAATTTTCCAGTGAACAAGTTCATTTACATCAAATGAATTTCAAGTCATGCATAAAAATCTAAGTTGTTTGTGATGCTATCTTCACTATGTTATGGGGCTTAGGATTCCAGGAATAAACCCACAGCAACTCACTGGATGGTCCTTTGGCATATTACTCCACATTTTCTGCCTCAGTTCAGAAGCTGCTTTAGAATTTGTCTTTCCCAATTTCATTATCACTTTATCAACATGGCTTTTTGTGGCTTTCAGCAGATTTTCCATAGTGGGCCAAAGGTCATTCGGCTTTGAAAGATCCAAAACAAGAACAATAGAAAATGTCCTAAAGAAAGAAAAACATCCTTTAAAAAAAAAAAAGACTCAAAATAATGACCATTTGAAATCCTAGTGTACTGAAAATTATATAAGAATAACAATACTATAGCTGAAGAAAAAATAACAACATTATCCTAAGACAAAAAAATATGAGTTTTAGTCTTCTGAATTCCAATGCTTTTCTCTAATGATATTTCAGTGTTAAATTGGTAGTAGCATGAAGTACAAATAGAGATGCTTCCAGCAATTGAACCCAACAATGCCACGTTTAGATCAAATTTTACTGTGTGCTCCAAAGGAATTCAAAAACATGACTAAGAGTGGTGAAGAAGAAGGAAATAGATTCATTGATGGGCCTTGCTAGGAAACACCCAATTTATTTAATCTTTTCAACAATCCTTTCTAGAAGACATTATCATGTCCATTTATGGATCTGAAGTCTGAGGCATGAATTCATAGATATAAAATTACATGTCTTCCTGCTATACCATTCTGCCTCTCTGAAAACACACCTGTGACCACAAGATAGACCACCACCATCACTACATGCATTTGTATTCTATCATGCCCATGAAATATAAATCTAAACTAATCAACCAAAAAACACACACTTAAAAAATGGGCCAATAAGCACCTGAAAAGATATTCAATATCATTAATTATTAGGAAAATGTAAACCCAAACCACAATGAGAATACAGAAACCTCAACATAATAAGTATTGCTGAGGATATAGAAAAACTGGAGCTCTTGTGCATTGCTGGTGGGAATATATAATGGTGTAGCTTATGTGGAAAATAGCAATGGCAGCACTTCAAAAAATTAAACAGAATTAGCATATGATTCAGCAATTCCATCTGGGTATATATCCAAATACTGGAAGCTAGAATTTGAACAAATATTTGGATACCAATGTTCACAGCAACATCATCCACAATTGTCACATACTAGAAACAACCCAAAGGTCTGTGGTGTAATATGCCATAACAATCACAGCAGATGTCTAACAAGAAGACATAGAAATCTTCTTCCTTGTTTTGCTCTTACTGAGGTTTTATTAAATTGCTATAATTTTCCAGTGAACAAGTTAAACAAATAGATTAAAAAAATGTAGTATATACCTATAATGGAATATTAGTCAATCTTTAATAGGAAAGAATTCTGACACAGGCTATACAATATGAATGAATCATAGAAAGTAGAACATGCTTGCAAGGATTGGAGGAGGGGAAAATAGGGAGCTATTGTTTAATAGATAGAGAGCTTCAGTTTGGGTTGATGAAAATGTCTAGAGATGGATGGTGGTGATGGCTGCACAACAATGAAAACAAACATAATATGACCAAATTATACACCTAAAATGACTAAAATGTAAATTTTATGTTATGAATATTTTGTCACATTAAAAACCAAACATACATAAACCTAGGAGTATTTTAGAAAATGCTCATAATAAGTATGCAGGCATATTCTTGATCAATATGGCTAACATTCTTCTAGGAGTCATAGCAAGAAATTATATGTTACTTAGTTATTTTTGCTTAGGTCAAGCAAACCAGTTATTTTGTGTAATTTGTGCAAAACAATAACTATATTCTGTACAGTTGTACTAAACTCAGAAAGTAGTCTCTTAGACATCAATTATCAAATTTTTCTATAAAATCACTGTTATTATACTGTCCAGCCAATCATTTTTATGTCAATTTAATAAGCTCACAAACAGTTTTGTGTGATGATAAAATATTATAAAAAACACAGTTTTTAGTAGTAAAAAACTAATTTTATTTCCAGGGTTTTAGTATGGTTATATTTGAAAAAAATATTGGCTATAGTTCACTTTTTATTGTAGTAAAATGTATATAACATAAACATGCTATTTTTTTTTAAATTAAAAATAACTTTGTTACAAACAAAGGTAAATGGATTACTCAATTTTTTCTAAGATTAAAATTCTTGTTTCCACTACTTTGGAAATACTTATGTTACTTTTAACCTATTTCATAGCAGATGGCAGCTAAAATTTAAACAACAACAAAAACCAGGGAATCAGACCACAGGAAATGTTCTATTATAAATTATCTGTGGAAATGAAGTCTGTGGAAATGTTCAATACATTTATAATTATATGAGCAGTTATTTCAAAGATAAACAGTATCTAATAGCATTTGGCAATATATTATTTTCTCAAGTTGCTGGGCTCTGTCCAATAAAAAGAAATCATGTGTCAAACTAATTCCAGTCAAACAATGCTCTGAGATTAGCAACTACATTAAGAGTGAAATGTTTTCTATGAATTCTTTGACCATTAAGCAACCCACTTTGGTTCCAGGCCTATGATTCCCATTCCCTCTATTCAATATAACCCTGACCCTTTCTCTCTCCTAAAATGGGTTCCAGCTGCCCTAGAGTTCCAGGGAAAGGAAGGTCGAGATCTCACAAAGTGAGGTTATAAAGAAGCTGTGGAATGACTTCATTTCCTGTAGAACCCAGAATTTCCACAAGCCCATCAGGAAAGGGTCTCTGGTCTAGAGAAGGGGAGGTGATTTAACAAGTTGGGGCCAGAACCAAGCCAACTGACAACACAGGGAAGAGCAGGCCTCTGTGTTTCCATCCTTTCAACCTCTGCCAGGCAAAATGGCAACTTGGTTTGGTTCAGCCCCTTCCCACCCTCACCACATCTTCTTAGCCTCCAGGAACTCTTCTAATTCCCTGGAAGCTCTGCCTTACTCTGTGAAAGAAAGGCAAATAAAAAACAATGTAGTTAGGAGCTGGGGCTGTGGCTCCCTGGTAGAGTGCTTGCCTAGCATGTGTGAGTCACTGGGTTCTATTCTCAGCATCGCACATAAATTTACAAACACTGAAAAGACTGGAAGACATAGCTCACCATGTTAACAGTGGTTATTTTCAATGCAATTCTGGGTTTTCTTACTTTGTATCTTTAAGTATTTCTCTAGGTTTTCTATATGTGTATACATTACCTTTGTAATAAGCAACAGAAAGTAAATTACATTTCACTAAAAGAGAAGTATCACTGGGCAAATAAAGTCAACATTATCTGTATCCAGCTGCTCTGGAAAAACAATTGTCCTGTTAATAAAAAATAATTCCATACTCTAAGGCTCTTAATGCCTGAAATGGAACAAATACTTTCCAAGCCCTTTGTATCTGGTCCAGGCAGCAGTAATGGTTTGTGTTAATCTCTGACAAAAATAAGATATTTCAGATTTTTAAAAAATGTGTTTCTCTTGGCTAAGATCAGTTCCCAGGAACATTGTGAGCAATGTCACAATTTTCCACATCTGATTTGGCCAACATGTGGGAGTCATTGTCAGGAAAACACCACCAAGAGTTTTGAGGTTTTCCCCTAGATTCTAGTTCTTTAAGGTCAGCAAGCAGAGAGACTTTCTCCTGCAATAGTCTTCCTTTAGATGAAGCTCAACAATGTTACAAGTTACATACAGGATACACTTATACTACCAGTGGATACACTTACACTACCAGTGGAAGAAAAAGCTCAGAGCTGAATTAACTCACTTTGAGATGAATAATGAAAAGAATTAAGCTTTTCAAATTTATTTTTGCAAATGAATGCATTGTCCAAGTATTATTTGACATATTTTTGTTGTTGTTGGTAGCAGGCTTGCAAAAAATACAGCACCAGTGGGGATGCCAGCCATCTCACTCCAGCTCAGGCCAGGGCCTTATTTCTTTCAAAACCTTTTTTGGAAGCATTACAGTTCAAGTACATAAAGAGAAAGTAGGCATAAACCTTTAGCAAAATAAAAGTGTCCCCCAAAATCATGACTCACAAAAGCCTACTCACATTCATGCTGTGGACACTACTGTGTGCTCACAACACTTCTTGGAGCTGGCTTGCTTACCGTAAGGTGTCACTTGTGATTGGTATGCTGATTAAGTCCAATAAAGAGGTTCCTCCACCTAGTTCCCAAAAGTGAGCAATATCTTTTGGCTGAAAAAAATTTTTGAATAAAGTTTTTTATTTCTTGAATATTAAGTGCTTCTTATACTTCATTAGCACCTACAAATATTAATTACAAATAGAAAATATTGCAGTCCTCAATCAACCCTTTCTTGGCAATCGAAACTCTCTCCTTTCTCTATCCCATCCCTCAAAATGCACCAAAGCTTCTATCTAAAGAACAAAGATGAGCGTGTGCAGTGGCACACACCTGTAATCCCTGTGGCTCAGGAGGCTGGGGCAGGAGGATTGAAATTCAAAGGCAACCTCAGCAACAACAAGGCACTAAGCCACTCAGTAAGACCCTGTCTCTAAATAAAATACAAAATAGGTCTGGGGATGTGGCTCAATGATCAAGTGCCCCTGAGTTCAATCCCCAGTACAAAAAAAAAAAAATTCAAAGAAGAAAGATGAAACAGTAAGAACAAGTTGTCTATGTGTACATAAATGCCAATTCTGGTAATACCCTAATAGAAGACATACTTGCTGCTCCAATTTTGCAAATATCACATGTAACATACACTTACATTTTAAATAAAATTAACCAGTTGAATGTATTTGGTATTCCAGATAGAAATAAAATAGCTGAATAGGAAATATCCTCATTAGGAAGACAGAATCTTACAAAATGAATTACACATACAGATAAGACTTGAGGAAAAGGGACAGACACATGGCTGTCTTGCCTGCAGATGAAGATGACCTGAGCAAAAGCATCAGCAGAGGCTAGGCCCGATTTCCACGGGGAATCTGACAAGTGCCACTGATGACAGCAATTATAGATGGCAGGACCAGATGAGGGTCTAGCTTTTCTGCTTTTCATAGGACTCTTAAACTAGCAGGGGATTGACAGGGCTGGGCAACCAACTAATTTGAAAATAAGACTTTCCACTATATAAGCACCTTCCTAGACTGCTAGCTAATGGTACCTCCGTTTCTGCCTTGAAGTTGAGGAGTCTTCAGGCCATCAAAACTGTTTAAGGAGCAAAGAGCATCTGTTTAGAATTCTTAAGGAATATTAAATCTGAGAAAGACATGAAGCTTTCACAATAAAAATAGAAATGTCCCACACTATGGTACAAAGTTTAGAGGGGGGGGGGAGTGAAAAAGAATCCTATGGGTTTTTACATATCTGCTACCATGAAGAGTAGATGGCCAATAAAGCAAGTTTTAGATGAATATATGTTATTTTGCATTTTGATAAATTCTCAATTCATAATCTCTAAAGTTGTCTTACTGTGTTGATATTTGAATCATTAAAGTTTGTGGAGAAAATCATTTATCATTGGAAAATCTCCTTCGATGCACAATTTTGATGAAGGGAGTTTTTAGAACCCTTCTCAAAAGTTAAGCTTATGAAAGTGGTTTCAATGTTTCCAATGAAAAGAATGATTATATTTCTAGGCTTATCATTCATGTTAGAATTCATATGAATCACAAAAACCAAGTCTTCCTGCATCTCAATAGATTACTTTCCCTTTTCTTTTTAATTTCAGTTTTAATAGTCAACTTTTGTTGGTGGATCCAGGAAGCAATAGCAGACAATTCTGATTCTTTGTGCTTTGTCTAATGAGCAAATATTTGGACTAGATCCAGTTTTGTGAAAGGAATAGTGGGACCCTGTTCTAGATTTTTCTTCCATAGACCTAACTTTATTTAAGTCGTGACCCCTTTTCATGAGAGAACTCCAAAAGAGATTCTACTTAGGAATTTCCCCCCAAAACACATATTATTATAAGCTCTCCCTCTATCCTGAATAAGTTTGTAACATTCCTCTGAAGAGACACTTAAAAGAAGTGAAAAATAGCAATACAACCAATTAGGTTTATATAGTACCTATAGTACTGCCAAGTTTTTTTTTTTTTTTTTTTTTTTTTTGTGGTGCTGGGGATTGAACCCAGCATACCAGGTAAGTTTTCTATCATTGAACTACATTCCCCACCCTGTATTTGTTTTTGAATGCTAATAATTTATATTTTTGAAGAGTATATTTCATGAACAATTCACAGGTCATACCCATCATTTGGCATATTTTTATACTCACAATATTATTCTCATTTGAAAAACAGAAAAACTTGCCAGGCATGGAGGAGCACATCTGTAATCCCAGCTCCCCAGGAGACTGAGGTAGGAGGATCAAAGGTTAGAAGCCAGAATCAGTAATTTGAGACTCTGTCTCAGAGTAAAAAAAGAAAGAGCCAGAAAGTAGCTCAGTGGTAAAGCACCCCGGGGTTCAATTCCCCATATGTAGAGAGAGAGAAAAAAAGAGAGGCAAAGAAAGAAAAAGTCACATTGACACATCAATACAAGTAGGCCAAAGAACTGTACAATAAAGTTGCAAAGAAATTTTATTTTAGCATTTTAACACATAACAAATGAGAAGGCTAAAATATTTTCAGTTTGGACCAGCTTCATAGCAGCTGAAGTACATTTGAAGTTTAACAATACATAGCCAGGACACATACAAATAGGAATGTTTACTTATTGTAGATAGAAAAGATAAAACCAAGTTGGCATCATTTCTTCCTCCCCACCAATGGCACAGTGATGTCACTTAAAAAAATACTCACTGTGTTATGTCCTTTTGCTCTTCTTCCATACGTATATTCCAAAGCTAAGGTTGGTTTTGCTGGCTCATCCCTACATAATGAAGGCAGATGGTATTACCATAATGGATGGCATTAGTTTCTTATGCTACCATCTTACCCAATTCATTTATGGTTCCTCCTAAAAGACTTCATAAGTAGTTACCTTGAATAACACCATTGGGTAGAAATTAATCAAATGTATATAAGAAATAAAGAAGCCTTTCAAAAATCATCTTAGTAGATTTAAGTGGCAGCTGAAAAATGACATCTGAATGTGTGGCAGCCCCTGTTGAGATACGTGGAGTAGGCAATGGGGCTGACAGTGTCAAAGGTCATATTGGGGCACAAGCTCTTCATGTCTAGGACAAGTAGGAAGCTTTGGTGTGGGGAACAAAGGATCTAGTCACTATCAATTTAATGAATATTAACAAATGATTTGGAAAATATTATTTGATAAACTACATTATAGTTTATATTGCCTGATAAGCCATTTATGGTATTATTTTATTTATTTGGTTTTTATTGTAGTTAAAATGTATAAAATAAAATTAATAATCTTTACCATTTTTAAGTGAAGAGTCAATAATATAAATTATATTCATATTGTTGTACAACCAATCTCCAGAACTTCTCCTCTTGCAAACCTGAAACTGCATACCCAGAAATCAACAATTCTCATTTTCACTCCCTGAGTCCCTGGTAACCACCATTCTATTTTCTGTTTCTATGAGTTTGACTACTCTAGATACCACATGTAAGTGAAATCAGATAGTTTTTGTCTTTAGGTGACTAGTTTATTTCACTTAGCAAAATGTTCTTAAGGTTCATCCATGTTGTAGCATGTGGCAGGATTTCTTTCCTTTTCAAGGTTGAACAATATTGATAAAAAATATATTTTTAGTTTAGAGAACAACAACAAAAACATCCGATTTTTAACTTTGTGATTTGTATATTTACTAAATATTTTAATTTTATCCATCTATATCTTTATATTTGGTTATATTTCCTGGCAGAAATCTCCTTTCATGAAGCAAAAATGCTGCTTTTAAGACAAAATTTATAAAATCTGATATTCAACCTACAATTTGGAAAATTGTCTTTTTTCTTTTTTGGTACTGAGGATTGAACCCAGGGGTGCTTAACCACTGGGCCACATCCCCATCCCTTTTTATATTTTATTTAGAGACAAGGTCTCACTTAGTTGCTAAGTGTCTTGATAAGTTGCTGAGGCTGGCTTTGAACTCTTGATCCTCCTAAGCCACTGGGACTACACGTATGTGCCACAGTGCCCAGCTGGAAAATTGTCCTTTTTCTATCAAGGAATTGAAATTAATGTTTTTCAATTCAATGTAGTAGTTTATAATATTTCACTAATGTGTATCAGACGATTTATTTACTATGAAAAACATCTAGGAATGGGACCTAAGGAGAATCACGATTCCTGGACTTTGTATGATGACATAGGTGTGAGTCTGAACAGCTTCTTCTAAGAAACAATTTTGCTGGTGAAAGGATTTATCTGAAGACAGGATTCTACTATTTGTATTTATAACATTTTTCAAACACATGATGTTTCTTGATCCTAAAGACCAAATCCCATCTCTTTTGATGTTTTTTTGAGAGTTAGAAAAAAAAAACATACATTAGATTGAAAGGAATAGAAAAATATCTTCTAAAAATGATAGGGAGGTTCTCCATATCAATTTCCTGCAATTCTACCACTCTGAATCCCCAATCTCAATCTGATGACATGTTTCTACAGTATAAGAGGTTAGGAAGGATATAAAATAATTGGAAAAAATGTATAGTTTAAGAACCAAAATTGTGTTTCAAAATTTATTCCTGAGCTTCTTTTTTACCATCCACCCCAATTTATGAAGTAGACAAAGGGGAATAAAAGGAAAGGAGGAGAGATGGGATAAGGAAAGACAGTGGAATGAAACTGACATAATATTCCTATGTATATATATGAAGATACCACAGTGAATTTCACCATCATAAACATCCACAAGTAATTAACTTAAAAAATAACTCTTGGCAAATGGCAGAAAGATCAATAGAGGGAAGCAAACAGGAGATGGAAGGAGAGGAAAGGGAGGAGAGGTACTGAGGACTGAATTAGAACAAGATATATTCCATGCTTTTCTAACTATGACAAATGGAACCAGACGTTGTGCTCATTTGTGTACAATGTGTCAAAATGCATTCTGCTGTCATGTACAACTAATTAGAACAAAAAAAAAAGGAAAAAATGATTCTATTTTCATATATAACTAAAAAATAATCAATAAAAATATTTAAAAAGTATCCCTGAGAAACTCAGAGATTACAATTATTGTTCAAATAATCATATATTAAGTACAGTAAAAATAATTTCAATACCAAAGCTGCATAGCCAAAAAGAATGTAGGTACTATTGTAGGCTGGGTAATTATGATAACATTTCTCCCTCAAATAGGAAAATTTAGTATCAATAGTATATTTTTTGGCTTGTCATCATTTGTATCCCTAAAGGGGCTCTTATAAGTTATACTGAGAACGCATTAATAATTAAATATTTTGTACTGGCATGGTAGCACAAGCTTGTAATCCCAGCAGCTCAGGAAGTTGAGACAGGAGGATCACAAGTTCAAAGCCAGCCTCAGCAACAGCAAGTCACTAAGCAACTCAGTGAACCCTGTCTCTAAATAAAATACAAAATAGGGCTGCGGTGGTTCAGTGATTGAGTGCCCTTGAGTTTAATCTCTGGTACCACCCCCCCCCCAAAAAAAAAAATTTTGTTTGGGTTTCAAAATCATTCTCCTTCTGTATAAAGTTAGAACTGAACTTGCCTTGTACAACTAGAATAAGCAAAAATGTAGTCTAAAGGTTAACATAACACTTACCTGTCAAGACACCTTAGAATAATAGTAGTCTTCCCCTGGAAATTCAAAAAGAAAGAATACTGTATTAATCTCATCCATATGTAAAATTTTATTAGTATTCATAATTGCAGCTCAAAATAGCTTTTTTTTTAATCACTTGAATGATAAATTACCTGGAAACTAGAAACTTTCAGAATTGTTCTATAGTTTGATAAGTAGAAAAAGTTAACTGTCAACTTTCCATCACAGTGTAACTACACTGCTATTATTATAATTACAAAGCCCCACAGATGACAAATATTAGCAAATCATACCTCACTTTAGTGGTCAACTTGGCAGCTGTCTTAAATTTTCTCTCTACTCAACAATGCTAATTACTGGTTAAGCTGATGATTAGTGTCTTTTAAAATGTTTTCATTCCAATTGTTGAAGTGGAAATTAAAAAAAAAGATAACATACAAATAAAGGACATGTTGCAAATATGTTCTAAGTAGGCAATTCAGACACTGGGTTAGAACACTTTGCTTGTTTTAATTCTAAAGGATGCACTTATTTTAAATTCTTTTTAGGAGTCAGGAAATATAAGTGATGGCCAATCTTTGCCACTAACCATGAAACTTAACCTTAATCTTATCCAGAGATCAGCTCAGTGGTTTGAATCTGTGTGTGTGTGTGTATAGTAAAAAAAAATTTTTTTTTTTTAAACAAATGATCCTTCATAAGAAAACAGACAAAAAAGGAACAGCAGGGAAAGCTCTGCTGGAGGAAACCCTGGGCGCCAAGGAAAATAGTCTGGAATACCATGGATTTCCCAAAACCCACTATATATATATGTGTGTGTGTGTGTGTGTAAAGGTATTTATGTATGTAAAGGTATTTATTGACTGGTATTATACTCAACTATAAAGCTAGGACAACTTAGATGTCCCAAAATAGGGGACTGCCTAAATTGACTATGGTAATTCACATACTGGGAAAATACGCAGCTATTAGCAATGACAATGTAGAAATATACTTACATGGTAAGGCACGCATAATAAATCAACATGACCCTGTTTGCAGTTAAAAATCTTTTCCCAATATGTGGGAAGAGATATACACACACATATTGAGAGAAATAAACACAAATAAATAAATTTAGAGGGACATAACTGTGTTAATAATGATTGTTCCTAGCTGATGAATTTGCAGGTAATTAATTTTTTAAAGAAAATCAGAATTTCCTAATTTTCCTATACTGAACATGTATCATATGTAGTTTATTTTTAAATTTTTAAATAATTGAAGACTACATTCCCTAAAATGTAATGTACTTCCTGTTTTTCACCATAGCATTTGTCTCCTGGTATTGTCATTGCTATGCAAGTATTTAGTACCCAAGTTCCTTCACAGTAGGAAATGTACTTTGAGGAGTAAAAATTTGTTCCCATGATGTAGGCTCCCTGTTTACCTCTCTTATTGTTTCTCTTACTGAGAAAAAACTTTTTAGTTTAAGTAAGTCCCATTTGTTGATTCTTGTTATTAACTCTTGTGCTATGGATGTCCTATTAAGGAATTTGGAGCCCGACCCCACAATATGTAGATCAGAGCCAACCTTTTCTTCTATCAGACGCATAGTCTCTGATTTGATATCAAGGTCCTTGATCCATTTTGAGTTGACTTTTGTGCATGGCGAGAGGAGGGGATTCAGTTTCATTTTGTTGCATATGGATTTCCAGTTTTCCCAGCACCGTTTGTTGAAGATGCTATCCTTCCTCCATTGCATGCTTTTAGCCCCTTTATCGAATATAAGATAGTTGTAATTTTGTGGATTGGTTTCTGAGTCCTCTATTCTATACCATTGGTCCACCCGCCTGTTTTGGTATCAGTACCATGCTGTTTTTGTTACTATTGCTTTGTAGTACAGTGCTTTGGTCTGGGGTTGTGGCTCAGTGGTAGAGCGCTCGCCTAGCATGCGTGAGGCACTGGTTTCGATCCTCAGCACCACATAAAAATGAAATAAAGGTATTGTGTCCACCTACAACTATAAAAATAAATATTAATAAAAAAGAAAGAAAATATCTTTCATTCATTCCTATATCCACAGTGCCGAGCAAGATACCTAGCACATAAAAGGTGCTCACTGAGTGCCCTACTGAATGGATGCATACAAGATTGGAAGGATCCATAGGAGGCAGCAGCGAGGCTGTTGCCTTCTTTGGTAATGGGAGACCACTATTGGCCAAACAATAGAAGCATTAATTTCTTACTTTTTCTTAATCTTTCAAAATAAATTAATACTCTGCATAAAACACAGAATCAGATATCTCAAGGGAGTTCCCACATCTTCAAAATCAAAATGGTTTTAATTTACATTAATGAAAAGAAACAAAACAGCTTGTCTATGCCACATATTTCTAATAATCAAAAGAAATGTGGTTTCAGGGGCTGGGGCTGGGGCTCAGCGATAGCACACTTGCCTGGCAAGTGTGAGGCACTGGGTTTGATTCTCAGCACCACATATAAATAAATAAGATCTATTAACAATTAAAAAATTTTTAAATCATGTTTCTTTGTTCATAGCTATTATACAAACTGTACATAAAAAAAAAAGTGTGATTTCACAAACAACACAAAGAAGTTGAGAACTATTACAGAGAGTGATTAGTAGAGGCCAAGAGAAGGGTCATTTTGTGTGTGAGCATTTGTATCCTAGAGTAGTAGCATCTTCAAGGATAGAGAAGTAGCTTCTTTATGCAGACAGTTTTCTTTGTAATAAAAATTTATTTGTAAGCATAAGACTAGTATTGGTTATGTTACCATTTATGTAAATTAATGTATGCACATACCTATATGGGAGCAGGATAAAATGTAGGAATTTGTTACAACTATTATATTCATTATGAAAATCACTCTATGATGTTATATATTATCAATTGTAGGTTCATGAAATGAAATGCTCATATATTAGAAATGTGGCTCATATACTACATTGGATTAAAATTTAAAAACAAATGATTCCTATGATAATTTTATGTTAAAGAATTAAGTTCTGATAAAAACAGTGAGCCAAATATGAAAATTTTGGAAAGTACAAATTAAAAAACCAAAATGAAAATACAATTAAAATTTTACTATCCATATTTCTAATTTCTATCTTTGCATATTCATATAGTTGAGATCATCATATAAAAAATTTATGTACTTTTTTTCAGTTCATATTATTTTCTTTCATCACTGGCAACATTATCTTTTCTTTTTCAGTACTAGAGATTCAACTCAGGGCCTCACACATGTTAGGTAAGCACTCTACCACTGAGCCACATCTTTAGCCCTTTTTATTTTGAGACAGAGTCTCACTAAGTTGCCCACCTTCCTGAGTAGCTGACATTATAAGTTTGCACCATTGCATCCAGCACTAATACCTTTTATGGTTATATAAGTATTTCCCCCAACAGATATAATTGTGTAGATAATATCCCCACATGAGGGGTGTCTGGTTGTGCAAGGAGGGCCTTCTGAGATACAGATGGAAATGAGAGAGGTACTGAACATAGAGCCTTGCAGAGTTTAGTTTCTGAAAGCTTCCCATTTGTCAATGCCCTTAAGTTGAAAGCATGAAGCACAGGAATTGAACAGTAAGGTGAACTCCAAAAAGACATCAGCTATGACGCTACTTGAATTTTAGCATCTTGGGTCTGGCAAGCCTTGACCCATTTTGGACAGTGTCACCAGCCATTCTGCCTCCCAGGTGGGAATTCTGTGTCAAGCAAAGCTGTGTGAGAACATGATGCATCTCTTCCTGCTCTGAGTGGTTACTTCCAAATGTTTCCATATACTTGGCTAAGAAATTTGACAGAGAGTGGGAGGGGGTCTCGCCCACAAATCAGTGGTCCAACAGAATTATTGCCTTATTTGCCCCACATTTTCAAAAAAAATCTTTGATAAACATCATTGCTACAATTAAATTATTCCTGAAAAGTGATTTCTAAAAGCTGTAACTGAATCCAAATATGAATATTATGAAAATAATGACTTATTGATTTATATGCTTAGATATTTAAATGAATCCTGGCCTTTATTTTCAATTGAGACAGAAGATCTGAACATTTTTAAATTACAAAAAAAAATTAGTTCAAAATCTCTTTCTAAAGTTTTGTTTACTGTTATAACTTTTCCTAGATTAATAATAAGTGCTTTCTAGTAATAAGTGCTTTCTAAACCACATTTGTCATCTGGTTAGGAAGGTGAAAAATCTGTACTTTTTTTCCCCCTTTTTTTGTTAAAAGGGATTGAACCCATGGGCTCTTAACCACTGAGTCACATCCCCAGACCTTTTTTATTTTTTATTGTGAGACAGGGTCTCAATAAATTGCTGATGCTGGCCTCAAACTTTTGATCCTCCTGCCTCAGTCTCCTGAGTTGCTGAGATTACAGGCGTGCTACTCAGTGAAACTATATTCATTTCTATTAAAGAATTAAGATAAATTTTGCCACTAGTGGTTAAATCATCTCAATGACTGGAAAAAGATTTAAAGCATTACCCCATTTTTACTGCCAATGAAGAAAACAGATTTTTCTCCAATTTCAACTCCATCGCCTTCACTTCCATTACTTCCTCTTTTTTCTACTTCAGCTTTTGCAATTTCCCAGAGAGTCTCACTAGATGAGAAGCAGAGAAACAAACAGATCATTTTAATTATTTATTCCACTCAGGGAAATTTTATTTCAGTAAGATTTATAAAAGAAAAAAACTTTTTTCTGGAGAGAATAACTTGGTAAAATATCTGAGGATTAGTTAGATTTGTAATTTTTTTTCCTTTGAACTAATACTGAAATTGATAGGCAGAACCTTTATCACCAGGATTTGAAGTTTTCTTACTTTAGAGCTTCCCAGCAAGGTAAAAGGCTGTCATGTGTAAGTTTCTCAGACCACATAAAGGTATGAGGACTTTTGGAAAGATACAACTTGGGAATCACAAAACACGTAAGTCATCTAGGAATATGGGAAGCACACAAAACCAGTGTGCTTAATAATCTTTGCTCCCGGAAACATTTCTTTTTGTATTTGTAATTATGTTTTTGACCCCAAATTTCTTTTTTAAAATGTGAAAGTATAAAGATGGAAGGGAAAAATTCACCTAAAATTGTAAACATTTTGAAAACCATTTTTTCATTCCTCTTTATATAAAACTCTAAATAGGATTGTATCTTTTTTTTTTTAAGTCCAAGTGAAAATGCAGAACTATATTGAACTAAAAAACACAGGTAAGAGCTGATGGCTCCTGAATCTGCAGCTTTCTCTGTATGTGAATTTGGGCAAATAACCTAGTCTCTACATCCTTCATTTCTTTATTAATTAAACAAATGTTTATTAAGCACCTAATATATGCAAGCTTCCTTAAGCTCAAGTATGTTTCTTCATTTCTAAAATGTAAAAAAAAAAAAGCCAACTATTATAGGGTTGTCATGATTGTTACAATGTGATCATTCATTTCATTTAGGGTATGGTCTATAAAAAAATTTAAATTTTTTGAGAGCTTTTAATAATTACTAACCTAGAACCAGGAATAAAGAAGGAGCCAAAACAAGAATACAAAAAGTCAAAAATAGGAGTCCCTACATGTTTGCTCTAAAATTCATATACAGATGAAGCCTCCAGGAAGTCCGTCTCGGCCTGTCTGCTCCCCAGTCCCACACCATTCTTCCAAATCATGATTATCTGTTTTCCAGGTGCCCAGCAGAGAGAGAAATGGTCACCTGTAGAAACATATAGCTGTAATCATAGCTTTATAACTGTGACCAGTGATGGAACACTGACCTTTTTTTTTTTTTTTCACCCTAAATTCATAAACTCAACAGAGATCCCACCGCTGATCCAAAAAGAATGAAAAAGATTTATTCAGGGCGATCTCTGTCCGGAAGTCCTTGTAAATTGTTCAGAGAGGTTTAGGTCTTGAATATCGGTGGATTAAATGGACACAAAGGGCTCAAATGCATTTTACAGGCCATCAACGTTTCACACCTTTCCCCCACCTCCAACCCCAAAGCCATGTTACACTTTCCCCAGTGCCTTGCAAGTCTCCCATTGGCTCTGTGGTTGGGAGCCCTGGCACCAGAAGGGGGAGGGGGCTGGCGAGGAGCCTGGGCGGTCTGGTTCACCGCTGCCCACCCGGCCCCTGGAACAGTCCCTGGCCCACGAGACACTAATTGAATCAGCAAATGGATGGAGTTGATCACTCAACATCTCTATTCTACCCGTTTGCGGCAGAATCGTCTGCTCGAGGATAGTTCCTAAAGGCCCCTAACCATCAGATCCAGGTGGCAAACAGGACAGACCCACAATCCCCAACCAGCAGGTCCAGGTGGACTCTCCCCACATACACCCTGAGCGGCCTCTCCCTCCCCGCCCCTTCCAGATTGGGCTGGGGAAGAGGAGAGGTTCTCAAGGGGATCGCAGGCCGGGGGCAGGCAGGGTGACGGGAATACCTGGGCATCGTGGTTGGGCCGCCAAAAGTCGCGCGCTCCTCCTGGGGCCCAACCTACAACTCGGCTGGTGGCCGGCTTCGCGACAAGTCTGGGTGTGAAGGCTCCGGGGTTGCCATGGGAGCGACGTCGAGTCCGCGATTGCATAAGAAAATGAAGCATCATGGGAAATGTAGTTCTCGGCGCTCTTTTCAACCCTCACTTTTGGCATGTATCCCTGGGGTGAGAGAAGATGCAGTGACAGTGATTACAAATCTAGCACCTAAAACCTATGGTTTCTGGGCACGAAGTGTTGCTTTTTTTTTTTTTTAAAGTATCTATTGATTGCCGACTGTATCTCAGGGTTCTCTGCTCTTAGTTTTTACTTTTCTGTCCCCAATAGACATGATTTGGGAATAGAGAGTGAAACAATATCTTGAGCTATTTTTTTTAGTAATTTAGTAGAAACAAAGAATATTTAAGCCTTAAAGGCGTGTGATTTTTAATGTTTTCCAACTTTCAGAATGTTCTATCATGTTTTATGCAATAGCACTTAATGAGTTAAGCATGGGCTTCTCCTACATATATCATTTACTTTGTAAATGGAGATGATTTTTGTTTGAACTTAGTGGTCTTTTCATAGAGCTCCAGGAATCTCCAGATCAATAATAAACATTGGATTGTTACTACACGCAGGCCCTCTGCTATAGAGAGTAAGGAAAATAGAGTAAGACAACATCCTGACTCTCCAGAAAGTTATACAGAGCTCATTATAATTATAACCCAAGGAAGCAAATGATGTAGGCTTTGTATTAGAGGTACAGAAAAATTATATGAGAACAAAAGTGGCTAATTATGCCTGAAGGAGTTGTTGAGACAGTCATGTCCCTGATAGTATTTGACCTGTTGTTTGAATGTTGAATTTGACCCAGGCTGTCTTGCCCAAGATGGCCTAAATATTTGAAGGAGATACTTTTGCTCCAACACTCTATATTTTGGCTGTTTCTAAGGTGTGATGTCCAAGAACATAAGCTTGAAGTAAGATGGACCTAGATTCGACTCCTGACTCAGCCATACTAGCTAAGTTACCATATTGCCATAATGGGTAAATTACTTGATTTTTCTGAATCTCAATTTCTGATACTTTAAGCAGGGAAAGATTATGAGTTTTAAAAAATAAGATAAATATATATTCTTGTCATTATCATATGGCTACTGTGAAGGATCTTGCCATTCTGGATTTTACCATGTTGGTTATGAGAAGGCAAATAAGATTTTAAAAAAGAGTGTGCCATGTTGAGACCTTAATTTCTTTTAAAATATTTATTTTTTTTAGTTGTATTTGGACACAATACCTGGCCCTGGATTGAACGCAGGGCCTCACACGTGCTAGGTGAATGTTCTACTGCTGAGCCACAACCCCAGCCCCCTCACCCCCACCTTAATTTCAATGAGATAACTTTTTGCATTTGTGTGAAGGATGTTTTCTGGTGTTTAGAAGACCATGTGGAGGCTTTTAAGGATAGGTGGGAAATTAACAGAGTTTTTACATTTCCCCATTTGTTTTCAAAGTTGTATAATCCTTTTTTGGGGAAAAAATAGCACACAGAAAAAATGAAGAGGAAGAAATGAGTCTACCCCAGAATAGCTAGTAAACATTTTGATGTGCTTCATTCTAGTTGTATTCTTAAAGTTGAGATTATACTGTAAAGTTAATTAGTAACCTTATTTTAAATGTTTATTTCCCCATTTTTTAAAAACATAATATTGATGGCTGCATAATATTCTGCAATATAGTTTTTTTTCATAATTTACTTAGGCATTTTTCTACTGTTAAGCTTGAGATGGTTTAGAGTAAACACCTAACATGATTGGAATTTTTCAAAACAGAATTGGAAAAAGCAAATCATTCCCTTTTGAAGGAAGTTAGCCTTCCTGCTCTGTTAAATGAAGATGTTATTTTGTTGTTAGAGAACATGAAGCAGATACCCATGGATAGGAAGAGAAAGTTCTGACATGTTTCATGGCTCTGATTACCTCCAGGGGTCATCTGTGTCCTGATCTTATGATTTTACTGTTCAGCTCTCCCTTTGATTATATGAGACATCCTAGGATCCTTGTTATAAGAATGATAAAAATGAGTTTTTCATTTTTGTCTAAGTCAGTTCAAGTTGATTTTGGAATTTACATCAAAAAGAGGCTATCTTATATAGTTCCTAGACAGTAGAGAGTGAGGCTTGGGAAAAGGGAGAAAAGTCAATTGCTTTTCTCATTGATGAAGTGGTGATCCTTTTTTTAAAAAAAATTAATTTTTGTAGCTGTAAATGGACAGCATGACTTTATTTTATTTGCTTATTTTTTTTTTTTGTATGTGGTGCTAAGGATTGAACCCAGAGCTTCACCCATGCTCTACCACTGAGCCACAGCCACAGCCCAGTGGTGACCCTTTTCACCAACTCTTGGGGGCACAGCAGAGAACAGGCATAGAGGACATGGCGAGTTTGAGATATCATCCAGCATCTGTGCATTATCCAAAACTCGTAAAAACTCTCTTCCAGCTTTTTAGAAGTTATACGCTTTCTATAAACTTTTCTCTCACAAAAGGCAACTCTTCCGGACTTTGCAACATTTTCCAGAAATTTAATTTGATAGCTTCGAAGCCATCTTCTATGGTAGCACCCAACATTCAGTTCCTAGAGACTGTTCGTGGTAATTCATTAGAGCCACATAGAGAGGGGATTCATTTTCTCTTGCCACAGACACTGCTAATGAAGTCATCTAACTGTAATAGAACCACGATATAACCTACAGAAAAAGATCACCCACTCCCTGTTATTAGCAGATTATGTTGGCAAAGCACTGAGAAGGAAGTAGTTCAGATGCATATGGGTGAACATTTGTGTCTTATTTTGGAGTTATTTGCTAATAGATATTTACCTAGTTAAGGTTTTGTTTCTTAATTGTCCTGCAAAATAATTATAAAGCACATGGAGAAGGTTTTGGGGTTGATGTTGATAATAAAGGTGCCTCTAGAGTTATTGTAACTATTTCAATTTAGGTAATATTAAATTCAACAAATAAAATCACAGTTTGATGCAACTGTTGATCTCATCTCCTCACCCAGCCTCCCACCAGACCCACCAACGCTTCAGTATAGGTCTGACCTTCCCTTTTAAATGCCCAAGAAAACTGCATCTTGGTCACACTGAAAAAATGGGGAAATTTGCTTCACCCTAAATATCTATGTGTGACTTACCTTAATTACATTAAAGGGGGAAAAGTTCTCTTATTGAAGTAAAGTCCTACTTTTAGTGAAAAGAGAGTGTGGCAAAATGTGAGAAGAGATGTGATTTCTGCCAAATATAATAGCAAAGAAACCTCCCTACCAGCTTATTCCTGCTCTTCATTTCCCCTCCCCAATTCCGATACCTCTTCACCTGAGAAATCAGCCCATAGCCCTTCAGCCCTTAGGGGACAGATTCCATTGAGGCTGGGAGGTAGGTGGATGGGGTAGGGGACATATTCTTGGCACCCCAGAAAAACGTAGATATTTAACTAGAGAAATATGGTTGTCTGTGGTGTTAGTACTTCAAGATTATAGTTCAGGGGCTGGGGCTAGGGCTGTGGCTCAGTAGCAGAGCACTTGCCTGACAGTGTGAGGCCCTAGGTTAGATCTTTAGCACCACATAAAAATAAACAATACTGTAACAAAAACATTGGGCATGGGTATTAAAAAAAGATAAACTTAAGTTCAATTATGAGTCAAAAGTATCTTCTAGAAACCTGATCATTTTTTAATTTTTTTTTTTTTTTTGTACTAGAGATTGAACCCAGCAATGCTTAGCCACTGAGTCATATCCCTGGATCGTTTTTTTTGTTTTGTTTTGTTTTTTTGTTTTTTATTTTTTGAGACAGGATCTTTCTAAGTTGCTTAGGGCCTCACTAAGATGCTGAAGCTGGCTCTGAACGTGGGATCCTCTGCCTTGGCCTCCTGAGTCACTGGGATTACAGGCGTGTACCACCATACTGAACACCATATTTTTTTCCTATGGAAAAAATTTCCAAAAACATATTCTGTAACAAAGTGTCTTTATAAGTTGTGACTAACTTCTCTTGTAAATTGAGAGTTGAATCCATTTCCAAACTGTGGCAGTATTTGATTTGAAGGGCACATGGGCAATCGTGAACACACACAGTCCAGAATGTTTAAAATAAATGTTCAGAAACAGTCCATTAAACTCACCTAAGTGACATAAACTCCCATAAAGAGTTTATTATGAAATCAGGGAAAACCAAAATTTCTATTCATTTATCAATATGCATACATATCTATTAATATTACAATGTGCCAAAACAGTTTCCTTTTATAGGTATAAAACAAAGCAACATTGAAGACAAAGCATGAATGTAAGAGAAGGAGGTAATAACTACCATTTTCACTGGTAGAACACCTCAGCTTTGACAATGAAAACATTAGGTATTTCATGAAGATTATTCAAAAGATAATGCTCAAAATGGGTTTTGTAAATCATTTATTATGATTGAAAGGGAAGAAAATGATAGGAGACAAATATTACAATTAAACATGAAACACTATTCTCATGTAACCAATCATAATAACATACTTTGAATTTTTTAAATGGCTATATAAGTAATTTTCCAGAAAATAAAATTTTCACATCATCAGTTACAGAAAATTGATTTCTTTCCATCAAAATATTTTATCTCTGCTCTATCAAAAATAAATGCCAAGAATAAGGTACTACAGTTTAAGCTAAGCCTTTACTACTTATTTTTAAATTAGAAAATTTGGGGGTGCTAAGAGAGGGGAGTTTACCAGATAGTGAATGAATGAACTACTGCCTGAGAATAAAGTTCTCACACCTTAGTAACAGTTCTGTCAAGACCCCAGGCTCATCAACTAATGATTATTAAATGGTTTTCTGGGAGCTCAGAAATTCTGTGTCCCAGCCAAAAGACTCCTCAGAGTCACCCCAAATTGGTAATCAGTTTACTCTAAAAAACTAATTTATTTATTCAGTGAGTAGCTGTGGCTCAAAAGATATAGAGGAAATGGACAATGGAAATCCATTTCTACAGAGGCTTTAAAAGCTTCTATTTGTTGTTCCAATAAAGTACACTATTCCTTAAGTAATGTATTTCTTGCCTCTGCTCCTTCGAAGGATGGAAGGCTGAGTGTGGGAACAGTACATTACCATGGGGAGAAAGCAGCAAAGAAGAAATACAAGGACTCTGCCAGCAAAGTAATTCAGCAGCTAACATTTTTCTCAAATTGGTTAAAAACAATGACACAAAAGTGATAAATATGTCCAAAATAAATACGAATATTCTACACATAAATAAAATTAAGTATACTCATGATTACTATTACAGTTAAACATTTCTATAATATCATTTTCATGTCTTATCACAGTTTCGTTTTTATCATGAATCCTCATTACATTGTTTTGACACATACTGCAATGTACTGGCCACTTACCCAACCTAGTAAAGTCATACATCTCAATATTCTTTCAACTAAAATTTTATCTCCTTTGATAGAAGAATTTTTTTCTATTTCTCTTTTCTCAAAATTTCCAACAAATATTTGGGGAATATATTTTCAAACTCTCAGGAGTATGTGAGGGGGCAAGCTTTAAGGACTGTCTTTGTTTTCAAAGATATTATTGAACAAAGCAAGGTCAAGTTGACCCCGTACCAAATGCAAGGAAATGCGAGCAATATTCCAGTGAACTTGTGCTATGCTGACAGCCAAGGAATGTCAGGAATCACTGCCTCATTTTAAACTTTACACTCCAGTGATCTGCGAAGGCGACAGGGTATACTTTCTAATACCACACAGGAGGGTCTGGTTACCTAACTCCTGTTTTTTCATGTAATGATTCACAGAGCCACAAAATTTATTGCACTTGCTCTAAAAATTTACCCCTCCACATCACATGCAGCTGTTTCTTACACTGTGCACTCTGTTCCTTTCCAAATACCACCTCATTAATAAAGAGCACATTTAATTACAGTACTTACATTTTTGGCAGGGAGCTTTTCCAAATACTCAACAGGTACACAGAGTAAGAGTTTGGAATCTCTCTTTCTAAAGATGGCCAGAATATTCAAAAGAAAAAAAATAAAAGAAAAGCTACAGTGCTTGATGCCTCTGATAGCTAGGAAGACGGGGAGAAATGACCAAGTTTTAACCTATTTAAGAGAAAATGAACATGTTGGCAAATTGTATGTTCATGTTTTATTGCTATTTGAATATTTAAGAATCAGATAAGAGAGAGTAACCCCTATTTTTGCTGAAGTTTGGATACTAGTGTGTGGGTGCCACATGGCTGGAGTGAATCAGCTTGCTGTCAGCCAGTGAAGCCATCATAGAGGCAAGGACTGAAGGTTCAGGCTCCGGAGCCTTCATAAAAGGGTGGGGCCTTTGGTGGGCCTGCTGCTTGGAAGGAGGAGCTGGCTTCCCATGGCCCTGGCTTGGGGTCCCTGGGTCCTGCTTGAGAGCAGGGCTGGAGCGGAGAGGTGGTGAAACGCTGCCTTCTGTTGATGGAAGTTGTTGATGTAACTGGCGATCAAAAGAGTGATTTCAAGAATCTAAAGCAAGAAAAGCAGAATGATTATGTTCCTGAGATGTTCGCACAGATGACAAGGGAGTAAAGGGTTGGCTATTCGCAAGTGCCCAGCCTTCCAGAATCCCCTTCTCTGTAGATCACACAGTGGAGTTTTTACCTGCCGGGCACTATCAAGGTACCGTCCCATGTTCCCATTACTTAAATCAGCAGACAGAATGAATCTCAAAAAAACATTAGAGTTTAGTGGCAATATTCGGAAATGAGAAGGTTAGCCACCAATCTTTCAATTAACTTAAAGCCACATTGATGAATATATGAATCAAGAAGTTCAGTCCATCATACAGATTAATGCTTTATTCAAACTAAATGACTGAGCATGCTTCAATTTTTGGCACTTGATCATGAACTGCTTCCACTTAAGTAATCTTAATTAGGAAAGAGATCTGCCATTTTTTTTAAGCTTCAGATTTTGAAGAAAGTCTCTTTTATTTGATGATTTTAAGATAAAGTTTTATGAAAGCCAATTTCTCATTCTTTGGACTACAGAATTGCATGTTAGAATGTTGCCCTTTTATTTGCTGGCTTTCACTTAAAAGAGACATTAAAAATATACAATTTGTTCTAAACAGTAAAGGAACAAGTAGATTTTAATGATAAAACTCTGATCTTTTCTTTAATGAGTCCATAAAGCAAATAATCCCCAGTAAGAGAATATGTATAAAGTACCTGACAACAATCACTTACTCTGCGGCCATTTCTTTTGAACCTTCTATTTACTAGGTACTGGGCTAAGAACTTTGTAAACCTCCTTCATTAAGTATATAAGCTAAAAGACGAGTAGGTAGTATCATACTATTTTTTTAGACAAAGAAACAAGACTGACTAGACCCATGGTGGTTAAGTTATAAGTAATATATGTTTTCCCAACTGGAATCGTTTTTGCTCAATGACTGTTTTAGTACAAAAGGAACTAAAGAACTAGTGTAAAAAAAAAAAGGTAGCAGAAAGAGTTCTACTCACCTTGGGTTTTGCCATGGCAAAAAGTAATTTCTCTGTTGATTTGTCTTTTGAATGTGTATTGTTAATGACTACCATAAAATCATCTTGAAAACCTCCAAAGGTCATAAGACTTTTGTACACATAGCTGACTATTAACCTCTTCAAAGGAAAGAAAAAGTAAATGTTATATGCTTTTTATGTTCAGAGAAAGATGAGAAATGGGTAATATATCTATCTCCACTAAAATGCTAATATTAATTACTTATGGCATAATGCAAAAAGTATTTTCTAAAATCAAATCTATTTTGATCTAAAATAGATAGTAGTGGTACTAAGTTTATTTAGGCAACATCTACCTTTTACAATTAAAGTACATTTAAATGCTGAAAAAATTCACTTCAGAAAAATTAGAAACTATGAAGAAAACAAAAAACCACTTGTATTTGGCATCCAGTGGCAAATCACTATTAATATATTTTCATATATATATATTTTAAACCAGGAATTGCACTCAGGAGTGCTTAACCACTGAGCCACATTCCCAGCCTATTTTATTTTTTATTTTGAGACAGGGTCTCGCTAAGTTGCTTAGGGCCTCCCTACCTTGCTGAGGCTAGCTTTGAACTTGGGATCCTTCTGCCTCAGCCTTCTGATCCTTGAGTCACCATGCCTGGCTATTTTCATATGTTCTATGTTCTGTCAGGTATCTCCTTATACAAGAGATTGAGCCACAAGAAACTGACACCCTTTATGGATAAAATGGTCAAATGCTGTACTGGCAAATCTATGTTTTACCCTGATTGGTGAATTCTTTTATGTATAAAAACAAAAGCAGTATTAAGCATGCTGTGAGCATTGTGCTTTTTCAAAGTTAACATATTGTGAACATCTTTCCATGACAACAAATGCACTTGTCTAACTCTTTTAGTTAGCAGGCTACTGCAGTCTTTTATCACTTATTGCAGGGAATTTGTCTATATCTTGTAATATTTGGGGACATATTTCATAATGCACATAACCCTTCCTTTAAACACCAAGACTTGCTAGCTTAAAAAGTGAGGACAATTTTTGAGAATTTTTCCAAAAATCTCCTTCAGAGAGGTTATAACCATTTATATTCTCAACACTACATTCCAATAACATTGGATATCATCATTCTTTTAAATCACATTTAATTTCCAGTGAAATTAACATTTTAAAATATATTTACTGAATATTGACTCTTTTGTGAATTGAGTTGGCCATTGGCCTATTGGTATTGTTCACAAGATTCTTCTTCCTTTTGCTTTTCTCCCCACCCCCACGCCATTTTGGTGTGGGGACTGAACCCAAGATCTGGCACATGTTGACCATATCTTCTACCACTGAGTTACACCTCAACCCTATGATATTTTTATTGTCTTATAAATAAGACATTTGTGCATGTTGAGGAATCAACCCTTTGTAATATATGAAATTTAAACTTTAGACACTTGTCTTTTTTCTAACCTTATTTTATTTACTTTTATATGATGCTGAGGATTGAACCCAGGGCCTCACAAGTGCTAAGCAAGCACTCTACCACTGAGCCACAACCCGAGCCCCACATTTTTTCCAATGCATTTCTAAAACAGTTTAAGAGACAGAATTCAAATGTGCACAGCCTAAAAGTAATCTGCACATGTAAGGATCAGCTGAGCAGAGTCCACTGCACTGACACCTTCGATTCCTGCCCACCAGATTTTTTTTTTTTAACTAAGTAATCTGACACATGAAATGTGATAGAAAATAATGTAACTTCAGATAAATACATGAACATATAAAAAGCACAGGTTTGCTTTACTTTTAATCATGTGAAAATCTCTAAGTTTTTGTATCTGTACATGTGAACTGGGAGGTGATATTATTGGAAATTATAGAAATTATGTTATAGAAGCCTTAGTGAACTGAACTTAAACTTCGATCATTAAACTTTCTACTTTAATAATATCTTAAATATTTTTATTTTCCACAGGACACAATTTTCTTAATTCTTTAAAAAATATTCTTTTCACCATTACAACCAAGATTGCAATTTAATCATGCACAATAGATAACCATCTTATCTTGGTTTAAAGATAAAAGTGCTGTATTTGTAAAATGACTCTTCATTAGGAATAATGCTATCTAAACATGAGAAAAATCAGATTAAGGAGTGTTGTCTTCTGTTTACAGTACACTGAGCAATGGAAATAGTGGATTCAATGTAACACTTTAGGGCTTAATCTTACCATGGAGTTGTATTCTAAGATGCTCAAACCATTCTCATGTATAGCCAGCCACATGAAAGCATTTCCAAGTGAGGATGGAGTTATGGGCTAAAAAGAGTTAAAAATGTGGTCATAAATGTTAAGCAAAAGCACAGAAATATTTCCCAATCTAAATGTCATATAACATATAGCATTATGAAAAACAAAAATGTATTACTAAAAATCTCTCTTGGGGAAGAGGTTGTGTGGTCTACTGGAAAAAGCAGTGAATTTGATAGTAGGAGAACTGGCATTGAGGCTCAAATCTGCTACTTAATAACATGTGAATTTGGATATGCTAATTAATCCCTTCAAGACTCAATCTCCTTATCTTTCATGTGGAAACTATAATTTTTAGATCTTATTTTTGTTTTAAGAGACTAAGAGTTTTGAGGGTTTCTATGATAACCAAAATATACTGATGTGCTTTATAAGGCATGTAGTGCTCTTATAAATCTTTATAGTAATTGTACATTGTAAGTACTCTTACAATGTAAAAAGATTACTGTAGTAATATAACCTATCTGAAAGTTTATTAAATATGATATCAATGTATAACAAAAAACAAAAAGAAAATACGTAACTGTGATCAACTGTAATAAGAAATGAGTAATGCTAAAATATGAGTAATGCTAAAAGTTTCTACCAATTTTTCACTGCGAAAGCAATAAAATTGAATCAACAAAAATAATCTCACCAGAAAAATCCAACTAAAACCCAGAAATATTTTTGAGCAATTTACAGTGATTATTTTGTTCAGTTAACAAAACTTAACTACTTCTTTTAAGTCTAATAAAACAATATCAAGATTATAGATAAGGAATTGGGATGAATCTTGCATTATTTGTACATAGTAAAACTTAACAGAATTTCACACATAAAAAACCTTGGGTTACCAGCCTATTGAGGGTCAGTTAGCAAAAGGCAAGCAAATATTAAAAATAAAGCCATTTAATTCAAGTGTCCTTCAACTGCTGAATGGATAAACAAAATGTTTATGTGAATATACACACACACTTGCAAACACATATATTATGGAATATTATTCAGCCTTAGAAAGAAAGAAAATTTTGACATAGGGTATAATATGAATGAATCTGAAAGACATTACCCCAAGTGAAACAAATAACTAACCACAAATGGATGGTTCCAAGTATGGTCAAATTCATAGAGACATAAAGATGGTTGCTAGGAGCTGCGTGGTAAGAACAAGAATGGACAGTTAGTGTTCAGGGGGCATAGAATTTCAGGCCAGAAAGATTTTTTAAAGTTCTGGAAGTAGATGGTGGTGATGTTGACAGCACAATGTGAAGGTAATTAATAGCATGGGACTGTCCACTTAAATTGATTAAGATAGTCAACTTAACGTTATGGGTATTTAACCACATACACAACACAAAAGGGCCACCAAAAAGCAAACAAAAGAAGTGTCTCCCTGTTATAAAGAAGAAGGAAAAAAAGTGCTGGTCATGCACTCTGAAGCACAGTATCATTATTTAATATTCTGTGCCAGCAAGCACAAAAACTGTTGTCAAAGCAGAAAAGGATATTCAATCGTCCTTCCAATGGTGAAGTCAGAATTAAAATTCATCAAAAATGTTCTACAGTTCAAATCTAGGCACAGGCAGGGCTGTGTTGACAGGGCTGTTGCAACACTGGCCCAAGCTAAGTGCAACAGTCCTGGAAGTTTGTTCCAACTCATCAGAAACCATGGGTTCATGTAGCCCTAGAGCTCAAGGCCTGCCAAAGAGGACTCAGTCAATACTTCATAAATATGGGAGCAAATGAGTGTGAGGATGAATGAGAGGATGGATGGATGGATGAAGAGAGGACAGAGGATTTCAGCTGTTGTTTGCCGGCTCCTGATTAGCCTCAGGAGTCTGGGGAAAGGCTGAGCAGAGGGGAGAAGAAAACAACACTTCCTGCCCTTTCCCTAGTGTCCCTTGGTTGTTTTCTCTAAATTGTTGGGAATTTCCTCATTAAAAAAAAAAAAAAGCCAAATATACCAAATTGGGGGTAAATCTGGTGGACTGTGCCCACAGAGGTTTTCATTATGCATTTCCCTTCCGTTCTTTCTTACTTTTGCAAGAAACAACTTGGCACCAAAGAATGGCCACTTCCTGGCTACTGTCAAATAAATGCGCACACAGTCAGCCGCGTTGTGTCCCCGCAGGGCCATCCATCTGGTTGACAGTCGCTGGTACAGCTGCCTAAAAAAAGAAAAGGGCAAACACAAAACCACAGAAACACAAATTATTGTCCTCCCAAGATGAAGCTCTCCTTGAGCCAACCCAAGCCCAGCCGTGCCACCTCCGCACACCTAGGCACAGCGGTTCTTGTGTGACTCTGTCACCAGTGTCCACCCCTTCTTCTTTTTGGAGCATTTCTTTCACCAAATTCTCATGCGTTTTGTGTCTTCAACATAATCTAATATCTTGGACTGTAAATTTTAAACATCTGAATAGCTAGCATCAAATCTTTGTGAAATTAGCTCAAAAAGTAGTTTCTCCTGGGAATATTTTCATTAAAAAAAAAAAAAGTACAAAAAGCAGAGCCCAAAGAAGATGAATCCCTAATTTTAGGTACTGCAACTCTTAGCTTAGAGAGATGTTGGAGGCAGGGATAAACTTCTCAAATCAAACTCTGAAGGCAATCATTCATACCACACAGAAAAGACTCACCTTAAATGCTCCTATTTTGGAAAACTCATGGTAAACCAAATTTGCTCCATTTTTAATCTAATCAGCCTTTTGTATTCTCTAAACCTGAGACTCTAAATTAATTTAATTTAAATTTTATATTAAAAGTCTTATGTAAGATTTTTTTTCAATTTACTTATAATGGACTATTCTAAAAAGAAATTGGTAAACATTTCATAAAATTAAACTTTTTCAAGGCCATTTTTTCTCTTATTCATTATCATTATTAGTTTGAACTAGAATGAATAACATCAAACGAAAAACACACATAAGGTAATTTTTTCATTGGAAAAAATATTTAGTTATTCCACAATGTACACATACTTCAAAACACACTGTACATGACAAATACACACTTTTATTTACCCATTTAAAAAATTTAAATATAAATTCTAAAGCATTTGAGCACATCTGGAATGAAAATAGCTATAACTTCTTGGGGCTTATCAGTATTTAAATTTTGAGAAAGGTCATACTTCTTCCCCACCTTTAAAACTTTGTATGTAGCATGATTCTACCCTCTGTAAAGTAAAAAATATATCCTTACCTTAACTGTTCCTCAGAACAGCCATCTCTGTACCCTTTAGGATAAAATTTCTCTATAACTTGTTTGAGAGTTTGGTTGGCTTTACATTGATTGGTAACTTGTCCTGCTGGAGTTGAGAAAGGTCTTTCAAAATCTCCAATCTCCACCTAATTGGAAGTCCAAAAGAGAGAAAATAAAGAGTATTGAAAATATTTTTTAAGTAAGTTTAATTTTTTTCTAAACATTCTTTTTTTAACACATAACACATAAATCTATGTGTCATGATTGTCTGATTATAAAATTTATAACAATACATAATAAGTTTTATTAAGGCTAAATTTCATTTGAATTCTTTGTACATTTCAGTTCCATTTCTACATTAATCTTCCTGAGTTACTATCACCATCAAATAATGTTTGCTACAGGCCTATAACACAGGAAAATTTTTATTTAAGACACTGTTTTTATTGCAAATAATAAGGTGAAATAGAAGTTAAAAATGAAAAAAAGCTGGGTGTGGTGGTGCATCCCTGTAATCTCAGCGGCTCAGGAGGCTGAGGCAGGAGAAACTTGAGTTCAAACCCAGCCTCAGCAACTTAGCAAGACCCTAAGCAACTTAGTGGGACTTTGTCTCTAAATAAGATACAAAAAAAAAAAAAAAAAGGTTGGGGATGTGGCTCAATGGGTAAGCAAGCACCCTGGGTTCAATCCCCAGGAGGAAAAAAAAAAAAAAAAAGACTTCACCCAAAATAAAAATAAAATATAAGGAAAAAATTCACAAAACTTTAGGAAGTCCCCAAAAAAGTTTTAGTCAAACTTTTTTTTAAGTGTCTCTTCTGAACATAATGGGAGCAAGAAGTATGTTCTCATACTTGCTTCCTGTATTTATTCCACAACGTTACTGTATTTAGTCCCTCATTCTACTAGTCTCTTACTCCCTGGAATAGAGTCCTTCATTCCCCTCTCTTCCTTGATGAAAGAATGTTCAACCCTCATCTCTACTAATAGGCCACACAAATACCCTCCTTTATGACCATCCTACTCCCCACTTATCCATCTCTCCATCCACACATGTACCCCTCCATTCATCCAAACCTGGACTCGGATCTCTCTGCAAGTCAGGCACTGTGCTAAGGGGTGGGGGAGAGGAAAAAGTCGAGCAGCCCCCAAATGCAGAGTTTACTAGCGAGTGATGGAGAGTGAGGGTTAACAAACACTCATGGTAAACTGAATTAAATGCTTAGTATAGGGTACCAAAAAGAGTTCAAGGAGGAAGACAGGATGGGGACATTTAGGTGAATGCCCTACTGAAAATTCTCACCATTACCTATAACACTTCCCAGCAAGCAGATGGAGGATTCCATCCAGCCTAGAACGGTCATATAGAAAGCCCCTCGTCGCCACTTAAGCTCCCTGCCTCCAGTTTAGCTGTTCAACAACCAGCTTCTGAGGTTCTGAGGCTTTTATCCCCCCTAATTCCAGCTGCGTGTCACCCTTATAGTCTATTCTCCTAGGTTTCTTTTATTTTATCATTAAAATAAGGTTCTAGGGGTGTGTGTGTGTGTGTGTGTGTGTGTGTGTGTGTGTGTGTGTTGTAGATGGACACAATACCTTTATTTTATTTGTTTATTTTTATGTGGTGCAGGGGAATGAACCCAGTGCCTCATGTGTGCTAGGCAAGTGCTTTGCCACTGAGACACAACTGAGCCACTGGCCCCCTTCTAGGTTTTTTGACCCTGTTTCTTAGTCATTGGTTATCTGTGTGGCTTTGCTGTTGGGCTCCCATTTCTCGTTTTTCTGGGTTTTTCTCAATCCCCAATTCCTTCCTAGTCAAGCATTCTATGTCCTCAAACCAATTAAAAACTGTCTGCCAGCTCTCCAACCACACCAAAATCCTTTCCCCAGAGGGAATTAGACACCTCTGCCACCTAGCACCAGGTAGGCGAATAGTGGTTAAAAAACTAGTAGGCAAGCCTGCCTCCTAGGGGAGTCTGGTGGTTATGCCCAGGCTCAGTGTCTCCCTCCCTGGAGCTTGACATACTGTTTGGCATAAAATAAACACAAGAAATTTTTGAAGAATAACTGAAAATTTACTCAGATAATTCCCAACCAACACTCGCCACACAAACCTAAGGCCTCTTGGTGAGACCTCGGCAAATGGTACAAAGCAGAAACACAGTAAGTAATTCTCAACCACTGAGGTTAGGACAGCGAGACATGGACATGCATGGAACATCATGGACCCCTCAAGAGGGACTTAACCCACCCAAGCAGATTTGGGAAGGTTTCCTGGAATAAGTGACACCTACGATGAAAAGTACAGGCTGAGATAAAGTTAACAGGTGAAGGAGTGGGGGGGACACCCCAGCAGAGGAGACACCAGCGAAGCACACGAAGGAAAAAGGGAGCCATATGCAAGTCCAGGAACTGTGCATGGACCCACAGTTCATACTTCACTGGAGCGTAAAGTTCAAGGTAGGGGGTGTTAAGGGAGTGCAGAGGCTGGAGGTGGCAAAGTTCACATCAGGAATGTCCTTGTATATAAATGAGGAAATTATAGCTATGTTCATTTTTTTTTTTTTGCTGTATTTCCCTCTCATTGATTAGTGTTGTATAAATAAATTTCCATGAAAAAGTGACACTGTACCAGGGTCCTTGGCTTAACAGCTGGCACTCTGGTAGCCCTCCAAGGCTGCAAAGATGACACCCCAGGAGTGGCTGGAAAGGGGATCAAGATAAAGCCCACCCCTCATGACTTGGTAATGGGTGCCAGAATGCTTCTATAGAGAGACAAATATACGTCTATTCAATTAAGTCACTATTAATTTGAGTGTGTGTATGTTTACAGAAGATCAGCTTAATCCTAATTGATATAATAGGTACATGAAGAAAGTGCTCTAGAGTTTTCGGGACTCAAGCCTGTTAGATGAAAAACAATTTCAAAACAGCATCCTCTGCCCCACAGCGCAACACTCAAATTCTTTTATTAAATAGAAGTCTAGAGCTAAATTTTCTTTTCTTCTTCTTCTTTTTTTTAGGGGGGGGGTACCAGAGATTGAACTCAGGGGCACTGAAGCACTGAGCCCCAGCCCCAGCCCCATTCTGTATTTTATTTAGAGACAGGGTCTCACTGAATTGCTGAGTGCCTCACCATTGCTGAGGTTGGCTTTGAACTCACGATCCTCCTGCCTCAGTCTCCTGAGCCTCTGGGATTACAGGCATGTGCCATCGGCTAAGAGCTAAATTTTCAAGAGAATAAGAAATGAGGTTCCCTTTACAGAATACTGTCTCATTCTGCATCATTGCAGTTGTTGGCTGTTGAGAGTCACACTGTAATTACAAAGCCTGCAGGGTTTAAGGTCTTAAATCACAGCAAAGTAGATTTAAAGAACAGCTGAAGGTATGTTGTTTTACTGCATCTTAATTCCATGAAGAAACTGGTATCTTATCATTTCTATATACTATTCTACTCAACATGGAAGTTACCTGAGCTAAAAGAGCTGCCATTTCTAGTGCCAGATCCTTGCTCACAGGAAAAAGGCCATTTACTATTTGATCATTTGTCTGATACATTAACAACAACTTCTCTCTATCAGTCTCTCCACGGGCTTGCATTGAGAAATATAGTCTGGAAAAAAAAAGGAAAATTCTCATTAAATTTTACACACACACACACACACACACACATCTATCTATCTATTTATCTATATATATATATTTTTTTTCCATGCTAAGGACGAACCCAGGGCCTTGTGCATATTACGCAAATACTGTACTACTGAGCTACACCCCTAGCCCCCAAAGACATTCTTACAAAAGAAGAAAGTAAAGATAAATCCAGAGGATACAAATGGAGTGGTTTTAACATAGTCCTCTAAGTTATATGAGTTTAGACCATTACTATTGGTTGATGATCTCTTTCTGTTCCATATAACATTCTCAGCAAAATGAAAAGAAAGTTTCTTTAAGGTAGAGGGACTCTTCTAGCTATTTTTTAATTCCCTGAAGTATTAAATCCTTAAGTGTTCCTGAAGGATGTAAGACATTACAAAAAGTTAAATTTGCTCTCTCTTGTAGGGAATGAATGATGTCATCTTCATTTCAATGGGCTGTATAAACCTAATTTTCAAAATGCTATGAACATATCAAAGAATAGGAAATGAGGATTTCAACTCAAAATCAACCCCAAATCAACATCAATTCATGAGGGAGGGAAGCGAGGTCCTCTCTGAGAATCCAAAAGATAATATTTGTGCATTTAGATGTGTTTTGACTTTTTGGCCAAATGCTGATGAGATGATTTAGGGGCTCAAAATAGTTTTACATGTATTCATTACTACTTGTTGAAACATGACATGATTTTCTGTTGGTTGGTTGGTTCATTGGTTTTGAGATGGGGTCTCATTATATTGCCCAAGCTGGTCTTTGCTTTCTTCCTGGAGTTAAGATCCTCCTGCCTCAGCTTCCTGAGTAGCTGGTACTGCAGGTGTAAGTCATTATGCCTGGCTTATGACATGGCTTTTGTCTAGGAGTCTTCATCGAATCAGTGGCCCTTTTTATTTATTCACTGTGCTGTTTATATGTGAGACTTACAGGGCTCTGGAGTCAGGTGAGGCATGGGTGCTATGAATGCTCCAAATGTTTGGTAATGGGGAGAATAAGCAACACCTTGACACCCCTGAATATTATCATGGCAACGCAGTGGTTGGAGAAGAGGGATTTGGGTCCAGCAGTGAGGTATGTGCCCAACTGTGGATTTTCCATCTTTCTCTCTGTACATACTTGAAGGAGCAGACACAGCATTTCTCCGCAAAATTATTTCAAATGTCAGGGAAGGAGAGGGCAGTAAGCCCCTATCTGGGAAACATGGTGGGTGTACTCTGAAATGTTCCTCCTAGCCCATGATTCTGATCATTTTTCCTGTCACACCCAATTTACAAATCAGAGCAGTTTCCTGGAAAAAAAAATCAATCCTACACCCCTTTTTTTCTATGATTGCATGATGACAAATATTGCAGGATTGTTAAACTGGTAGAAGAATGCAGCTGGATAACAGAAATACATAATTCATTTAAAATGACATCAGCAAAGTGATATAAAACAGAAAGAAGCTTAAGATGAAAGCCCTCCCTTTTTGACACAGTCACATTTTTATAACTAGCTTATTTTCCCCACTTGAAGTTATCACTGTAATCCATGAGGATTTAGATAAGTGTTACCACTGGAAGGTTTTTTTTTTTTTTTTGTAACAGGTATTGAACCCAGGGGCTTTTAATCACTGAGCCACATCCCCAGCCCTTTTAAATATTTTCCTTAGAGACAGGGTCTCACTGAATTACTTAGGTCCTTGCTAAATTGCTGAGGCTGGCTTTGAACTTGCAATCCTCCTGCCTCAGCCTCCCAAGCTGCTGGGATTACAAATTGCGCGCCACCGCACCCGACTGGAAGGTTCTTAATACAAGTTTGCCTGGTAACACAGCCAGGGGGAGATAATGAACCAAATATTTCAATGACAACGGGAAAGAAGAGCTACAGTACATTTCCCTGTCATTTCTGGCATGCGGCAAGATTGCACCTGAAAAGGGAAAGGGAAGCTCCTTTAGCAAAGAAGGCAAGACAGTCCTGGACACGCATGGTTCAGGTATACCATCTGCAGGAACCTGGCCCAAACCCCCAATGAACAGCTTGTTCTCCAGCAGCCACGCAGGGGTGTGGACAACACTTGCAGAGGCACAGAAGAATCAGAAAAATGAGCAGACGTCAGAAAATCAAACCCTCGGAGCTGGAATAGAAAAGGCACCAGAGGAGTGTGACTTACTAAGGCAGGTGGGGCTGGGACTGGACAGCTGGCGGGTACCCAAAGGCCTGCCTCCCCGTTCTTTCTTCACAGCATTTATTGTCCAACTGTGGCCCTACTCATCCTCGGGGAAGCCGCCTAGGGAGTCCCCCTCCTTCCACTCTCCCTTCACTCCTCAGTCCACCACAGTCTACTGATTTCCCTTCACTGAAACCACGATTATGAGCCTCCCCACACGTCCCTGCTTTCTACATGTGGCTCCAATGTCAACCATCTGCTTGAAAGTCAGCCAAACCTTCCTCCGTATTCCTACCACATCATGTATGTAGACCTGGTAATATTCATGGTCCATTCAGCAAATACCTAGGACATGTTCACTGGGTGGCAGGCTCTGGACCCAGAGTTCTACACTGGCCAATACTTAATCCTTCAGACAACTCTCAAGGTAGGTGCTATTTTAACCTACATATTTCACAGAGGGTATCTGAGACACAGAGATGTTAAGCGACTTACTCAGGGCTGCATAGCTAGGAGTAGAGCCAGGAAGCTAACCCAGGCAGTCTGCCTCCATATCCATGTTTCTCACTGCTCTGTTATACTGTTGCCACAGCATTAACCAAATTGCTAAGACTTCCCATCTGCCTGCCCCAAGATACTACAAGATTCTTCATCTGAACAAGCAGCACTACAATAAACAAAGCTAAAATACCAATTTTAGGAACCCTCATTTGGTTTTGGGGAAACCAAATGGAATAACTTCTGTGTGTAAGACTATTTCTGATAATCCACACCTTATGAATGCCTTTGAATTCCCAGGGCTTCAAATAAGGCCTGGCACTGTGCTTGGGTGGACAAATGAATGGTATGTAAGAATGGCTAACTACAGGAATTATTTACTGAAAAAGGCTAAGGAAACTCCTTGCTGCAGCCTTGGGTAAGTGGCCAAACTCTAATAAAAGTTTCGGTTGCCTCATCTAATCACCCACCCTCTATGGGTGTTGCTAGGATTATACGAGAGGATGGTATAAAGAGCTCAGCACAGGCCTAGAGTTGGGTAAATGCTCCATAAACGTAGGTGATTATTAGCAATAGAATTCTTCTCTAGAGGTCTTCAGAATCACAGCAGAGTCCCTCCATTCTGGACTTTTAAAAATGTGAACATAACCAAAAGGAAAGATGAGGTGACCTGTTGACCTTTTTGACTTGGACGTTGATGGATACAGGTGCTCACACAGCCAGCCAATGGCGGCAGAGACAGGCATGTTAAACTGTGCTCCAGAAAACGACAACTGCAAAGCACTGCTAAACATAATCTCCATTTTCAAGGAGAGGAAAAGAAGAGTTGTTCCCTCTGGGAAGGACCCTGGCCGGTTTTGTTAAAATTGTGCCTTGACTTTGGCAGTTTCGAACATATAGTAAGAAATCCAATTAAAGAAGAGGGTTTAATGTGAACAAAGCTTAAACATTAATTTCCAAATGGTCATCTCTGAATCCAAGTTCAAAACCCATTAATTAGATCTTTAACCCCAGAATCTAAATAATTGAAATTCCATAACTTGCTAAAGATAAATAAACTATTTCATGATAAAGAAAATTGGTATTTTAGCTTTGTTTATTGTAGTGCTGCTTGGCAGATGAAGAATCAAGACCTTGGCTGGGTGACAGGTCACAGCCAGTTCCCCTTTTAACTGTGTCACTGGAAATTAGGGATGCTGTCTAAACTATTTATACACATATGCAAAGCAAGGCCATATTTAGAAAAACAAAGTACTTTCTCACAGCTGTGGCTCTTCAGACTTCTCTTAAAAATCAAACCTCTTAGTTGAGTGGGGTTGCTTTTTATTTTCTTCCTTTCTTATGTCAATGATATTGTCATGAGTCTTTTATTTACTTATTTATTTTTAGCAAGGCCATCTTCACCATATGTTATTATCTCTTTTGTTCCTTCCAAGTGGTGTTAAACTTAGAGCATTATTTTTGTCTGCGTTTGTGGACTGGCTTTGTCCATTTCATCCAATTTTAATTTTGGTTCCAATTGTAGCCACCATAATCAGAACCAGTATGTACTAAACACCCATAAGGTGTGGATTATCAGAAATAGTCTTACACACAGAAGTTATTCCATTTGGTTCCACCAAAACCAAATGAGGATTCCTGAACCTCTTCCGCAAAACAATATATGATCTCCCACAAAAGGCAAGATCAATGTGAGAGAGAGCCATCCCGAGGACCTTCAGAGCAGTGCCTGTCAAAACTCAGCACGGAATGTCCCAGTGGCTCAGGAGGCTGAGGCGGGAGGATCATGAGTTCAAAGCCAGCCTCAGCAACTCTGTGAGGCCCTAAGCAACTCAGTGAGACCCTGTCTCTAAATAAAAATATATTTTAAAAAAAAGGCTGAGGATATGGCTAAGTAGTTAAGTGCCCCAGGGTTGAATCCCCAGTACCCAAACAAATAAACAAACAAAAAACAAAACAAAACAAAAAACCGCAGAATGGGCAAAAATTACATGGAGGTGGAGAGATGCTAAAACATGGACTCCTGGCATTCAACCCCTGAAATTATGACTTAATAAATCTAAAGTGAGGCCTAATAATTGCATAACTTGCACTTCTAGCACTTTTTCATGTGATCCTGAGGCTGTTGGTCCAGGGCCCACACTTCCAGTACTACTGCTCCAGCACTAAACAGAACTCAAACCATCATCTGAAGGTTCATGTCTTCCAGCCTAACATTCTCACCAGTCACTGATGGACCAAAGATGAAGCTGGCCATCAATGAAGGTTCCTCCAACAGAGCAGCCTATCCAATTCCCATGATCTAAATAATGCGGATCTCTAGGATTTAAAGCTTAGCCAAGCTTCACAGTTGCCTTCTTGGTGAAGCTACTCAGAATGCTGGTACGTCATCACAGCTGGTGAGCCCCTGAACAAAGAGCTCCAATGGTTCACAACCACCATTAATTCAGATCAAAGGAGTCTGTTCAAACAGAAGGTGGCCCTCAGTGGCTGGCTGAGGTGGAGTTCAAACTGTGAATTCGCCATTATCCTAAATAAATATGCAAGTTTCCCCCGCTAACTTTTCATTGTTAAAAGTACATATGGCAGCCAGGTAGGTGCAGGGGTGCACACCTGTAATCCCAGCAGCTTGAGAGACTGAGATGGGAGGATTGCGAGTTCAAAGCCAGCCTCAGCAAAAAGCGAGGCACTTAACAACTCAGTGTAGACCCTGTCTCTAAATAAAATACAAAAAAATAGGGCTGGGGATGTGGCTCAGTGGTCGAGTGCCCCTGAGTTAATCTCTGGTACCCAGAAAAAATATATATGGCAAAGAAGATACTGGGCCAGTTGGAATACTCTGCTAATTTATGGAGCCATTTCTGTGGGACAGATATCAAAGGGTATTATCCTCTTTTTGTCATACAGTGCCTTTACTTCTTACATTCCAATTTCAAGTCTAGGACATCTTCCAGAGAGAGTCTTCTGAAAAGAGTTCAGTGCTATATCAAAATCCCAACAGGCTTCTGGCCCAACATTTTGTTAGATCCTTTAATTTATGAGGTCATAAATTATTATGAAGATTCAAATAAAACCAGAAAAATATCTTTATTTTGGTACAGTCAATATGAGTTGACCTGTTAATACTGTTTATTAAGTGTCATGCTCTGCTAATACATGGAAGAAATAAAAATATTTTTTAAAAAGAAAGAAAGAAAATCTGGTTCCTGACCCTATGCCAAAGTGTGCTATGATTTTGTTGGTTGAGAAGGTCCGTGCTCCAGCTCTACTGGCACCTTCTCAATTCCTGAAACCAGCTGCACAGCCACATCCTTTTGGACCCACTTGGAAGTACCCACTCCCAACCCCTCCTTCCAGCTGGGCATAAACATCATTTTATCACAGCCTCCTGATGGCTCCATTCTAGGTGAGGCTCCTCACTGGGTGCTTTGACAGTGCGACTTCTTCCTTCAGAGGATTAACATGTAATGCCATATTCATGGGGGGAGTGTATCATTAACACCAGTCTTCCTCTCCAACCTCTACACTCCAGAAGAGCAGGCACTGGGTCTATGTTTCTGTTTTTATTACCATTTTATCCAGAGCATCTAGCCAAATGATTGGTTTATAGTTGAAGCTGAATAAATATATATATGTAGAGAGACAGAGAAATACATATATATGAAAGAATGAGAATTAGAAACAAATTTTATGTGATAGTTTCTTCCTGTTGAAGAGAGTTACTATACAAAAATAAATATACAAATAAACTATAACTTTTAAGGCTACTCAATAGGAAAGTAAACTGTAGGTGCAAGACTTGAAGACAACTTTGTACACATACCCTGGCATTTGGATACAGTATATTACGCACCTGTTTTTATAAGTTAGACGGACAGTTCTTGTACCTTCACATTTTCCAGGCTGCTGCTCCTTAGATGCCTGTTCCCACTTAGAAATAATGTCACAAATCTAGAAAGGAATTGAAAAACTGAGATTCACAAGACCTTAAAAAAATCAACATTTTTTGAAAACAAGTATATCTGTAGACTGAAAATTCTCAATTAATATGATCAAAAAAATGTGTTTAAGATTTTTGTTTTCAGTTTCTATATAGCTCTTAGTTTAGGATTTAACTATAAATTGTTCTTTGGTCCACTTATCCTTTTGGACACACATTAACTTTGGACTGTGGCCATGCATTTTTTACTCAAAAAGGAATCTTAATGCAGGACTGCATGAGACTGGAAACAAAAAGATTCCAGGGATTTTTTTCACGATTTGGTCACTGAAGGAGTAACTTTTCTACCTTCTGAATTTATAAAGATTGGAATGACTGGGGCTGGGTATGGTGGTGCATGCCCATAATCTCAGTCACTTGGGAGGATTGCAAGTTTGAGGTCAGCCTTTGCAACTTAGTGAGACCCTATTTCAAGATAAAATTTAAAAAGAGACTGGAGATGTAGCTCAGTGGTAGAGTGCCCTGGGTTCAACCCCAGTGCCCCCCAAAAAAAGAAAAAGAAAGAAAGAAAGAAAGAAAGAAAAAATTGGAATAACTAAGTTAAACCAAAGAAATCTGAAATACAAGGAAAAATTCTAGTTGTTTGATTTGGGAGAAATCTTTTCCCTCTCTCAACCTCCATTTCCTCATTTGCAGAATAAGTGGAATGTTTTTCTAAGGGCTCTTTACGGTTTTATGATTCTGTATGTCTAATCATCGCCATCACTTATTTTACTAAAGTTATTTTTATTAAAGTTATTTTACTTTGATCTGGGAAAGATTTTTTTTTAATTTTTTTTTTAGTTGTAGATGGACACAAAACCTTTGTTTTATTCATTTCTGGTGCTTAGGATTAAAACCAGTGCCTCACACATACTAGGCAAGCACTCTAACCCTGAGCCACAACCCCAGCCCCAACCTGAGAAAGATTTTTCACAAGACTTTTTCTTTAAACTGGGTATGGTGGTATACACATGTAATCCCAGCAAATCAGGAAGCTGAGATAGAAGATCACAAGTTTGAGGCCAGCCTCAGCAATTTAGTGAGGCCCTAAGCAACCTATATTGTCTCAAAATAAAAAATAAAAAGGGTTAGGGATGTAGCTTAGTGCTAGTGCTTCCCTGGATTCAATCCCCAGTCTCTCTCTCTCTCACACACACACACACACACACAAACACACACAACACATACACACACACATACACACACCATTCTTCTATATTTCCACAGGTTCATTTTCCACACATCTTTCAAACTGGGTGCAAAGTTCACAGTGCTCTTGAAACACTTATCAATTTCAATTCTAGCTTAAGGTTGTCAGTGCATAAATCTGTTCTTCCCTAAGCAAACTAAAGACCAAAGCATAGCTTCTTTGTTGCTTGCCAGGTCTGGCTCCTTAGAAGCCCTTGGTTTCACCTTTATGTTTCCTTGAAGACAATGCTCTAGGTCTCTGCCAGAAGGATCGTCAGTGAACAATGCAAATCCAGACTGTAAAGGCTTCCTCATTCCTGTGTCCTGGTTCAAAGTATTCAAGAATTCTTCCACTGTGGTAGAAGCATCAAACCCAACTACCTGAGCAGAAATAACAAAGCAGTGCTCGTAATAAAGAGCATATGTGTTTGAAACAGAGATGTCAGAGTAGGGAACAGGTCATGCTTGATGCATGATTAATGACAGACGCATTTCTGTAGGTGTTTTAATGTTTTTGTCCCAAAGCTCCACTGGAGAAAATTAACAAGATTACCTCAGTAGTCAGCTTGCTGTATGTAAGATTTCAAAAACCTCAGCTACAGCCACAACAATTCAAAACAGAAAGACCATTTGATAGCTATCAATACCTTTCAGATATTATGTACTTACCTGTTAGAAGCAAACCAAAAAGTACAATACAAACTGCAATCTTTAAGTAAATAAAAAAATAAACAAGAAATGCTTTAAATAAATGAACACTTTCATGTATTTAATGTTTGTTTCTTTAACAAGCAGTTAAGTATCTGAATTCAATGATAAAAGGTTATGGCCACAAATACAATTGCTGGCTTCGGAGCATGTTTCCTTCAATAAATAAGTGACATCCAGATCTGAGAGTTGGAAGGGCCTGGGAAAACTTTCCCAGATAATTCCTGAGATTTGGAGACTTTAAGAGAGAATAAAATTGCGCATGCTCAAACGTTAGTAATTATTTCCTTACCTACCAGGGATACTAATGGGGAAAAAAAACTTGACCAAAGTATATTTGATTTACTCCATCACAATTACAATGGCAGTGAAATCCATTCCTTTTTTGGTTCAATATGGATTTGTTTTCAGCATGAATCCTTTTCAGCAAAACTATTTCAAAACTTAGCTGTTTTGATAAAAGATCTAATATACTTGCAGGTTTATCAATGCCAGGTACTGACCAAGCTAGGTATTCTCATTTCCCTAGGTTTCTTGATCAAGCACATTTTATTACAGTAAAAAGGCCAACACACCTGATATATCCCATTCATGAAGTGCACAGGAATACTGAAAGGCAAGGAATGATGATACGGGTTTCGAAGAAGGGTTGAAAGAATTTCCATTCTCGAGGGTCTCGCTTCTCGATCTCCGTTTTGTTGTGTTCTTTCTACACATCGCTGGCAATAAATGGCATATTTCCCAAATTCTGTCCTGTAATATAAAACTTAAGATAAAATCTACGAATAAATTTAATTATGACAATCTAATCCATGCATCCTCAAGATAACTTCCCATCCTGTTCATTATTACTATGTATTATAATAATTTTGACAATAATTTTCCTTTTTCAATGATAACATTAAATTGCTGTCATGTTTCTCAAATTCCAGTTCCTATCTTTTTGCAACGGATTAACTCAAATGTCTCTATAAAGTATTCTTCAACTTTTTTGTATTAATCACAAGTGGATTTAAAACTACCAGTCACTATACAGTCAATATATGGTGATTATATTAACAAATATAAAGAAAGCAGTTGTATAAAGAATAGTATGTGGTAACTTAAACATGATGCAGCAGAGTTCTCTTCTGAAGAACATCAAGGTCGATGTTACATTGCTAAACAAGAAAGAAGATGTCTTCTAACAAAAATTTAAAAATATTTTCCTTCTTTACCTTATAAAAATATTAAGCTAAACAAAATCACTAGGGTTTTGTTTAGCTTAATATTTTTATATTGTAAAAGTTGAATCAAGATCTTATTTTTCCTCATTTGCATGTAATATGAAAATTATGTGTAATTTTCATTTCGTTTATAAAAGCAGATTGATAACACCTTTAAATATATTTATAGTCAGGTGTTTTCTGACAACCCAATGGTGTCACCTCCTGTCCAGGGGGCTCAATAACTGCTACAGAAATCACACGATTTTGATCATAGGGTCCCTAGAATGTGTTATGAACTGCAGAATATTTTCCTCTCATTTCCAAGTTGCTTTTTGTTTTGGGGTTTATTTGAGCTAGTCCCAGGGTCTATTTAAGCAACCTAACGTGAACCTCTTGGTAAAACAAAATGATCCTGGGGAAACCTTAGCTGAGTGCCCTGGGTCCCATTCTATGAGGATTTTAAATATTCTTTGAAAGAAATCTTTCAAAGGAGTGAAAATTCTGATGTAACTCAAATACATACAATTATAAAAGGAGGAAAGACCATAGGAACATAAAAGAACTAAATGGTCAGCCTGTAAAAGGGGAAACTAAGAAGAAAACACTTGGTTTCACTGAAGAAGCACCCCTTAATGCTAAGTCATCCATACTTGAAATGACACATAGACTTTTCCCTTAAAAATATTTTGATTGCAATCTTCCACAAGATCCGTAACATAAAGAAAGGAAATATTTCCAAGTTCCACATAAATAATAACTAAAGGCTTCCTATACCAGCTTTTGTTCACATATTCTAAAAAGGTACCCGGCAGGTTTTTAAATACTTATGATTTATTGTAGACTTTCACAGCCACATAAATAATTCAGCCGGCTAGTTTTCTGCACACCTGGAATCTGCGTTCCTCTTTAGGTGGAGCCCAAGGAGCCACAGGAAAGGATGATGGGGAAGGAAGAGCCCAACACAGAGTGCCAAGAGCTGCCAGCCCTGGGCAAAGAGAAGCACTGTAGGTTAGACACCATGCCATCAACAGCCGTCAGAGGACTATAGCTGACAGCTTGGGAGAGCCACGCGCTGGTGACTGACTCCACTCCACGTTTGCTTCTTCCCGTATATATTATTTAGAGCATTTATACTACATGAAGACAAAAGCTTTACATAGGGTCAGACACACGATCCATCCAGTTGTATACACCTTCTGTTTACAACTGAGGTACTAAAACACAAGTGGACGTAGTAGTCCTTTATCACATAAGACTCAAAGATTAGGACATTATTTCTTTTTTGTCTGTTTATGTATTTACCCACTCACTTAAAAATAGGCAGCTTTGGGAAAGGCAGATTATAAAATTGTAAAAAAAAAAAAAACCCACATCTACCTAAAATCAAATCCTATCTACCCATACAAACATATATACACAGACACATAAAAAAGACAAGTATGAAAATATTAAGAGGTTATCTTCTTTACAGAATATACTTTTTAAAAATTATTTTTATTAGTTGTACATGACAGTAGAATATATTTTGACATATTATACAGATATGGAGTATAACTTCCTATTTTTCTAGTTGTACATGATGTGGAATTACATTGGTCGTGTATTCATATATGCAGAAAAGAAAGTAATGTCCGGTTCATTCTACCATCTTTTTTTTTTTTTAATTTTTTTTTTTATTTTTTAGTTCTCGGCGGACACAACATCTTTGTTGGTATGTGGTGCTGAGAATCGAACCCGGGCCGCACGCATGCCAGGCGAGCGCGCTACCGCTTGAGCCACATCCCCAGCCCCCATTCTACCATCTTTCCTACTCCCATTCCCCCTCTCTTCCCTTCATTTCTCTTTGTCTAATTCAAAGTACTTCTATTCTTAATAGAGGTTATCTTTAGGTAACAAATAACATGTGACTTTTAAATTTTCCTTTGCTCTATTCCTTTCTATATTCAGTGATTTTTAAAATGCAATATAGAAAAGGAGGGAGGAGTGTCCTTGAGAAGCCAACAGACCACTAGACAGTGGTCTAGTGAATTATATAACATAGTAACACCATGAATTAATTTTTGAAAGTAAACCAATGGAGAGAATGTCCATCTGCTAAGTGAGTCAGAGAAGGATTCACACAGAGGATGTTGCTTGGCTGGCCTTGTAAGTGGGAAAGAAATAGGGAATCTAGGTAACAGGAATAATGCCAGGTGCAAGGTGTGTTTTAAGAACTGGGGATGTGGTTTATTCCCTGTGAGCTGGGGGCTGGAAGAGGAAAAAGAGGAACCAATGGAATTGGATCATGAGCTTTGGCTTCAGAACCACTCTCTTCCAAGGCACTGCAAAGTCACATGTTTAAGTGGTCATTATGTTTTTTAAAGATGTGTGAAAGTAATATATTTTGTACATTTTTTTTTCAGCATTGGGGATAAAATCCAGGTTCTCAAGCTTGGTAGGCGAGTGTTCTACCACTGAGCTAATCCTCATCCCCTGTGCTCTTTTACTTAATTGTCTAAGTTTCAAGTCTCCCAAAATTTGGATCCAACCCTGAGAATCCTGTACACTGGCAATAAAAAAATTCTGATTTATTCTTTGGTTAACACTGAATCAATATGCAAAGATAAAAATAGGCATTTAATCAAGATTAAAAACAAATGACTACAAAACATCTAAAAAATACAATCAATTGCACTAATAAATAAATGTGTCCCAAATTAATAATGAATTACCAGTCTTTACTTGGAAAGAATTTAAAAGAATTACACTGAATATTATTAAAGACATAGGGAGATTCTTCAAATGTGTTCAAAGGAATTCATTGAATTTATATATAAGAAAACATGTCTACTGTAGAGCTATTTATTTTTAGAAAAATAACTGAAAAAATATAAATGTATAGTGATTGATATTAATATGACAATTAATGCTTTAAAAATGTTTAAAGATATAGGATGAATTATTATATTCTATAGTTTTAAAAAAGCAATGTGTACACTGTAATTTCAGTATAAGAAAGTGAGTATTACACCTACATATACATCTACATTAATATAAAAACACACGGATATATAAATAAACCAAAAGGATATACATCAAAATACTAACAGCTATTTTTTTCACTTTTTTTGTATTTCCCAAATGTTTATACTGTGTGCTCTTCTTACCACCAGAAAAATAGCACCATTTTACATTCCATGTGTCTGTATCAATACATACCTGCAATGGTCCTGGTTGATTCTGGGGCTGTCTTCGTCTTGTCTGTTTAATAAGTTGACAGCAAATTTCATTCTGTAGCTCAGGATGTGTCAGACAGATTTGTAGAGCACTCTGGGCTAGGGATATATGGTAATCGATTGCAGGGGAGTCAACTGCTGCATTTATAAAAAGTTGGCAGGTCTGAATTAAAAGAATGATATGCTCAAGGTGAGAAATAATTAGATTTATTCTGCATGAATTAGATTCTCTTTCTAGAATTATTTATTTATTTTAAAGTAGAATGCATTTTGACATATTATACTCAAATGGAGCACAACTTCTCATTCCTCTGGCTGTACATGGTGCAGAGTCACTCCAGTAGTGTAGTCATACATGTATTTAGGGTAATCATATCTGTCTTATTCTACCATCCTTCTCATCTCCACAACCCCACCCCTCCCTTCACTCCCTTCTACACAAACCAAAGTTCCTTCATTCTTCCCTATCCCTCTGCCCCACTATGGATCAGCATCTGCTTACCCGACAAAACATCCAGCTTTCTGTTTTTTGGGAATTGGCTTATTTCACTTAGTGTGATATTCTTTAGTTCCAACCATTTACCTGCAAATGCCATAATTTCTTTCTTCTTTAAGAAGGCTGAGTTATATTCCATTGTATATATACCACATTTTCTTTATCCATTCATCTGCTGAAGGGCATCTAGGTTGGTTCCAACCTAGATGTTTAGCTATTGTGAACTGAGCTGCAATTGTTTAGCTACTGTGAACTGAGCTGCTATAAATATTGTTGTGGCTGTGTCACTGCATCACTGATTTTAAGTCCTTTAGTTAAAGACCTAGGAATAGGATAGCTGGTCAAATGGTGGTTCCATTCCAAGTTTTCTGAGGAATCTCTATACTGCTTTCCAGGGGGATGCCCCAATTTGCAGCCCCACCAGCAATGTATGAGTGTGCCTTTTCCCCCCACATCCTCGCCAACACTTATTATTGCTTGTATTCTTGATAACTGTCATTCTGACTGGAATGAGATGAAATCTTAAGAGTAGTTTTGATTTGCATTTCTCAAATTGCTAGAGATGATGAACATTTTTTCATATGTTTGTTGATCAATTGTATTTCTTCTTTTGAGAAGTGTCTGTTCAGTTCCTTGGCCCATTTGTTGATTGGGTTATTTGTTTCTTTGGTGTTAAGTTTTTTGAGCTCTTCATATATCCTAGAGATTAGTGCTCTATCTGAGGTGTGTGTGGTAAAGATTTTTTTCCATTCTATAGGCTCTCTCATCACATTGCTGATTGCTTCCTTTGCTGAGAAGAAGCTTTTTAGTTTGAGACCATCCTATTTATTGATCCTTGATTTTACTTCTTGTGCTTTAGGAGTCTTGTTCAGGAAGTCAAGTCATAAGACAACATGATGAAGATTTGGGCTTACTTTTTTTTCTATGACGCGCAGGGTCTCTGTTCTTAGACAAGTCTTTGATATACTTTAAGTTGATTTTTGTGCGGAGTGAAAGATACAGGTTTAATTTCATTTTGCTATATATGATTTCCACTTTTCCCAGCATCATTTGTTGGAGAGGCTAACTTTTCTCCAATGTATGTTTTTGGCGCCTTTGTCTAGTATGAGATAACCATTATTTATGTGGGTTTGTCTCTGTGTCTTCTATTTTGTACCATTGGTCTACATGTCTATTTTGGTACCAATACCATGCCATTTTTGTTACTATTGCTCTGCTGAATAGTTTAAGAACTAGTATTGTGATGCCTTCTGCTTCATTCTTTGTGCTGAGGATTGTTTTGGCTAGATTCTCCTTTTAGAAATAATTTTGTTTAAAATGATGGGAGAATATATATTATGACAACACTAATCAAAAGAAATCTGGAATCCCTTCTTGGTCTTTTGGCTAAGATCAAGTGAAGTAATCTGGATTGGCTACAAGAATGGCAGACACGGTACATTTCAGAGCAAGGAATTCTGCTGTTTTACAATGATAAAAAGGACCAGAGGTTGGAACTACTTTAAACATTTATGTAAATAATAACATAGCTTCAAAATACATGTTCTTCTCATTCAGTATATTATTCACTTTAAATATTGCATTTTTATCTCTAAAAGTTTGAGTCTTTTAAATATCTTCCATCAACCTCCTTAAAATATTCATGCCACCTTCTATCTTTTTAAACATATGAAATATAATAGTCTCCAGGATGGCTCCCAATGATATCCACTTTCTGCTACTCAAACTCTTAGATAATGCCCTCCCTTATTTTATCAGGGTTGATCTGTGTGGGCAAATGAAAGTGGGGTATCATCTTTGGGCTTAGGTTATAAAACTGGTGTGGCTTCCAGCTTGGCTTCTCTTTCCTTCTTAGGGAAAGAGAGCTGTCATGTGTCTAAAAATCACAGGGAGAAGGCCACACAGTGAGGAAAACAGCCTTCCCACCAAGAGCCCCAGTCAAGTCTTCAGATGACTGCTGCCCCAGCTGACAGATTGACAGTTACTTCATGAGACCCAGAGCCAGAACCACCCAGCTAAATGCTTCCAGATTCCTGATTCTCTCAAACTATGTGAAATACAAAATATTTGTTGTTTTAAACCACTAAGTGTTGAGGAAATGTTTAATGTGGTAAAAAAAAAATAAGTAAAACACAGAAATGTCCTTGTCATCTGTATCATTTCCAAAGATACTTCTGTGATTGCTTTTTTCCATCAGTATGTCATATTTAATCCAATTCTCTGTATGCCTGGTGATTTTTGATTAGATGCAGACATTGTGAATTTTATATCATTGGGTCCTAGATTTTTTTGGTATTCTTCAAATGTTTTTGAGTTTGTTTTGAGACACAATTAAACTACTTGGATGCAGTTTGATTCTTTTAAGTCTTCTTTTTAAATTTTCTTAGGGTGCACAGGAACAGCCTTTAACCTAGGACTGCTCTGGGCCCAATCACCTTCTGAGAACTCTACTTGAAGCCCAATGTGTTGGGAGACATGTCCCTTCTGGATGATGGGAAAAACAACTATTTCCAGTTCTGAGGGAGCTCCAGGAGTTTTTCTGCCTATTGCTTTCTCATGGTTCTTGCCCAAGCCTTGGATAGTTTCCTCATACATGTATGCTTATTAATTCTCAGAAGAAAATTCAAGAGGGACACTCTGTAGATCTCTGAAGATCTCCCCTCCCTGCTCTAGTTCTTTTCTCCCAACTTGTGCATCCTAACCATCCTGACCACCTCAGATTCTGAATTCTGTAATTCTGTCTCTGCAACTCAGGAAGGCTGCTAAGCTCTACTTGGGTGCTCCTTGCTGCACTGCAGTTTGGAAACTCTCGCTAGACAGCATCCTTATGCTGTGGCAATCATAGGACTTCACTGCATCTAACACAAATGTTTCAGAAACACCATGAGAACCACTGTGCCTGTTGTTCAATGTATAAGAACCATCAATAAGATAAATCCAGCACTGTTGCTCCATCATAGCAAAAGTAGAAGTTCTTCCTTTTTATCCTATAACTGGTTGTTATTTTTACTTATAAAAGGTTTTGGATCATGCTTATTAATTTTGTACCTCACTATCTTATGAAATTCTCTTTTTTGTTTATAGTAGCTTTTTAGCCTGTTCTTTTTGAGTTTTCCAGGTATACAATTATATCATCTATAAATATTTTCATTCCTGGCTTATCTGCTCTAATTTATTTTTATTGCATAATTATATAGGCTAGTTCCCTAACAAAATGTTAATAATAAGAAGAATGATGTTACATAATTGATACTTTAATTAAAAGTTTAAAAATAATAATGGGAAATAAATTTGTCTCATTCCTCATTTTAATGGAAATTTTCTAACATCTCTTCAAAAAAGTATAATGATTGCTTTCAGCTAAGACAGAAATATTTCATCATATTAATAATAGTAATCTATTGCTGTTTTATGAATATTGAATTTTTCAAATGAGTTTCTAGTATCTACAGAGATGATTACCTAATTATAACGGTAATATATATTCTAATATTTAGCCATGATGGATTTTTGGGGTGGGGGGATACTGGGGATTGAACCCAGGGGTGTTTAACCACTGAGCTACCTCTCCAGTCTTTTTTATTGATATATGCATTTATTTTTTGTTTTGAGACAGGGTTTCACTAAGTTGCTTAGGGCCTCACTAAGTTGCTGAAGCTGGCCTTGAATTTGCGATCCTCCTGAGTCTCCACCTCCTGAGTCACTAGGATTATAGGCTTATGCCACCACGACCAGCCATGTTGGATTGTGATTGCTATTAGTTGATTGTTTTTGCATGAAATGTTCTCTGTTTAGTACAATCCTTGCTGGAGCCTGGTATCAAAGTAACACTTCACAAAAAGTATATGGTGGTATGATGATCGGAGATTGGTTCAAAGCAATTTAAGGTCAGGGAGCACTGCAGATGGGAAAATGGCCACATGCTGATGACTGTGGATCTGAGTGATGGGTACCTTAGGCCTCATAATATACTCTCTACTGTAGGTTAAAAAATTTCCAAATTAAAAAACGAAAGGAAGCCAGGTACAGTGGCTTCCCAGTAGCATGTGAGGCTGAGATAAAAGAATTGCAAGTTCAAAGCCAATCTCATCAACTTAGCAAGGCCCTAAGCAACTTAGTAAGACCCTGTCTCAAAATGAAAAAAATAAAAAAGAGCTTGGGATGTGGCTCAGTGGAAAAGTGCCCCTGGGTTCAATCCCTGGTCCCCCACCCCCCAAAAAAAAAGAAAAAAAAAAAAAAGGAAAACATTAATTTGGGAAAATTTTCTTCCTTTTCTATATCTGGGATAATTCAACTAGTATTAAAATTATCACAAATAAAATGTGGTAATCTGTTGAATAATTTTGATCCTTTACATTTCTTTATAAAATTGATCACTTATGCAGATTTTCAAATGTATTTGTATGGTATTTCTTAGTTTTGGTATTTGCATGTTATACAGGTAATTTTTTTAAAAAATATTCTATTATGGAAGTTTAAAAAAAAAATGAATGAAAGAAGAGAGGAAGAATATGAGCTAGGAGCCAAAATCCTTAATGCCATTTGAGGAGTTACCAGAAGGTGATTGATTACAAGAGATGGGATAGAGTGACATAGTTAAGTGGCAAGTTTCAAGTGGTGAGGAATTTCTAATAGAGATGGAGAATAAGAATTTGAAGGTAGCATGAAGAGGAGGAGCTACCCTCTCTCCCAATGCTGAGGCTGCTCTCATGTTCAGTCTTTCTATTTGAGAAATCCAGGGGAAATGATTCTACTGATATGAAGTGTTTGACATTAAACCATACACAGTTTATTTCAGTAAATCCCAAATACTCACCTCTGAAATCATTTAAATGCACCTAATTTTATTTCAAATAGATTTTTTTCTAAATGTTTCAAAAATTTTCATTTTGTTATTATTATTTGTTTTATTATTTTTAAAATTTATTTTCTAATTTATTTATTTATTTATTTCAGAGTGGAAAGTAAAAGCTTTATTAAAGAACAGCAGAAAAGACTTCTCCTGGAGGAAGAAAGGGACCCAAGAGGTGGAATCCTCTAATTTATTTTTAAATTTGTTTTATATGAAAGCAGAATGCATTACAATTCATATTACACATATAGAGCACAATTTCTCATATCTCTGTTATATACAAAGTATTCACACCATTCATGTTTGCATACATGTACTTAGGGTAGTGATGTCCATCTCATTCCACCATCTTTCCTACCTCCATGCTCCCTCTCTTCCCCTCCCCTCCCCTTTGTCTTATCTAGAGTTCATCTAAATCTCCCCTCACCCCTAACCCCATTATAAAATCAGCATCCTTAAATCAGAGAAAACATTCAGCATTTGGTTTTTGGGGATTGGCTTACTTCACTTAGCATTATATTTTCCAACTGCAAGTGCTATGATTTTATTCTCTTTTAATGCTGAATAATATTCCATTGCGTATGTAACACAGTTTCTTTATTCATTAGTCTACTGAAGGGCATCTAGATTGGTGCCACAGTTTAGCTATTGTGAATAGTGCTGCTATAAACATTGTTGTCATTATTTTTTTATGTAGCTGAGGATCGAACCCAGTGCCTCACAAGTCCTAGGCAAGCGCTCTACTACTGAGCACAACCCCAGCCCCTCAATAGATTTTCTTAATTAAAATAATCACATTTTCCGTTTGAGAAAATGAAACTATATAACTCAAGTTATTATTATTTTTCAATTCAATTCAATTATTTACCAACTTATAATAATTTTACCTTGAATAACTTAATGGCTTCTGTCTGCAGAGCTTCAGAAGGTAGCGTGGTCAGGGGGGAAAGGATTCCTTCTTTGCTGTGACACAAAGTTGGGTGTCTCCATATCTGGGAGGCTACACACCGAAAAACAGTGAACAGAAAATGGAATGATTGTCTTATTTATTTCTGTCTCCCATTAGATCAACTCTTTAGAAATTAGCTCATTCAGGTCTGGGCATTAGCTCATTCAGGCCTGGCTTACAACTTTCATCACGAAGTTCGGCAACATTACTTTATTTCAATTTCCAGGCCACTGTGGCTCTAATGTTTCTGTTTTAGATGAAGTAATGTAGAAAAGTTGGGTCCTAATTTACTAGGCTATGACAAGTCCACTGGGGCACTACTACACTGTTTAACTGTGCCAACAGGTGGTGACCTAGGTATAGTGATGACAATACATGAGAAGATCTGGGGACTTTCTAGAGAAGCCAAATAAGAGGAGGTATAAAGAAGAACTTGAAGTCATTCCTAAAATCAGTTTATTAAATTCCTGTGCTGGATGCTGCCAATAATACATGGTCTCTGTTCATAAGTGTGGCATAGGATAGAATCTAAGATCTCAATGGGAATCCTTACCCATTAAAGCTAATTTTAATGCAGAGCTACAAATGCTACAAGAGTTAAATAGCAAAGTGCATTGAGACACAGATTTAACATCATTAAGTGCCTTTTATGAGCCAGATGCTGAGGTGGAGTGCAGTGACAGAGGACAGCCCAAGACTAGGAAGGATTTCACTATGTTGGTGAGTATCCCAAGGAAGGCTAGTATTCCAAGCAGAGGGAGAAATGTGAGCAGGGTCAGCCGGGTATGACAGGACACAGCACACTGGGAAATGATGGTGTCTCTGGAGCCTCATTATCCCAGTGGGATTTCTGGCTCATGACAAGTAAAGTCAATGTCAAGATGGATACATTGCAGGAAAACAGGAACCCATGAAGTGAAAACTCCATTAAGCTAAGGGGTGCATTCCATAAATTGTAAAGCCTTAAATGCTTGTGAACTTACAAGATTCTCCTTCTATATTTAGCAATTTGCAAACGAGTTGTTCAAACTCAGATCCAACATTCACATTGTTACTTCCAGCTGCAACAGTCAGGTGATAAAGCCAGGTGTCCTTAAAACCAGAGCACAGTGACAAACACATTAATCAAAGTACAGTTTTGATTGCTTCAGGAAAATAACATATTTGTAGCAACAGTAGGGAACTCTTGAGACTCAAAACAAACCACTTTGCTTAATTTTTATACCTTCATTTTATTTATTTTTAGGTGGTGCTTAGGGTTGAACCCAGTGTCTCACATATGCTGGGCAAGTGCTCTACTACTGAGCCACAGCCCCAGTCCTCCTTAATTTATAAATAATAATTAGAAGCCAATTAGTCAATCTGAGGCAGACTCACCTGAATTGTGCTCACATTTCCTTTTCCTAATGTTTACATTTTTATTATTTTCTATATGTGTTTCTTAGAAAAGTATGACAAAATTAAGGAGAATAATACATGTTAAGAGACTAGAATAAAACAACCAGTTAAAATAATTTTAAGAAATACAATAAATTATATCAAATTTAAAATCTAACTTCTGAAGTAATATATACAGAATTCTTAGGGAATCCAGAAAATTTAAAGAAGAAAATAACATTCAATTTTAATCTGGAAATCTTTTGCTATAATGTGAAAAGAAAAGTTAACAATGTTTTCCTTAATAGCCAATTTTACCAATATATAGTGAACATACAATACTACATAAGATAAGCAAAAAATTCATTATTTACCCATCAGTTTGTGATATATGTCATATATGATTACATATACGTGTAATACCTATAATAATTCATTTTCAATTACATCTAAACTAAGATTTTATTGAAAATGAGTAGAAAATATAGGGTAGAGGCTTTAGATTCACCAAAAAGACAGTCTGAGATATCTACATTTTAAAACATAAGATTCCTTTGTCCTTCACTGTCAGGCGCTAGCTTCAGTCTAAAGGTGACCTTCATCGATAGGACTGAAAAATGACACCTTGGAACAAGCCTCATTTCCAAGGTGTAAAAAAATCTCTAAAAAGGACTGAGGAAATAATTCAGAGGTAGGGCAACTCGGCTAGCATGTGTGGGCCCTGAGTTTGATCCTAGCAGTGCCAATAATAATAATAATAATAACAACAACAACAACAACAACTGGGGTTGTGGCTCAGTGGTAGAGCGCTGGCCTAGCAAGTACAAGGCCCTGGGTTCGATCCTCAGCACCACATATAAATAAATAAATAAATAAATAAATAAATAAATAAATAGAAAGGTATTGTGTCCGACTAGAACTAAAAAATAAATATTTAAATAATAATAATAATAAATTAAAATAAATTTTAAAAATATAGCTGAGAATCTTTAGCAAAAGTTTCTTCCTCAGTTCCATAAAATTAATTTGAAAATTATTAGTAATTTTAATAATACTTGAATATTATTAGTCTGAATCATTTTAAATTAACCAACAAGACTTCAGATACCTTTTCATGCTTGGATCCAATTAGGAGGTAAGTTGGACCTTGGTCTTTGGGGTGGATAACAATGGTATAATGAGTAGACAACAGACTGCGTCCACTAGCTTCATAATCTTCATCTGAATCACAGGACCTGTCCACCTCTTCAACTTTAGCCTCCCAGAGTTTGATCTGACCTAAAGGAAACTAAAGTGAAGGTTAGCAGTTGTAAGGAAGGCATTTTTTAAGTCTACAAGTTTTCATGGTGATTTTCATCTTTTAAAAGCATGCCTGGGATGGGGGCAGAAAAAGCATGCCTTAGTTGGGCGCTATGGCACACACCTGTAATCCCAGTGGCTCAGGAGGCTGAAGCAGGAGGATCACAAGTTCAAAGCCAGGCTCAGTAACTTAGCAAGGCACTAAAAAACTCAGTAAGATCCTGTTTCTAAATTTTTTTAAAAAAATACAAAAAAAAAAGGGCTGGGGATGTGACTTAGTGGTTAAGTGCCTCTGAGAACTCCCCATTACCAAAAAAAAAAAAAAACCTTGACTTTTTTTTAAACAAATGCCTAGAGGCAACTTGATTACCCACATTGTTGCAAATGTGGTAGCACCAAAAAGTCCAACTGCAATATGAATTCTAAACATTTAACTTTTGAAGAACAAATAAGAGATTGATTCAGATTATTCTCTAAATAACCTGACCCATTGCCTAGTGAAGTAATTAGTAATAATTCAGACAAAATATTCAGATTTGTTTATCCCAAAGAATTGATCAGTGATTTGATTAAGCTACTGGATCAAAAGGACAAATGTAGACATTGACTCAATACTATGCAGAGAAAAAAAAAAACAAGCTAGATATCTGGTACAAAAATTAACTATTACCCCAGACCCAGGTAAATGATGAGTGTCCTAAGTCTATTTATTAAAAGTATGTAATATATTCCAAAACAATGAAATTATTTCCTCCACCTTAATTTAAGAGCAAGAAAACCTTACTAAAGCTGATGCACATTGAATTTATCTATCCTTTTTATGGACCCAAACAAATATATCTGCCATGTTGGGTGTTTAGCATATCTATTTTAAAACTTTTGCTTTAATTAAGTATATTTATTTCAGGAAAATCTAGAGTGTGCTTCAGATTTATGACTTCTAAAACATTTGGCCAGGTTTGTATCTGCAGTTCTGAAAAAGTCCATTCTAACCATGAAGACATTTACCATCGCACATTTCACACTGAGTTCCTGGGCCCAGGGCTTGGACTCTTTTTCCATCTGTGCTCATTCCTAGGGTGAACCCGTCCAAGTTCCTGGCTTTCATCCCAGCATGGGTTTCACTGCTTCCAAATGCATAACTCCAGACCCATGACTTTTATATAGGTGTCTGACAGCATCTCAAACTGCCCACTTCAACACCCTGCTCTGCTCAGCCTTCCCTGTTCTCAGTTACTGGCAATTTCATCTTTTCAGCTGCTTAAGTAAAAAAACCCATCACTGACCCTTTTCCTTCTCTCGTATCTCACACCTTTCTGGTCGACAAATCCTGTCAGCAAGACTCTCAGAATATTCTGGTCACTTTTCATACTTCCATGGTCACCACTCACCTGCAATCATCCTCCACCTGGATTATTAAAATGGCCCCTGACTATTTTCTTCTTCATTCCCTTCAGTCTATTCCTAACAGAAGCCAGAGTTCCTGCTACATGTGGATAAGACCATGTGCCTGCTTTTCACAGCCTTCCAATGGGGGTTCTCATCTCAGAGTAAAAGCTGAAGGTGACATAACACACCACTCAAAAGACACCTTTCAGGCGAAGGATTATTTTGAACTAAAAGCATTTAAAAATAAAAATAAAAAGACAGATGCAAGAAGGGCACTCTGACACTTTTGTTCCCAAAGCAGAGGATAAAACTCCCACATGCAAGAGATCCTTCCTGTAAAAAATAATACTCTGCTCCTCCTCAGGGACGGAAGTTGAGGCCAAGGGAAGCTTGCACAACCAGACCTTGCTAAACCAGCCCATAATTCACTAGGGCTTCACCCTGTGAATGCTCCTAGCCTGTCCCTTTGCTGGGTGTGTTTTTCCAAATTCCTGCTCTTCATCCAGTTCAATATGACTCTAGGTCATTGGGTCTTCATTTTCTTACGAAGGCTTCTGTGTCATGTAAAACTGATAGCAAATAAAATCGTACACTTTTCTCCTAGAATCTATCTTATTATGGCAGTTTAATTCTTTAGTTCACTGAAACCCTACAAGGGCAGAGGTAAAATTTTGCTTCCTCAAAAAAGCCATGTTTTGACTTTGACCCATGAAACCCCATATCATTTTGCCCCTGTTCCATCTCTGATGTCTTCTTCTAGTATCCTCTCTTAACAGACTCCAGTCTAGGGCCTCCAGGCTTCTTGCTATTTCCCAAACACACCAGGCATGCTCCTGCCTTGAGTCCTCTTCATGTGCTGTCCCCTCTGCCTGGAATGCTCATGTATTAAATACCTGGCTGCTCTTTTATTTCCTTCAGAACCTAACTAAAATGTCAGCTTCTCAGTGAGGTCTTGCCTGGATGTCTTACATAAAATCAGTATTATCTATTCTATAGCTGATTAATAGTGAAAATTAGTAATTAAATGCATAGTCTTTCATGCAAACTATGATTTACCCGCATTAAATTAATTTAACTATACACTCAGTATTTTCTATGTGCAGTAAATAAAAAAATTTCTTCTAAAATTAAAAATGCAAAATTATCTACCCTTTTGGAAAAAGTGAGTAAAACAGAAGCAAAATAATAGGTCATTGATAAATAAAATGCAGATTTTAAAAATGTGATGAAGAAAACTAAGTCTTCTATAATATAAAGCAATACTATTCTATTGTGTTCTTTAGACATACCAATCCTATGAAAATCTGGGTCCCATTCACTTCTATATTTAATATGGTTATTCATTGAACAAATGCTTTGAAGTATTTTGATTTAATTTAAAAAGACACTGATCAAGATACCAAAATTGTTCTGGAAACATCTGTATCAATTTATAACACAAAGGCGGCCTATACTGATTTACATGTATTCTCAATACTTTTCCAGTAATTACAGTGGACTTCTGTTGTTATTTATATTCTTTTGACTTGTTTCTTCTGTAACCAATACTATTCATATTTATTAAATTATCTTTCAATATAGATTGAAAATATATACTAATTATAGAAACTTTAAAAGCATGGAAAGGTATTTTTAAAAAGAAAGAAAAATCATCCATAATCTATTATCACAAAAGTCAATCAGTACTTAAGTATAGTTCTTTTGGAGCTGCTATGTGTATTTTTACATAGAGGTGCTGGGCTGGGAGTTATAAACTCAGCATCCTAACCATCCTCTTGGAAGGTCTCCTCATAGCAGCGATGAGCATCTAGGAATGGCATTCGCCAGCATCTCCTTCTCTGCCTGGCTCCAAGTTAGAGTCTGCCTATGAGAGAATCTGCATGAGGTCTGGAAGTTAAGGGTGCAGAAGGAGTAACTCTCCTGAGATAGCTGCAGCCAGAGGCCTAGGCTGATGTGAAATGCACAGAGGCTTCCTGGGAATTCTTGAGGACCATCCGCCTCAGGGCATTGGTCCTGAGGTTGAAATCTTTAGTCCTGACTTTTCAGATCTTCAGTGGAGGTCCCCTGATCTCTGTCTCCTCAACTCTCCTGAATGTAATTTTTCTAAAAATATGTATGTCCCTAATTCTACAGTAAGTCTTTTTATACATGAACACACAGAATGGCTTCTCTTTTCCTGACTGAGAAGTTAGTCAGGACTACGCTGGGTACACAGTTTGCATTGTGCTTGTTCAGGTAGAATTTGTATATGAGCATTTCCCCACATTTCTTCAGAGGCATCCTTTTTAATGAATATCAATTCCATTCCATCAGCAATACTGAAAACAATGTTTTTTGTTTTTGTTTTTTTTAATACAGCTGATCAGACCCAAGGGTGCTGCCATGAAAAGGGAACACAGAAATACCAAAGGACCCACGTGATCACTGGACCAGGAAGGCTAGTCTCATTAACACAATCATCAGTCACAGGCTGTTACCTGGAGTGGGCATCATTATTTTATGCAAGTACTTGTGGCACATGTTGGCAAAAGTTTTATAATCTCCATAATGATGACTTAGCAAACATTTCATCTTTGGATGATATACCATCTTTCTATTCTGAAATTGAAGATAAGTCTTTTGGGAGAGGAAATTAACTTAAAAATGAATACACGGGATTTAAATAGGCAGATGAATGGACAGGTAAGTTGTAGCCAGGTATTTAGGGGACAGGACCGAATTCCTTTTCCTCCCCAGGTCTTCTTTCTAGCTTACTGTTCCCTCCTCTTAACCTTATCTAGTCTGTCAGAATGGGGGAAACTTGAGAAAGGGATGGTTGGGGTGAGGCAGAAGAAGGCTTTTCTCTTCTAGGTCTTAAGTGATACATTAATTAAAAGTTACTAAAGCTTATAATTAAGAATTAAGACTCTTGTAGGTGACAGGTATATGACTATCTCTCTAATAAATTTAATACCAAATTTTATCCTTATCAAAAATTCTCAAGTTTTACCTAGCAACAGGTGAAATAAAAAATTTAAAGCCACAACAAGCAAAACTTTCCTTTAATTAGCATATTAAACATACATACATACCTTATCTTCTTGACTTCGAAAATAATACAACGTCTTTCCTATAAGTGTACACCAGACTCTCTTGGAGTAGCCATGTTTTACCTGAAATCATATTTCATTGAATTACAACATAGTTCAGAGTGCTGTATACTTTAGAATATAGCTTATATATTCTATTTGAAGTTCTATATCCAGTGTGCCTACGATGTAAGTGATATTTCAACTGAACTGTCCAAATGCTGCTTAAAACTTACCTGTCACAGGAATAGCATGACATGTTTGTTTTGGAGCTCACCATTCAACACTGAGCATTCAAAGGTGGATTTAAGAAAATGTGCCAATTTCACTATTGAGTATATTCCACGGTTTCTATATTTCATGGATTTCCAACAAACTCTATGGCTCTATGCTCTATGTTAGAATTAAGATTAAAATCTAAAGAATTCTAGAGATTTTTCCAAATGTAAAAAAATCCATTCATTCAAAACATGAATGCCTTCTCCAGAAGTAATCATACAAAATAAAAAAATAGCATTAAAAGTTAATTACTGGGCTGGGGATGTGGCTCAAGCGGTAGCACGCTCGCCTGGCATGCGTGTGGCCCGGGTTCGATCCTCAGCACCACATACAAACAAAGATATTGTGTCCACCGAGAACTAAAAAATAAATATTAAAAATTCTCTCTCTCCCTCCAAACTGGAAAAAAAAATTCTCTCTCTCTCTCTCTCTCTCTCTCTCTCTCTCTCTCTCTCTCTCTCTCTCTCTCTCCTCTTTCTCTCTCCTCTCTCACTAAAAAAAAAAAAAAAAAAAAAAGCTAATTACTATACTGATTATCTCCTACATGTCAGGCACTGTATTAAGTGGCTAGGACAGAATTTGACAGGTCTTGACTTTGAATAGTCAGAGACTGGTCTCGGTCCTGGTGAAACAGATATGAACAAGAAGGTCTTTTCCTATAAGGAGTTCACAGCTTGTGAGAAAAACAATTAAATCAGCAGTATACAATACGACTTCACCAAGAATACAAAGAGGTGCCAATTATATATAATTCTGTGGGAGACATCTTATCAAAATGTTATTGGGTATTATAGGTTTATCATCATTTGGTGGCTTTAGGAAGGTGCATACTGTGGTTCCTCCTTGCTCTAGTCCTGCCCAGGAACAGGCCCTGAAGATCTTTACCAGGCAGTCTAGGCTACATACTCCATCCTAGTAAATCATGAAGAACCCCATTCCCCCCAGTGGGTAAGACTGAGATAAAGCCCTGTCACCCCAGTCCTAGAATGTGGTGTCCTGGTTGAGGATGCCCTGGAACCCTACTCCCCTGGCAGCAGTCCTGCCAACCCAGCCCTGCCAACTTCCACCTGGAGGCTAGACCCTCTCCTGCAATATAAGAAACTAGCCAGTATTCCCAAAGCCCACAATATTGTTGTCACACTTGCCCAAGACGATAAGAATTAAGGAGAAAAATAAAGCAGGGAAGGAGAGAAACTTCAGGAAAAGGAGGGGAGTGTTATAATTTAAAACATGGGGACTGGGGAGTGCTTGCCTAGCATGCATGAAGCCCTGGGTTTGATCTCCAGCATCACAAAAACAAGCAAACAAACAACAATAATTTAAAAAACCATGGTGGGTCGGGAGGGCCTCAGTGACACTGGTAAGGCCCTGAGTGGGGGAGAGAAGTGATGTGGTCCTCTGAGGAAAGAACAGATGTGTCTGGTGACAGATGTGCTTAGTGAGTCTAAGGAGCTGTAAGGAGGCCTGAGTGCCTCTGGCTCAGCAAGGAAAGGGAGAGGATATGGGGAAGGGAAAGGGACTGTGCAATTTTGAAGGATCTTGAAGGAGTTTGTATCAATGTATATTTAAATTGAGTAGGAATTTAAGTAGTAACTGTAATAATAATTCATTGAGAAGATATACAAAGTATATCAAAGAATACAAAGTATCAGCACAATAGTAGAAGAGTCTCTAAAGTAGGAAAGGCCAGGATTTGAAGCCTGAAGGACCAAGGCTTAAACTTAAGCTCTACCACATACTGAATGGATCCCCAGGCAACTGACTTAACCTCACAGTGTCTTTGTCATAACATGAGATTATCATACATCCCACTGGGCTGTTGTGATGACCAAAGGAGACAATGTAAATAAAGGATAATAGCAGTTACACAGTAAATGCTTCCTTCCTCACTAGGAATAAGAAGCAAAACACACATTTTCTTTTAAACCCACAAACCTAACCTGCCTTTGGGCTTTCAAAGCTATGGTTTATCCAAATAACTCCACCACTAACAGTTTGATGGGTTTAGAATGCTGCTTGAGAAAAGCAAAACAAAACAAAAAAAATGTTTCATTGGGCAAGACATATTTCAGCTTAATTAAATTTAGAAACATATATTTACAGACAAATACCCTGGCACTTTCAAATAGTATTATGGAGTGCTTTTTTTCTCTGTCTTTAAACAACCCCAGAAAGAAGTCTCCTCCAAATCGGAGTAAAACACATCTGGCTATAGACAGTGAACTTCTGAAATGAGTTATCTTTAAAATAGAACACTGGCTATCTTTGGAGAACTGTAAATAAATGCAGACCCTTGCCAACTCATTGCAAAGGCTGTACCTCAAAAACTGTCTATCTGCACATGGAAATCTTATTATCTTAGAAATTCTTAAACTTCTGACTCAATCTGAAAACATTATAATAAACAAAGTATAACAAAAGAATCCTTTTGAAGGTTTAAAGGCAATCTCAAGGCTTAGATAAATAAGTGAAAGAATAATTTTTTACCTTGTATCCTTAACAGAGGTACTTCATATCAGTTCTGCTCAAATTTGAAGACAAATAATACATAATATTCCTAAGAGTGTGATTCTCAACATAAGTACCCAGGGTCTCCTATCTCCCTCTGTGTTCTCATCCTTGTAGCATTCCCCACCACAAATCCTGTCACCAGCCTTGCTGACTTCAATATCTAGGTGAAACTCTCATGATATTAACATCTAGCATCTTTTTTGAGAGTTCACCAAGTGCCAGGAACAACCTTGTAATGGTTAATTTGAATAGTCAACTTGATTAGATTAAGAGGCTTATGGGTGTGTGAGTAAGGGTGTGTCTAGGAATGATTGGCATTCAGGATAGCCAACTGAATGGTGACTCTCCCTAAGCGTGGGTAGCACCATCCAATAGGATGATGGCTTGGATAGAATACAATTGTTGGAAGAAGAAGGAAGCAGCAGCTGATGCAAGCTCCATTCTTCTTGAAAGGGGTCTTGATTGCTGCTGCGATTGACTCTTGCTTCTTCACTCTTCCAAATCGGACTCAGCCAGCGATTCTCCAGAAGCCTTAGGTCCTCAGACTAGGGTAGCACCATTGATCCCTCTTGTTCTGGGGCTTCAGCCCCTTGGATTGTGCAGCTATTCGTGGTCCATCTCTCTGGCCTGGAGACACCCACTGTGGACTATCTAGCTTTTGCTTTGGTAAACAAACCTAATAAGTCCCTTTTTAATAACCATACTTCCTGTTGATTCTGTTCCTCTAGAGAACCCTAATACAACCTGATTGTGCCAGGTCCCATCTGAATGTTCAAAAAATTTATTTAATCCTCCCCAAACAGTGTGAGGTGGACACTATTATTATCCTCATTTACTGATGGGGATGTAAGGCACAGGGCCTGTGAGGAGCTTGTTCAAGGTCACACGAGTGGCCAAGGAGTTGTGCACAGGCAGACTGGCTCTGAAGCCCCTGCCCAACCTCTGCCATTCCACCTCCACATCCTTGCTCTCTTTATTTCCATAACCTTTGCCATCCCTCCCTTTTTGCTCCCATCCCTGCGCCCCACCTGGTTACCCACAACCCCCACTGTGAACAGCTCCACTTCTGCAGTTTACATTCTGCTCCCTGATCACAGCCTCCTCCGGCCTCCCTCTCTCTTACTCACACCTCTGTTACTTCATAACCTCATTCATCTGATCTTTCTCTTTTATTACAGCTTCTCACTTCCTTCCTGGCTGCTCTTTCTTCTCTACCAACCTGGGATTCCATGTTTGATCACAAACAATTCTTGATTCAAGTCCTGTGATTAAATTGCATTCTATGCTTGTAACAAATCCACCCAACAAAACTTGATCTCCATTTGCCTTTAAATAATTCAGTGCAGAATGTGGGAAGACAGCCAAGTGCAGTGGTTCACATCTGTAATCCCAGTGGCTCATTGGCTGAGGCAGGAGAATCTCAACCTTAAAGGCAGCCTCAGCAAGGCTTAAGCCTTAGCGAGGCTCTAAGCAACTCAGCGACACTCTGTCTCTAAATAAAATATTAAAAAGAGCTGGGATGTGGCTTAGTGATTAAGCGTCCCCAGGTTTAATCCCTGGTAATAAACAAACAAAAAGAATGTGGGAGAAGAGGGAAGGTTACAAGGGATTCTATGACATGATATCATATTAGCCACAGTTAGTAACTGTTGAAACAGGATGAATGACTATGTGAGGAGTCATTATACTGTTTTACTTTCACTTGTTTTAAAATTCTCATAATACAATGTTGATTTCAAATCATCCCATCTTAAAAATGCCTCTCCTGACCTCTTGGTCCCTCCAGCTTTAAAGGATCTCCAGACTTAAATATTGCACCTACTCATCTCCCATTTTCCCTTCAACCTACTGCAATGTGCTTTCTTCCCTGAGCACTCCACATGTGACACGGAGATCACTCTCTCCTGGCTAAATGTCCCACTCCCTGGCCTTGGCGATGCTCACTCTCAGGGTCTTTCATTCATCCCCTTGTGTGCCATTAACTTTTAGAAACCCAAGTGTTCCCCTTTTAGCCCTGTGCTCTGCACACTCAGCCCATTTTTCCTGGCTGATTTCTCTCACTTTCATGGTTTCAGCTGCGACACACCAGTTCCTTCCCTTCAGTCCAGCCCTCTCCTCTGATGTAAACTGGTGTCCTGCTGCCTGCTGGGCTTCTTAGCTAATGTGTCTTTACAAGATCTAAATATTGACATGTTCCAACATACCCTTTCCATTGTCCTAAAACTGCTCCTCTTTCTGGCACCATCTTTCACCCAGCATCTTTATTTCATCTACTTACTAACCCCCAATTCAATCAAACTGAAGATTTTACCTCCCACCATTATTAAAATTCATCCTCTCCTCTTTCCTCATGACCCCTTCAGAGCACCCTCTTCTTCATGTCAACACTCCTCCTCTTCTTAGAATCCCCACTTTGCCTCCCACAAATCAGTCTTTCTGTCAGCAGAGTAATCTGTTAACAATAGGAATATGTCCACGACCCTATTAAAAATCCTGAAGGGTTCCACGGATCCTCTAGGAGGAAGAGACCAAAGCACTTCAGACGAAAGCAGCTCTCCACAACAGGGCCCCTCTGGCTTTTTTCCAAAGGACTTGTAGTGTAGGTGGCACTACTTCAAGAGTATATGCCTTTATGAATGTAATGCACTCCACTATTGTCATGTATGTAAGAAAAACAAAAGAGTGTATGCCTCATTCAAGCTGCCTCCTCGCCCGGGGGAACCTTCCCTGCCATGTCATTTGGTGTAACTAATTTCCACTCTTCCTTAAAGGCACATCTCTGAGAAGTTATTTCTCTGTGACCTTTATGGTACAATCCAATAACTGTGACTTTTCACATATTGTAAATATGTTTCCGTCCCTCTCTTTCCCATTAGATCATGAAGCTATCTGAGGAATGGGAAAGTGGCATATTCATTTTAATAACTTCTAGCCTATTGTGTTGTGTGTGGTAACTGCTCAACAATTGTTTTTTGTTTGTGATTTAAAGAAACAAATCTGCATATAGAACATATTTTTAAGCATTAAAATAAAAATCATGTAAGAGAATTTCCAGAATCAATTCAATCAAGTTCTTATTACCTAGCTGTGTATTTCTGTACTGAATAATAACAATATGACCACTTGAAAAACCTTCCTTCCCTCTAAGGTATTCAAATGCTGTTCTACAGTATCTCAAACTGTAGCCTGAATGTCAGCTTGGAGCAAGTCACTTAGAATAACTGAGGGAACTTTTTCCCTTTGAAGGTGAAAACAAAGTTGGGGGATGGAAGGGGGGAGTGGACAAGTCCTCATAGTGGCAGGAAGAAATCTCGTAAGCATTCTGTCTCTAAACCCTGATGGTTCTGTCACTGATAACACATCAACCTAAATTCATCCAAAATGCAACCGTGGAATGGGAAACAGAATTGCAGAAGTGTAACAGGAGCAGAAACAGACAATGCCATGCTGATAAACTGAAAGGAACCAAGCAAACAAACAAAACAAACGTGAGGAAAATAACAGACCCTTACTATGGAGTCCTACTAAACTCAGGGTGTGATAGAGAAATAAAAGGAAAGCTCATTATTATGAGTTGTAGTAAGAACGTGGCTTAAAGTGGCACTGTGTTCCTTGGAAAAAAAGTGTATTTGCACAATATAAGGGAGTTCCATGTCCCATCAGTAAATGAGAAAACATTTTTATAGAAATGTAATATTTTGGAAAAAACATAGTACATCTCTCGTTGGGCACAGTGGTGCATGCCTGTAATCCCAGTGGCTTGGAAGGCTGTGGCAGGAGGATCACCAGTTCAAATAAAGCTTCATTAAAAAGCAAGGTGCTGGGGCTGGGGATGTGGCTCAAGCGGTAGCGCGCCATGCCTGGCATGCGTGCGGCCCGGGTTCGATCCTCAGCACCACATACCAACAAAGATGTTGTGTCCACCGAGAACTAAAAAATAAATATTAAAAATTCTCTCTCTCTCTCTCTCTCTCTCTCTCTCTCTCTCTCCCCCCCCCCACTCTCACTCTAAAAAAAAAAAAAAAAAAAAAAAAAAAAAAAAAAAAAAGCAAGGTGCTAAGCAACCCAGTGAGACCCTGTCTCTAAATAAAATACAAAATAGGGCTGGGCATGTGGCTCAGTGGTTGAGTTTAATGTGCCTCTGAGTTTAATCCCTGGTACCAAACCCCACCCCAAAATAGTACATTTCTTTGTTAAATGCACTGGTGAATTATTTCTTTCACTACAGCTAGTCAGTCTATAAATATTTCTGAGTAGCACCCACCTACATTCCCACATTATTATGATAGTATAGCTCCTTAACCTCTAAATTTTTTCACCTCTTATATAATCATAGCACATAAGTGATGATTAATTTTGTGTGTGCAAATGTTTTATTGCATTTTCCCAAAAGCAACCAATAGGATTTCTTAAAATTTTATGATGATATTAAGTGATCTTGTCCTTTAGAATATTTACCCCATTCTGTAGTCTTCCATGTAGAGAATCACATTTCTATATTCTAGCAATTCACTGTGATTTCTAATAGACCAGTGGTATCAATGTATTGTGCATTTTGCCGGACCTTTTTAAAAAATTTATTATTATCATCATTTGGCAAGAGTGAAAGGAGTAGGATTTATATAAGTGAGAAGAAAAGAGAACTTCCACAAGGTGAATGGGGAACTGATAGCAAGTTTTCCACTTAAATAGTCTCGGGGCTGTATACCTTTTGGGTAGGGCAGTGATGAAAATTCATGCTAAAGAGACACTGGAAAAACGTTAAGGCTATTGGCTTGGTCCATAACCCTCCAATGAACTATCTCCTTTAGTCCCTGAGTTTGAACTTTCCTGTAATCTTCATTTGGGTCCAACCTCATGTCCATTTTCCTGCTGTTCCAGAGAAAAGGAGTTGTCTGGGATGTTTGCCAAACCATTTGTGAGACTTTAATAAACATAGTATACTTGCTGACGACCCCAGAGATCTGTTAGTGATTTATATACTGCAAGAAATTTTCAATTTGAATTTAACACATAGAACGATTTTTAATTTCATAGCAATTGATAGTCCTAAGAGCATAGCTAATTCGGAACTAACAAACTAGTATAAAAGGAAAAATAGTGCTTGTATCCAGTAAATGTCTGAAATATAATAATAATACTTAAAAGTCAATATTTATTAATTTTTTAAAATTAGAAAACAATTAAGCAAAAATATTATAATTACACAGAAATAACCAATATACCTTGGTATATTTCCCTCAATTTTCTTTTCTTTTTTTTTAAATCTTTTATTTTATTTATTTAAGTGGCGCTAAAGTTCAAACCCAGTGCCTCATGCATGTGAGGCAAGCGCTCTACCACTAAGCTACAATCCCAGCCCTCCCTCAGCCAATTTTCTATGAATACATAAAATAAAAATGAAATAAGAATATAATAATTGCACTCTACTTACCATCTAACAATATATCACAGTATATCTCTATAGCATTAAATATTCTTCTGCCACATACAAAAGGCTACACAGAAAAGCATTATGATTGTACAAACATTTCTTTAAGCTATTCTCTACCCTACATCTAAGATGATTCCTGTGTTTTCTTATTATAAACCATGCTGTGAAAGGAATCTTTCTGGAATAATAAAAGTGTTCTAAATCTTTAATGAGGTGACAGTAACTATCTTTCAAAATTCATCAAACACCATACTTGACATCTGTGCATTTCAGAGTAAGTATGTTTATTTACCTCATTAAAAAAATCTTTATACTTACTTAAATCTTTTGTAAGTTAAGATTATTTCCTAAGGATAAATTTCATAGGAAATTTATACTAATTTTAAACTGGGAAATTTATAAACTAATAAACTTATCCTTTCAAAGGACATGTTTTTAAAATATTTGATATTCATTCATTCATTTGTTCATCCAAAAATACATACTGAGTTAACAACTGGGCTCAAACATTGCCAAATTATTTTATAGAGTAATATAATATTCTCATTAGTAGATCTCTTAAAGTGTGCCAATATTGGGTTTCAAAAATTTTTAAAAATGTTTTTGGGCTGGGGATATAGCACAGTTGGTAGAGTGCTTGCCTTGCATGCACAAGGCCCTGGGTTCAATCCCCAGCAACACACACATACACACACACACACACAAAAAAAAAAATAGAATAAGGCAGGTGTGGTGGTGCATGCCTGTAATCCCAGCGGCTTGGGAGGCTGAGGCAGGAGGATCACCAGTTCAAAGCCAGCTTCAGCAAAAAGCAAGGTGCTAAGCAACTCAGTGAGACCCTGTCTCTGAATAAAATATAAAATAGGGCTGGGGATATGGCTTAGTGGTCAAGTGTCCCTGAGTTCAATCCCCAGTACTACTACTACTACTACTACTACTTCTAATAATAATAATAATAATAATAATAATAATAATAATAAAGTCTTTCCTCCTCTCAATAGGTACATTTGAGAGGAAAAAACTTTAGGATTTTTTTCTTTTTGTTCTAAAACATGAATAACATAGATCTCATAATATCTTTAAAAAGTTTTTCTTCTCACCAAATTTAAAAATGATATCTATTGTTTTAATCTATGCTTTTAATAAATAATGATTGGTGAGAGTAAAGTATTTTTTTCTGATTGATATGATCAATAAGAGAGTTTGCATTTATTTGTCTCTACTATTTCAACTTCTCTCCCTTGGTCCTCCCTCACATCCCCCTCATCCTTCACCTACTGATCAGAAAAAAAATTGTTAAATATTTAGTATATTAACAAGCTTTCACACCTTTTAAATACCTTTTCAAAGTTTTTCATTTATCTTTTAGAAATTGTGCTTGTAGAATTTTTAATAGTGCATTTATATTTTTATGTATTGTAGTCAAATTTTCATTTGTCAGCTTTCTGGTTTTTGTTATGGGCATCAAACTTCAAACACACTTCCCCACCCCAATACAATATAAACATTTGATACTCATATTCCCTGGCACCCACTTTTCCTGATTTGCGGGGCAAATCCACTTAGTAGCCTGAGACATTGCTATGCACACGAGGTTCCTACCTTCGTGAGTAATCCCTTCATTGTTGGTTTGCCTTCAGGCTGCAGGAAAAGTGGGTTAGCAGCTTGGATCCGAAGAACATTCTGTAACACTTTAATCCATTCTTCCAATATGTTGGGAGAATCTGCAGTCAGATAGTATGTGTGTTTTTCAGTGGTCAACTAGAATGGGATGAGAAAGCAGTAGGAAAGACATCTATGAAGATTTAGGATCGTTATCATGTCCTTGTCCATTCTTCAAACATCATTTACTCTACATGGAAGCAAACATGCAAAACCTTGGATCCTAGGTTCTAAATAAATGACTCCACAATTATGTATAATACTTAACCACTTTTGAGAATTGTAAAAATTAAATTTTTGTTGAAATGTTTTCTTCACTTTGGTTTACTTTAAAAGGTTTCATAATATTAAATTTTGGGATCATGATTTTACATTTTTACCCATCCCATTTTTGTTTTTTTCCCTTAAATGTGCCACAGGTGCCTGGTTATTGAAATGAGGATCAGAATGACTGGAGATGTTGTTGTTAAATACAGAGAAATGAGGAAGTCACCTATAAATAAAACAAGAAGACCTTGCATGCAAGAAGAGAAATTTTTGAAAATGACATATGATCAGATATTATGAACTCACAATTTTCCAGTCTCAAATTAATCACACTGTAAATTTTCCAAATATTTCAGAAGCTTACAAATGATTCTTAACAGCCATACTCCAAGACAAAGCTTTCCCTAATTCTCCCTTCTAAATCTCTGAGTAGTTCTCAGTCCACTGGAAACATTGATAATGTACCTTTCTGGAAAATGTTGTCTTCCACCCTCCGAAGGAGCAAGATGAGAAAATAATGGTTATTGAAAGCATTTCAGAAATAGTGAATTTAAATTGCATATACCAGACTATCTCAAAAGCCTGTGTTTTAAATTGAACAGATTTAAGACAAGAATGGCCTTATGTGTAGGTAAAATGGGCAGCTAATACCTCTCTGGTGTGACTAGGAAGGACAGCCCCTCTGTTCACCAACCATTAAGTTGTTATAAACCGTATATGTGTTATAGCAAGTTCATGGAAGAACTGTCATTGTCTAATTCTATACTAAAATACAGATACTCCTGAATTTAATCATATTAAACATCTTCTTGGGAATTCATTTATCAGCTAACTCTTCCTAAAATAGCTTGACATATTAAGAGCTAAAAATACCTGGGACATTAGATATGAGGAAAGAAGAGTGTAAAGAAAGAAAAGGTAAAGAAAGTATAGTGGGAGTTACCCAACAGAAATTTAGCTTACATTACCACATTAACTAAAAAGTCTTACAGTGTTAACATACCTTTGAGACATCAAACTCCAAAGTGAATAAGAAACAGTGAATAATCCAATCTCCTTTCCACTAGCTTGGATCATTGAGAATTGAATTTTGCATGATATATATATATATTTTTTTTTAAAAAGTTTAAAAAGTACCTGAACTGTTTGTTTGTTATCTCCTCTTAAAATACTGCAGGAAGCACTAAGTTCAATATGGCCCTGGGGTTTTCTAATTACATCACTCTGTATGAAAGGAAGAAAACCAAATGAACAAAGATGAATAGTAATAGTCATAATAAGAAATGCTTTGCATCATTAATCCCATTACCGGGAAGAAAAACAGTGAACATTTTAATTTATAGTTTGAGGAATTCAGTTCTGAACAGCAAGCATTTTCTACTCACTGGAGATTTGTAGTAAAGTAATTCTCCACCTTTGAGAACGAACCACCTCCGCTTCCAAGTCTTGACCTTACCGCTCATTTTTAGTAAATAGCCAGATTTTTCCAGTGGTTCCTAATTTTAAGAAATTTTTTTAAAATTTTAAGTTTCCTTTTGGAAGCTCAAACTGATTCATTAATTTTTTAAAAGTCTTGATTTCAGGGCTTACATTTTTCCCATTATCACTGGACGTCGAGCAGGTTTTAGGGAGCTTCTGCTCAGGCTGTAGGCACTCTGTGTCTGCAGAGTAGGCATCGGGGGGAATGGCGTAGTCATTTTCAGAAGCCACAGAGGAGACAGACACTCCTGGAAGATCAAGGAAACACATCAAGTCAGCATTTAATACAGGGGTGGTCCAAACGCTGGTTGTGAGAGTTCCTGAATCATAAACCTCCTCATACTACATTTATTCTCATTCCTTTGGCCATTAAAAACTTTTAAAGCTGAAAACAACTAAGGCATAGGGACCATCAAGCAAATTTCTAAGGAGGTCACAGGAATGCAAATAATATTTTGTTGTGATGACAACCTGGGCTAATTATAATGAATAAAATATGTGCAATAGTCCACTAACTTGGCTTTCCCCTCACCTCGCTTCATGGCTCGCGGGCTCCCAGGCCCACTCCGGTTGCGCGAGTCTGACTCTGATGTCTGCGAGCTGGATCTGGAGCCGTCCTCTTCCTCGGAGCCAGAGGAATCGTCCAGGAAAGGGCTGCTACTTATTTGGGTCGCCTTCTAAAGAAAAGCAGAACAGCCTCCCTGTATCCATCTCTAAAGTTATTATTATTATTTTTTTTAGACAAAGAATGTTTTATAGGAAGAAGTCATGGAATATGGGTTATTTTTTGAAGGATTACAAGAACATATTTTGCCAGTATGAAAGTCATGTTGTCCAACCTCAAATTCTAATTATCAAGGCATTTGTCAATTATAGAAAACTTCTGAAAACATAAGGTTATCAATATCTGACAGTCCTCATTTTTAATTAGATACTTTTGGCAAGGAAGGGACTCTGGCACTGATTAAAAAAAAAGATCTTTCTAAATTAGGAGTTCCTACTACATCATTAATAATATGTTCCCTTTAAACAATTAACAGCCTGGTTTTTTTTTTTTTTTTGGTGTGTGTGTGTGTTTGTGTGTGTGTGCGTGTGTGTATCACATGAAATTGGATGAAGACCTCTAATGCTCTGAGAATAAATATCTTCTCCAGACTTTTCCTTTTCTTCTTCTTTTTTAATGATAAATTAATGTGAACTTCTAAGACCTTTCTACAAAGGGGGAATCTGTGTAGAAGGGAATGGAATCTGGAACTTGAACAATTTTCCCAGTGCACCATGAAGAGAACCATGTGTTTAACCATAACAAGGATGAGTTACCCCTTTCAAAGTTGTATACACTGGGGTTGTCATATTCTTGTATATCAGAGATGTATAAAGTCCTGATGTGGTATAGGATAGCATGGTGGCAGAATCTGAAACAAAAAAACAATGTCATTTTCTTTTTTAAACAAAAACTTCTAACAAGCACATTGACCTATTTGTTATGAATGTGGATTAGCATCATTTCCAATTAAAGAGAAATTGGATTAACACATGTGATTATTAATTATGTAGTCTGTTACGAATCATGGCATTTACAGTTTTATAGACACCCCTTTTTTACATGGCTCATTATTTCCTCGTGTATGCTAGTTCCCCAGGGAGACTATAAGTTCTTTGAGAGCAAGAATCATGGCTTTCATTTCTTCAGCATCTCCATGCGTGCTTAGCTCAGGCTGCACAGAACTAGGTAAGACAACCACTGACTGGCAGACTCAATGGAAGGACCTATGAAGATGTTCTCTAACTATTCACAACCCTGTTATTGACCTGGTATAAAAGCATCATCATTCTTAAGCCTTTATCAGGTGAATCTAATGTTGAAAGGTTAGAATGTGATTTCTTGGTAAGAACAGAAGATAGTTGAAATGAAACAGAATATCAGTGGTTACCTCTAAGACATGGATAAGTGGTAGAACTGGGAGGACTGATAGAAGAAACTACAGGAAATTTTCTCTTTTTATTCCAGATGGTTCTATGTCATTTGGTTTCATTCATTCCATTTATAATGGGCATGCATTAATTCTATAATAATTTTAGGAAGGAAGGGAAAGAGGAAGGGAGGAAGGAGAGAAAAGACACAGAGACCAACATTTTTACAACTTTGATTCTGAATGGCTGAAATGCCAGTTTCTCCACTTTAGTCTCTGAAGTATTTCTACATCAGAGGTACTTTCCACATCAGATTTGAATGTTTTGGGATTTCTATATTAAGTAAGATAAACTTTAATTTTAAAACATAAGTCAGCAACCTTTGAAATCATCTTCTCAAAGTTTATATAATTTGATTTATTTTTAGATAATGTTAGACATTTGGGAAGTTGTTGGCTATGAAATAGCAATACAAAATCACAAACTTTAAAAAGAACTTTTTTATTGTGGTAAAAAAGCACATCAAATAAAATTTACCATCTTAATCATTTTTAATATTTATTTTTTAGTTGTAGTTGGACACAATACCTTGAGTTTATTTATTCATTATTTATGTGGTACTGAGGATTGAACCCAGAGCTTCGCACATGCTAGGCGAACTCGAGCCACAATGTCAGCCCCCCATCTTAACCATTTTTAAGTGTACTATAGTGTGAAGTATATTCACATTGTTGTAAAACAGACCTCTAGAACCTCTTCATCTTACAAATCTGAAATTCTAAAACCATTAAACTACAAACCTACTTTCCCCACCCCTCCTAGCCCTTGGTAACCACCATTCCACACTGGCTAACTCCCTAGAGTGAAATCTTACAGTATCCACCTTTCTGCACCTGTCTCATGTGTTTGTATTGCGCTATAAATCACTTAGCATGACATCCTCAAGGCTCACCCATGTTATAGCATGCAAAAACACTTACTTTTATTAACATTTTCCATATTGAACGCCTCAGACATTCGAATGCCTGATTTGGCTACAGCATAAATTCTGCTTTCCTAATGTAAAAAAAAGAGATTTGAATAGGATGTTTAAAAAGAAGAAATGATTACTTTCAATATATAAGTTTTTCATTGGTTGTTAAAATTCACTAGAAGACAGAATTATTATAGAACTTAGTACCAATAAAACAGGCCACAGTGAATAGTAATGTAGATATTTGTTTCCATCTCTTTGTTACTCCATTATTAATTCCCAAATCTTTGCTTGACATTTTAAATTCTTTTGAAGATACAGGGAGCAAGTAAGAGAAGTTTATTCATCATTATAGGTAAACACCATCTCTAATAGTCTACCATTTTAGAAAATGGGTAAATTTTTAAAAGGAAAAATCTTGAATGGCCATAATATGAAACAGAAACTATTCACAATCATTGACTACACATAAACACATTCTTTGATATTCTATCATTCTGGAACATGGTGAAAGAAAGAAAAAAACTTGAAGTCAGAAAGTATAGCTAGAGTAGGATTAAATGCCATCATCTTCTTACTTCAACATACATTTCAATCAAGTAGAAAAATACCTGAGGTCAAGTAATGAGAATTGCAATGGAATTTATAACATTACCTTGTTCTAAAAGTTGGTTATTTTGTTTTCTCCTCTTCTCTAAGAGAGATCTCTAGACTTGCTACCAAAAAGGTTATTAGCCCTGCTCCTGTGAGAAAAAAGACCCCAGGTGGCTGCTAATGCATGGATCACCACGTTCTGAATTTTGTAATGCATCTAATTTGGACCCATTTGGCTGGGCCACGGTCTAGCAGGCAACCAATTCCTCCTGCAAGTGGCTCAAGAGGAAACTGGCATAAGATCGCTGATCTTTAGGAGCACTTTAGATTGAAGAGCAGCTGACTTAACGAATCTAAACCAGTTACGGAGACTAACAGCAAAACAGGCAGGTCAGAAAGACAAATAAGGCACTAAACAGGAGACAGGAGGCAGTAAGAGGCCACAGGAGAGTGGGAGAGAGTAGGTAAGCAGGAAGAAAAGTGGAAAGAGAATCACTGCGGATGAGAGGACAGGCTGAGCCACTGTAGAGAGGGCAAACGGCTGGCACTTCCTTTTAGGGCGTTGACTATCAGAGGGGCTGCTGAATCACAGGTTGTCCTACCAGAGTGACCACTGCATTTTGAATGATATTCAATTCACTAGGGATAGGGATTGCCTTAAAATGAACTCTTACACAGACAACTAGAACACATCTTTTCCTTGAAGCCTGAAAATACCTGAGAAACAGAAATTAAATCTCAAACTTAGCCAGTCTGTTGAAAGACTTTTGAAAGGCAATGCTATTCTCCCCATCCCGCCCCCCCCCCAGGACCGAGTGAATAGCTTCAAAGAGGAGGGGATGGGAGAAGGGCAAAAATGTAGTAAAATGGTTTGCCAAATAAAACAAACTTGAAAGACTAACCTAAATGCCTAAAATCTCCGTGGCAAAATTTCAATTTCTGACTACCTAAAGGGCGACATAACTGGCATTCCAGAGATGTCATGCTGTTAACGTCTACTCTTTGTGTGCCATCTAGAATTTAGTAATATACTACAGAATGTTTCACGTGATACCCAAATAAAATGTTCTCTTAGAAGCAAATAAAAGCAGATACATCTCAAGGTGTGGATTTTACTGAGAAAACATGGCTATCCTAATTTGCACATAACTGGGGTGGTTACTAAATTATAAAAGAACATGGCTCCATAAACCAAAAGATCTGATAACCCAGATGTTTCTCTGAAGGCAAAAGGTTAAATTTGCCAATATGTAAGGGACAACTTAAATCTATAAAATAGACCAATTCACTTTGTTTCAAATATAGGGAGAATTTTTTTTTTCATCTAGCAATACAGATAGCTATTCCTAAGAAGTAGCTCACAATTGACAGGTAAGTTACTGTAGTAATGGTCAATGCCTTAATAGAAGAGGATTCAATCCATTCTAGATATGTAGGGAGACGCTTTGGTTAAAGCAATGGATTTAAAAAGCTCATGGGAAGTAAAATGAAACTTTTCTTGAGCCAGTCAAGTAAATGATTATGTTAAAAAAAACTGTTGTCCAATTGAAGTTCAATGTCCTGGTTCAGAATCTACCCAAAAGAATTACACTTAAAGGGAACCCCTTTTCTTCCCTATCCCCTGATTTTTTTCTTTTATATGAAAGGACTTCTAGTAATTAAATACCTGGATGTCTCTCTACCCGTTCACCTTCTCCTTAGCATGCACAGCCAGCAGCTTTCTCCTGAGAAGTAGCTCCCACAGGAACCAAACCCCTGCACTATTTCTCCAGATCATCTATTCTTAGCAGGGCACCAACTCACTGGAGGAAACCTGAAACAGTCCAGAGCTGCCTGGGCCTGGGTGAATAAGTCTAGTAAATTCCAAAGTCCAGCACTGAAAAGTTTATTTGCCCACCAATTTTCTAAAACTAATTTATCAGTAAATATGGTCATATTTTGATTTCTATCTGCTTCTTTCTCATTTGGTTCGGAACATAAGTGAGGAAAGAAAAGGGGAAATTGAAGCTGGGTGTAGTGGGACGTGCCTGTAATTCCAGCTACTTGGGAAGCTGAGGCAGAAGGATCAAAAGTTCAAAGTCATCTTCAGCAATTTAGTGAGGCTTTAGGTTAAGTACTTAGTGAGCCCCTGTCTTGAAAATAAAATAAAATAAAATAAAATAAAATAAACAAAAGAGAGAAAGAAGGAGAAATTGTATTTTGAAAATCAAAAATTCCCAGAGCAAAGTTGGGTTTGAAAAGATTCAGAAAGTAAAACGTGAATATGTGCGTTGAGGGGGGGAAAACACTATGTATAGGATGCACACGGGAATATAATTACCCAAGATGGAAACCGATGCAGGGGAGGAGTGGGAGGTTTGCCACCCGCAGCCTTCTTTGCTGAGTCACAGGTTTCTTGCTCATCTGGATGTGTAGATTCCATGGAGTCAGAGCAGAACAATCCATCCTCACAACTCGTGTCCATATTCTCTAAAATTTCTGGGCTGTCACCATCAACCAGATCCAGATCGGTTTCCTGAGGTCTCAGGGGTCGTATCATGCTTATAGCATTTCTGTTCGTACCAAACGTCCTGTCGGAACTTAACTGTGGTTGGCTTAGGTGCCTTTTGGTGAGTGCTACACTTATGCTGAAAACGTTAGGAATCCTTAACCTTGAGGGTGATAAATGTGATGAACACACTAACTGTGTTCCTTTTCCAGTGAGTGTGTTAGAATGCTTTGGCGTTAAAGAGGGGGTCAAAATAGGGCTTGGGGTGTTGGTCTCACTTGATGAGGATGAATAATCCAATCGCTGGGATTGAAATTTTTTGTTCAGTTCCTCACTGTCGTGCTCCTTTTTACTTGATTCAGAATTTCCCTTTCCAAGGAGATTATTGTGAGCTTTCCATTGGGCCTCCTGTTGCCAAGAATACAGCTTCTTGTGTTCTGGTCTCTTTACACCAAAAGTTTCTTCTTCAAATACAGAGCTGCTGTCATCAGATGCTGTCAAGTACGCTTCACTCCCTATCCTGCCACATGGGACACCTTCCTCTGAGGTGTGACTGGAAAGTCTGGTCATGCTCCTGGACTTGGACGTTTCTTTGTTCTCATCTTCCTCATCAGAACTCCAGTCACTTCCGGGAGCCTCAGAATTCTTGCATACGTTATCATCCATTGCAAAACTTACTCTTGTTTTCCTATTCTGTTCTGAGACACAAGGGGTTTTATGCAAGGTTCTCTGGCCTCTCTCATTTTCTTGAACTGGGTTATCAACAGACTTCTCCAGAATTTCCATTTCTAGAAAAGTATACAACATATTGGTACGCTGCCTTTAATAATAAAAACTTCCCATACATGTAGCTTTATGTAACTAGGCTCTGAAGACTAGTAATTTCATATCATGTGAATAAGGTTAATTTAAATTACCATTTATCTTTTTTTAAAATAAAAGTTTGAAACCCTAGCTTAATATAAAACATAAAGCCCAGAGGCAGATACGATGGCACATGTGTATAATCCCAGCTACTTGAGACGCTAAAGCAGGAGGATCTCAATTTAAAGCCAGTCTGGGCAATTTTGAGAGAGGCTATCTCAAAATAAAATATAAAGGACTGGGGATGCAGCTCAGAGGCAGGGCACTTGCCTAGCATGTACAAAGCCCTGGGTTTAATCCCCAGTACTAAAAACGAACAAAAACAGAGTCTTACAACTCAATATAATTGTATTAAGATTAAATTGGTCTCTACAAAGAATATATTGGGAAACAAACTTGACAGACATAATAAAAAAAAGCAAAATGTAATATAGAGCAATTTTGACTACAAAAATAGTCACCCCCCCCAAAAAAAAAAAAAACAATGAATACCATGATTTCCATTTTAGAAGCAAAAAAAGATGACCCTCTTTCCACTAAATTTCAAAATTATCGTAAAGTAAATCAAGACATAGTAAACACAAAACTATAAGAAATAAACTTGGTGCCCAAACTTCAGTAATGAAATATGTAATATCATGAGGAAAACATATACAGAAAAAGTTTGAAAAAAAAAAGTTTGCTTTACTTTGTTTAATCATAACTACAAAATATGTTTTTATAATAATATTCATTGAACATGTCTTTAGATATAGCTTATTTTTATTTATAACTTAATAAAATACACCACAATCTTCATGGACAGTGAATTAAAACTTTAGACTGAAAAGCAGAAAAGGAGCTTTGAAAACATACATATGATCTTCACAGTCAGAGAACCAGAGGCTGAACAAACACACCCTGCAAGTTTGCATCAGGCAGTTTGTGGGCCAGAGTTCCGGTACTGACAATCTTGGCTGTGCTCAACTGCTAGACAGTGGGAAGGAGATGGAAATGGCTTCTTGAGAAAGCAAAGCAAATTCAAGGAGGGAGAGACAATAAGTAGCTCAGTGGCCTTCTGATTGGAAAAATATGTTGTTTTCAAAATGTCATAACCCAGCAGAGGGACAGCTTGTGGACTGAAAGGAGATCAAACCTGGCTAAAATATTTGGAAAAAGCCAACAAAAATGATTGCACTGGGAGAGTCAAAGCCAGCAGCTGCACAACAAAGCAAAATTAAGAGAGGCTGTAAAACACCGGGAGGAGTAGAAACCTGCACACAGGACACTGGGTTTAAACATGTAGGCAGATATTTTCCTCTTTGAAGCAACAAATGGAAAATCAAAGCAGTCACTAAATTATTTCCTAGTGTTTGTTTCTTTATAAGTTTGCTAGGCCAGAATTAATTTCATGTTTAATATTAGGTAATTTTCAATATTTTCAATAAATAATGAATAAAAATATTCTAATCTGAAAACTCAGCTAAACCAAGTACCTTGAGGGGAATATTGTAAACTTTAAAATTTAAGTATTACTTCTGTCTGCTGCAAGGAAAAATGTTAAGATGAGAAAAATCAGTTTTTCTTGTGTACCCTGGCTAAAACCCTCAGAAGACAAAATAACCAGATATACAAAGTTCAATGCTATATTGCTCATTAGAAATATTCTTATAAAGCATCAAAGTTGTCAAAAAAATTAAGCTGTATTTGAATTAACCATAGTAAATGATTTTTCCTTCTTAAAAAAATGCAAAAGTAACTTGCTGTGGGGTCCATAAATACCTTCTGTCTTTTTTCCTTCTGTGGACTCAGATTCTTTAGAAGATATCTTGCTCATTTCCTCAGATTTCACTACTTGAGGAGGACTCTTTGCTCGGGATAAAAAGCACCCAAACTTCAAATTGCTCAGGCGCTGCCCTTCCGAAAGTTTTGGTGTGGAAACCATGGATGACTTCTTACCTTGAACTTCTAAAAGGTCATTAATCAAAATTAAGATCTGAATTGTTTATGACAATTTGTTAAACATAGAAAAAAAGCATATAAAAACTTTAAGACAAATTACTCTTTACATCAGGAAAAAAGTCTCAAGTTTATCATAATTTAGGCACAGTAACACAGGAGTCCCATTGTTAAGCATCATGGGTCTGTTTTTTATATTTTGAATATCCAAAATATTTTCTTGACTCCAGAGAGAAAACAAATCCCTTTAAGAGAAGTTGTCAAATAAAAACAAGAAACACAAACTAAAATCTGATTATAAATAACTAGAGCATTACAGTTTCTTAAAAAGTCAAGTATTGTTAAATACTCGTTAATATTGGTTAAAAATTGTGTGATAATGCCATTGTCTGAGGTACTGATTGCCAAAACAACCAAAGGAAATATAGATTACCATTGGTACAAATATCACTTGATCCCTGTAATGATTTTTGCTTATTTTAGTTTTCAATAATGAGAAGGCATCAGATGGAGGGGTTTGCTCCATGGTGACCACAATATAAAGAACCTTAATCACTTTGTTAGGGGAAAAAAAGGGGCAATAAAATTTAGAAAGTTTGTACAGTAATTCACCTAATCATGGATTTAATTCATCTCTAGGACCTTTAACTCTCCTGCTTGTAAGATTAAAATCATGGAGATCCTAGAGAGAAGAGTTTCCAAAAATGAAATTCTTCACTCTGGACAAAGGGATAAGCTAAGTAGCAACTGATAGATAATTAAGCAGTGGATAAGAAAGATATCTTTATATATTATGTTCTTTTAGATGTATCTTTTAATGTTTTTGTGTTGATCATCTCTCACAGAACTAATTCGCAATAAGATTGTAATGGTTGCATACATTTGATCCTCTGCATCCGTGGATTTCATATCTGTAAACTCAATTTACTGTAGATTAAAAAATATTCTGAACAAAGACTGCCTCTATAGTGAACATGTATAGATGTTTTTCTTATTATTCCTTAAATGATACAGTATAACTAATATTTACAAACATTTATATTGTATTAGGTATTATAAGCAATCCAGAAATGATTAAAATTATAGAAGGAGGTTCATAGACTATATGTAAATACTGTGCCATTTTAAATAAGGAACTTGAGCATTCTCAGATTCCAGTATGTACAGGGATCCTGGGATCAATCCCTTATGGATACCGAGGGACAAATGTACATGCATATATATTTTTTTAAATTCCATCTTATATTCAGGATATAATACATCTTTTCTCCACTCCAAGCCTAGTTTCCAATGATCAGTATCTCTTAGTCTATAAAATCTAAGAGGCTGCAATGAAGACAAAAAAATTGCAAGTCAAGAATATCAGAGCCAGGTGCGGTGGCACAAGCCTGTAATCCCAGTGACTTGGGAGGCTGAGATAGGAGGATCAGAAGTTCAAAGTCAGCCTTAGCAGCTCAGTGAGGCCCTGTGTCTAAAGAAAATATAAAAAAAGGGGCTGGGGATATGGCTCAGTGGTTAAGGATCCCTGTGTTCAATCCCTGGTATTAAAAAATAAAAATAAAAATCGGAAAAAATAACAATTTTTAGTGGGCCTAGTATGTTCAATCTATTTCAATAAGGGTAAAAGTCACACAAATCTGAAACTTTAATTCTAAATATGGAACTCCAGATCAGCCATGGAGGCACTTTTTTTTTGTCATACAAGTAGAGAAAATGATACCAAGTAAGTATTAATATGCAATAACAAAATGCCCTGTAGTCAATAAGTCTATATATTCCTACATGAAATCAGAAGGCACTATTATAATTGCAATTTTACTAATGTAAGAAAATGTTCTGGAGATACAACAGTTATTAAGTAGTAAGGCATTAAAGCTCTCTTCAAAGCCCATATTCTTCCTACCATACCAATATTTTCCCAGTGCATTTTGTGAGACCCAGAGGATGCAAAAAGAGGCATGGAAAAGGCCAAGTTTTCAGAATTCTGGACCATCACCCAACACTGCTTTTACCTTTTTTTACCTGCTCAAATTCTACATAATTTTCCTCCTTTTAAGGACTCCATTGCTAAAAGAAGTTTTAAAACCTCTATACTAGGTCATGTAGTATAAGCATAAATTATACTACACCTTGCTGGATTCACCTCTTTTTCAACCTGATGGGCAATTGAGTGGCTTTCACCAGAATAGTGAACTAAGGAAATCTCAATTAATGACAGTTACACTACTCAACCTTAGGTTTTGAAGTTAAAAGCAAGTAACCCCATGTATTGGAAAATCCAAAAAATTTATACACATCATCAAATTCTGCTCAAAACACTCAGGTTGTAAGAATTTCAATCACTGTTGAAAATTAGGATACAAAGCAAAATTGAAAATAACAACTGATTTTTAAAGCAAATATACCTGAAATGAAATGTTCAAATTAGTTTATACTTTTCAGGTTGTTCACTAATGTATAGCTGTGCTGTTCAATACGGTGATTTAAATCAATTCAAATTAAGTAAAATTTAAAATTCAGTTCATCAGTCACAAGAGTCATACTTCATGACTAATGAAAGTTCTTTACTCTCAAATAGTTATATGTGGTTCGTGGTCATCATATTGGACAGCACAAGTAAAGAATATTTCTTTAATCACAGAAAGTTCTATTAAAAAGTGCTGATTTATAGCTCAAAGACGAAATATGTGGTCTAACCATGTTACCAATTTTTACATTATGAAAAGTTACTTTTTTATTCATTTTTTAGTTTTAAGTGGACACAATATCTTTATTTTACATTTATGTGGTGCTGAGGATCGAACTCAGTGCCTCAAGCATGCTAGGCAAGCACTCTACCACTGAGCCACAACCCCATCCCGAAAAGTTACTTTGAGCCTATAAAATATTGTTATGAATTATCTGAAGAGTAGTCAATATTCCTTTGGGTTTAATTATTTGTAAACAGTCAAAAGTTATAAAGAGTTCTGGAGGTTAATGTCATTTTCAGGGCACGTAGCAAGCCAAGGAGCTTTCTCCAAAGTCCTCCAGGCAAATACAAGTGTATCATGTCCATGATTCCTTAATCAACACTAAAAGAGACTTTTCTTTCAGAGGCCAGAATATTCTCGGCCTTTTGAAGTACATACCTCTAATACAAATACTTATAATCTACTATCTGGCTTCATAGGTCTTCTGTGTTCTTTCAAGAAAACCAGGAGATAGAGTACAACATGGGTTGGAAGGACCAAAACACCATCATTATTAGAGATTGGTATACACTGTCCATAATCCCTGACATTCTGGGCTAACATAATAAATAATACTTTCAGTAAGTTCAACTCTATGCAACTTACTATGGGGACAAATTAAATGCCTTTTAGAATAGAAAAAGGCAAAATTACTAGCTGTCCATGTTTTTTTAACCTATGTAGTAACAAGTTTGGTAAACTTATATATCATTACCTTCTACATTTAGGGCCAACATTCACTTGGCTACATTCACTTGAGTTCTGGTTTGTTTGGAAATTCCTTCATTTCATGAAAATAATTCCTAAAACTGTATTTATAATAAAATCTTTAAATCATAAGTAAAAAATAGTAAATCCTATATAGCCAAATAAATCTAACTAGGCCATCTTGGTGAAAATGTTTATACCTTGTAGTTTTGATTGTAGTGCTTTTATCTCTTCAGTTTGGTTTTGGTTGATCAAACGAAGATTCTGATTCTCCAATTCCAGCTAAAACCAACACAGTGATATTCTCTTATATAGGAATAACATTTCTAAAACATGCTAATAAATAATTATACTTAGAAAACATTAATATGTTTACTCCAAATGCAGTAAAATAAAATGACATGCAAATATATGGATTTATCATCGTAGGCTATCAAACTAGATAATTATGGCACCAATATTAATTTTTCCACAACTGAGAGTTTTGTAAGTTTTCACCCCCTAAGCTTTTTTTTTTTTTTTGGTACTGGGGATTGAATTCAGGGGCACTCAACCACTGAGCCACATCCCCAGCCCGATTTTGTATTTTATTTAGAGACAGAATCTCACTGAGTTGCTTAGCACCTCGCCTTTGCTGAGGGTGGCTTTGAACTCATGATCCTCCTGTCTCAGCTTCCAGAGCTGTTGGGATTACAGGTATGTGCCACCACACCTGGCCCCCCTAAGCTTTTTCCACTGTAAAATTACTTGAAACCAAACTATTTCAGTTTTAATCTGTACTTCAGATACCAAATATATTAATTTTATAATATATACAGATATGCTCTATAATTATTTAAAATTAACTAATTAGAACTAAAATTAAGTAATTAGACTGAGACTATTTACACTGATCATCAAGTGTCTATCAATTGTTTAATTTTTGAAATACAATGGATGTTAAAATAAAAGCTACCTATCTCAGATTTACCAAAAGAGAACAGCACCATCAACTGATTTGAATTTTTTGTTTCACTCAGATGATTGTATATTCTGATTGTTAACCTACTAAAAAAAAGTGTAAAGTAAAAGAAAAGAAAAAATATAGCAACAAATACCTCATTTAACTTAACTGTTACCCATTCTTTGATCTTAGCTGCTTTCTCTTCTATTATTTTAGCTTCTTGGATTCTTATTTGTTTCTGAAATAACATTTGCAATTTGTTTAGTTCAAACATAAACTCAGTGGTCCGGAAATGTTACCTGATAATATGCAAGACAAATCCACTTAAAACCTGTCTCAGATTTAGGATATCTACCTGCAAATTATCAGATTTTTAAAAGAGAAAAGTTATCCAGCAAATACAATAAGAATCCACAGAGATAGATGCAAACATTGCTAGTTTTAATAACTGTTCTTCTTTTTCTTTGAATGATCAACACACTGAAGTCAATACACTGAATATATCAATAAAATAAACATTTCTGGAACAGTAGAACAGGGTCAACCAGGTTAGGGAGAGGAGACTAAAAATCTGCTATAATGGCTAGATCTCCCTCAAGCATTAATTTAAAAAAGACCCAGGAAAAATATACACTGAAAAAGTCTAGTTCACCAACCTTAAAATCGGGTTATGATCACAAAACTACCAGGAATATGGTTATCATGTAAATTATAATGGGCAGGGACTGCAGGCCGGTATAAAGCTGCAAACCACTAACAAAGAAATACTAATCCTCAGAGAAATAAAAAAAATGCTGAAAATAAACAACAATTTAATGTGCATAACAAAACAATGTCATAATGGTCATATTTAAATTACATTAAATGACTACTTAAGTAAACGACCCTAACACAATTTTTGTAATAAAAATCTAAAATAAACTTCTGTACTTGTTCTCAATAGTAGTGGTTTAAAACAGTGTATAAATTTCTAAGCAGAAGGATTAGTATCAAACATTAATATATAAAATACAATGTTCTATAAATATTTCCAACACTAACAATCTAAAACAAAATTGATTACAAACATTTTATGGACATAATGCTGCTGATAACTAAGTATTTCCTACTTAAACTGTACACATAAATTCTAAGTCTGAATGTGAAAGAACACTGTCCCATCTAAAAAGTGCCAGATCTTGCCTGGACTCACCCTGGACTTAAAGTGAATGCCATTTTACCTTAACCTTTCACCAGCACATGTGATACAATCCTGTGGGTTGACTTAAGTAAGATTTTCCCCTCCACATTTAGAAATCTAGACTCCTTTTAATCTTTGTGTTTATGCACAAATGAGTACACACATTTATAAGTCTTTGATGATTAAAATTTTCCTACCTGCTCTTCAAATTGCAGTTCCAAATTTTGAATGATGTCATCTTTTTCCTGTAGTAGAGACTCCAGGTCTTGACATTTTTTATATAACCTTGTCTCTGATTCACTGGTTTGAATATTAGCTGCTTTTAATTTCTGTTCCATAACTTGTACCTAAATTGAGAGAATAAAATGTTAAAATTAAAATTAAATTTAATTTATCATAATATGAAACTTAGAATTTTACTATAAAATTATATAGATTCCTAAAAGGTATCATAATAAAATGAAAATATGAAACAGGAATTATTAATGTATTTAAAAGTTACAAATTATGAAGACTATTCTGTCAGGCAGTTGTACTTTTGGGGTACATAAGGATACACAGGAGATGATGTGAATATTGCTATAACATAACGTATATGCTTACTAGAGCAGTGACAATACACAAAAGTGTTTATATAGAAGCAGCAAGTTTCTAGCCCTCATTTTTTTTTCATATTTTAAACAAGGTAGGAATATAAATTAAAAATGTGAGCAGTGAGATAAAACTCAAACCAGATGACCTGGTATAACATATTTTGGGGAAAACTGAAACTTAGATGAAAAAGAAATACTCAGTGGAAAAGAAAAGAAAAACAAGAGAAACTCTGAGCCCTCAAATGACAAAATCATTAAAAAATTAAAAATTAAAAAAAACAAGAATCCTAGGTAGGAAAAGGCACTTAGTGAGAGCTTATTGATTCATTCACTTCACCAATGCTCATTGATGTTGAGAGCCACAGCCAAAGGGGCCCCAGCAAACTTCCAGCTGCCAGCAA